GGAAATCAAACACCGACAGCGTAGACGGGCAAGCCACTGAACAGCAATGTGCTGCACATACTGAACTCAACCCATTCAAGTTGCGCTGGCCACGGCTTACAGCGACACCATGAACCCGCGCTAACTCCTGAAGACCACGAAAAGGTAATCGCGGGACAAGAAATGAAAAGGGCAGCTCAACGGCAATGGAACGTACACCATATTCCCAGAGCGAGGTAACATTCTCGTGACGAAGCTGACATCGATACTTGACCGACGAATGCAATGCGAGCAGAGAGCGGGAGCCTAACACGACGGGAAACGCCCGCAGCTCAGACGTCGAAACAGAATCTGACCGTCGGGTACCGCCCCCGACGAAACTGTGACCAGTAGAGGAGTAACGCGACCGTGCATTACCAGTCGACAGCGCCTCGGTGACCGCACCGGGCAAAACAGTATAACGCGACCGCACGCTAACAGTGACCAGCGCCTCGGTGACCGCACCGGGCAGAAATGCACACAGTATGACACATAAAATGTCATTGAAAGGTGCTGGAGAATGAACATCAGCAGACAAACAGGGATATGTGTCAGCACAGACACTCACGAGTGCAATGCATCACTGCTAACATCACGCAAACGCAAAACAGGACAGCTTGAAGCAGGAGTTCAACTGTTGCAACGCCGAAAGCCGTCGGATTACACGGAGCATAACAGAGGAGGTGAAAAGCGACGATGCAGACACGCAGCATGTCGTTGAAACGCACTGACGGATGAATCTCAGCAGAGAGACAGGGGTATCTGTGAACACAGACACTCACAGCTAAAACGTGTCACCCCCAAGATGATGCAAATGCTGAATAGGACAGCAAGCACCAAAAGGCAGACTATGAAGATGCCGAAAGTCATCCGAGTACGCAGAACGTTACAGAGGTGATGTCAATGAAAAGCGACGTGGATGAAAAGCGACGCAGCTGTAGCTGAACATAACAGATCGAGCAGGTGGCGTAGACCGTGGGCAACAAATACCGAAAAAGGTGTTTTGTCCAGCTTAAGGCTGACGTAAGCAGGTCTCCGCTACCGCTGCAGCAATAGCCAAATCCATTCTGTTATTTGGAACAGTCGACTCCTTCTCTGCGCATCTGTTCTTGCATCGCAACCGACGCCTCTGTTAGCCCCCGCGATGATATACTATCTTCTTGTTTCGTTTCGCGAGGGGCTTCATGATTGTAAGCGTGGTTTTGGTTTGCGTTAGCATCATGTCTTATACCGGGGTTCTTCAGTGTTCGCTGGCGTTCTCCGTGCACGCAATCCTCGCACCGTTTTCGATGCATACTTCGTCGTTATCGACAGTGTCGTAATTTTAGGTCGATGGGTTCTGCGTTGTGAGTTTCGGATTTCTTTATGCTCTTTTGACTGGCGCTCATGATTGGTTTGTTCAGTGCTCACGCAGTGCTGTTTGTGCATACGTATCCTTCGGTCACTTCCCGGTGCGGTCACCGCGGCTATCGATGTTGTCAGTGCGCGATCGCATTGCTCGTTTCCTACGTTACATGCCGTTGGCGGCAGCTGCCGACGGTCCATGTTTGTTATGAGCGAAGACCTGAAGACATTTCCGGTATTACTTGGGTCGTCATCGTTGCTCGGCTTACAACCTGCCGTTGTGTATCGTCGTCAACTTCTTCGAAATGATGTGACATCTGCTTGGAACGAGTGCGTGTCATCCGTTGCGGTCGAAGTGCCGTTTTCTTTTCTGGTTGAACGTCTTCCGTTCCGCGCTCTTAGCGAATTGGCTCGGAGTCACAACATCGTCGTCGATTGGCGGCGACGAACGTTGGACGGTTTATGTAACCTTTTTTCTGCTCACCAATGTGGCCTGTCCTGCCCACTCACAATGAGTGTGTTCGATTTTCGATCGGATGGTCTTCATGTCATTGGCGTGGACTGTCGTGATTCTTTCGTGACTGCTCAGCTTCTCCTACGCTTTCCGATCCTTTCGCGTTGTCGTCCTGAACCCACTGTGCGCTACAGATTTTCTGGTATGGTTGACTGTCTGCGAGGTGTCCCGGATGAAACACATCCTGCGATTGTGGTAGACATCCCTATTAGGTATTTGGTGGAGCGATTACCTTTCCACGCTCTAAACGACATTGCACGCTGGCATGGGCTTTCGCCTGACGGGGAATCATGGATTGTGGACGAGTTGGTGATGAAACTGTTAACTCATCATTGTTTCCTATGTGCCCGTCGATTTCCTTCGTTCATTCCTATAAGTGTGGATTGTTCGAGCGTGAATTCGCGTGCGCGCGCAGCGTACTCTCTGGCACCGTGTATTCCGATGCCTTCGCAATCATCCGTTTGCTTTCCACCTGATCCGCTTAGTCGCATTCATAAACTTGAGATTCTCCACAGTTGGAACGATAGACTGGAATTGCCATCGGTTCACGAAAAGCCGTGTGCCGTATGCGCGACGTAGGTCCGTACTTGCAATGTGCTCACTATCCGTCTGTCTTCCATTGACCTTTCTCCTATCACTCGAGATGGAGAGGCTGTGACGAGGTTAGAACGTCAAGCGTGTTCAGCTTCTACGATCCCACCAATTCACCTTGCCGCCGATGGAGCTGCCCGAGGCGGCAACGATTCTTCTGCGATCGCGGGTGTTTAAACCTCTCTTTCGATGCCACTCGCACGCACTCACCGGACGACGTTGCCGTGTCATGGCGTATGGGCGACGCACAGTGTTGCGACGAATGTACTGTGACGGTCCAACAACCCATCGTCTTCGCCGGCACCCGTGATAGGATGGCGGTCTTATACCACGACGTCATTTAAATCAGCTACATGCACTCTCTTCCACCTGTACTTCTCACTTACCTATATTACCTACGACTCCCTTTGTGAAATCGGACGTTTGGACTCCCACCTGTTATTTGGAACCGGCGCTGCCACGCCAACTCCACCCAAGTACTAGTAGCAGGAGACGCGCCTGTGGTGCGGCAGTCACCACGTGCTCGAGTGCGCGGACCAATCAGAACCGCTCGGTCGTACACCTGAATAGCCAATGACGTGGATGTCAGCAGCTATGAACTGGACTGTTCGGGGCACGGTCGGTCGACGTACTCAGCGCTTTGCTGTGCACTCTACTAGCAGGGATCCGTGCTGAAGCCGTCAACCGGTAGCTCAGCTCGCCTCGTGTCGCAGCAGTCTTTGTCTTCTAATATTCTGACCCACTGGCAGGGCACATCCTGGGAACCATTCAACCATTTCACTGATCTGCGGCAAATGCTTATTAGGTGCTCCGATGCTGGTCGGGACATAATCTCGTAGAGTTCGACCTCCAATCGGGATGTTCATTTCAACTTCGCTTTACCACCTTCATCAACATGAGACCGGTACCCAGACCTGCCTCCCATATGCATGAAACCCTAATTGTTGGGGACGTGGCCTACACGCTATGCTCGCTGCTGCCAGCCTGCTGTTGTTATGAACGCCGGGACAAATTCAGCTCCACAGCCGGACATCCGTGACTTCCTGATTGTTCCTCGGATACCCTTTCGTTGCATGATGGAAGCTCGCGCGTCGGATGCTCGATGCCACTGATTGATACTGGTACAAGAATGGGTGATCTATGAGAAGACTGGCAAATTGACAAGCTCTGAAAGCATGACACGAGAACTGACTCTTTGTAAGCTATTCATTGTAGTCCTCCTCGGTCATTGGGCGTTTACGTCGGCAGATCTAGCTTTTTGAGCATCCAAATTTTCACGCAGCTCCAATTTATCATGCACATACGTCCAAGCGAAGTACCGTATTCTAGCTATCTATGACCACCACGGGTTCACCTTTCCTAGTGTCCATCACTTCATCCTGGCCACGAATGACCTCGACGTCATGCTTGCAGTGAGAGGACGGCTCATGAACTGCCTCACGCGATGCAGTTGCACTCGAGTCCCGCTCATACTACGTTGCTCGTGCTCTGAAACGGCAGTACGATGGACATCGATGACTCTGGACCGTTTGAGGTTTGACTTAGAGCGTGTAACGTCAGCGCCCATCCCATGCGGTTGCAATGCAGGACGGCGCCGGAGAAACGGTTCCTTACCACCAGGATCTGACCGCCTCGTATGCGACCTCGAGCTGCGGTTCTATTCGATCTCACCTCACTTGACCGCACTTTTGATGCCCCCGTGATCTCGCTTCCCCTATATACCTGCGGGTGCCTTAAACGTCCCGGTGGAGACCGGCACCACAGGCGAATTGCTCAGGGAGCTCACTTCGACGAACTCTCACGTCTTCCCGTTATATCTTGATTATCCGATCACATAGCCACCATTCGAATGCTCTAGCCTTGATGAAGCTCGTACAGCCACGAACGGCCGACCAGAGCGCCTCGGCAGACTATGTATGGTCGCGAAAAGCTGACGATTTCCTTCGTCATACGGAAGTCCATTATTTTCGTACCATGCATTTTCTTCGGACAGACTGTTCAGTCGATATAAAGCAAACTCACGAAGCATCCTGCATATACGCCTTCCCGAAATTGTATGATGATGCTGTGAAGATAATGCTTTGTATTACATCTCCGATCAACACTCTGACCTCAGCACGGACTTACTTACACCAACAGTGCCCGCAAGCTGTGTATTGCAGCGTGGGAGAAGCTCAAACTCGTTGCGTACGGAGTCATTGTGTAAGTGAGATACAGCCTCTGCGTAGCGTGCGATTTGAGAGCTCCTCCAGTGGAATTGAAGCACAGGATATGTCATAGCAGGCACGCCAAAAGGAATGACAAATACGATAAACACGGGTAGTTGAAAGAGACACGTATTACGCGAGGTCTATAGTATGGCATGTATCTACTGAGGTCGGCTATGAAGCCCTGTGACGACGTTTGAACAGCCTTCAGCCATGTAGTGCGGTGCAAAGAGAAAGAACACAGAAGAAGCTGCGCAGAAATTCTGCGCATGCAACCAGTGAGACGGAGTGCCCAAAGCTTGCGGTGTCACTTACAAATAGCAAGCAAGCACGCAATAATCGTGAATGTGACAGCTCGGCCTGGAGGTCCATTCTCTCCCCTCACACGTAGTCCTCCTCATCCGACATCATCTCCTCCTCCACTTCGCCCATTCGCTCTTCCTCGTTCACGTCCTGATGAGAATCGTCGGCGATTGCAACATTGTCCGCCATGCCGCGCGGTTCGGCAATAATTTGATTATGCTCAATAGAGCCTTGTGGGTGAGTGTGATCGGTCTCCCGTGCTTGTTCGGTGCTGCTGAGGATGTTCAATTCGAACGACATGTTCTCGACGTCCGCTTGTGACTGGAGCCCATGCTGCGATCGGACAAAGGAGGGCGCTTGGGACTGCTCTCCGCGTGTGGACCGCGCTGCAGCTCGGACGTTGAGGAGGACGCGAGAGACCAGAACGGGACCGAGTCTGTAAAATCGTCAGTGTGTATTTGGTAGAGAAAACATAAGAGAATTGCTTCACGAGGTACCCAAATAACCGACGACATTTGCAACGCTCTACCATGTGCATAGTCATGTACGACAAACTAGTTAGGATCTAGCGGAAGATATGGGATCGGCGGAAAGAGCATGCACTTACGAGGTCCAGGAAGTTCAATACGGTTGCAAGTAAGCTCAGTAGTAGTAAAGTTCTGAAAAATAAGCTTTAGACGTTGTCAAATCGATTTTGACTCCACTCCTCACATCAATTGAATTGTGCCTATGAAAATAATGGATGCAAATGTTATTCGAACTCAAAGACCCACAATCATGGTCCGATAGCCGTACCGTCTCTGAGTAGGAGTGCCGCAAGTGACAGTTTCCTCGTAGACAGGATGTCAACGGTGGATGGTCTATGCTCATTATATAGCTTGCGCCAGAGAATTGCAAGGGTCATGATGACAGCAATTGCAGTACAGGCTGTACTGACTAAGCCCACTGTGGTGCAATCGTCAACGAAGTGTGGAGGAAAACATTCTCGAGTTCGGACCCACATCTATCGAGAAACAGATAAGCCAGTACAGATTCACTGATGATACTGGCTTACATACTTTGCAACGATATCTTGTGCTGAAGTTGAACTGCTGAACAGGATGCATATGGCTGTGCTATTCAGTACAAACACAGAATATGACATGTGGGTGAAGGCTTCTCATGAATTCATCGTTAGTTAATCAAACGCATGTCCCAGTCAGAAGGAAGCGCACCACTGTAGACGCTAATGACCACCTTGACGATCACACACAATGTGAGGAGCGTAACAGGCCGTCGATCGCCACCTGTCACGGCATATGTTCGCAATATTGTAACCGCTTCGCTATGTTCGAGCTGTGAGAATGTTTCATGAAGCATACCCAGCTTGCCTTCTGAGATTATTGCGAGGAGTATGGCAATCGGTTCGCTCGCCACGAACCACACCATACAACTACAACGTAAGAATAATTAGACATGAAGAAATATGACGTGAGGGGACAACTCGCCTCTACCATATTGCGCAAGTCGAAGTTGTATCCAGACGAGACGATATTGATTCACATACCGTTACAGTGTCATTGACAGAGTTCGTGAGGGACAAAATAGAAATGACCACATAGCTCAATGCAAGCATCCGATTGGCAAAGAACAACCATGCAGAGAATGATCGCTCTCCGCAGAACAGCTGGACCTCCTGGCCGAATGTTATAACATGGTCGAAGAGTATGAGCGCTGTGTGGATGGGAGTCGTCGATAATCAGTTAGCAATAACCGATAAGTGTCCGATTTCAGACCTGCGCCCGCGATGACAGCGCAATTGTTCATAAAACTGATAACACATCATTCAATGCAGTATAGGTCCAACTAGCTGAAAGAGACGCACGTTTCCTCCCATAGAATAATTGCTTCGGATGCTGCAATAGACATGTCTAGTAGAGGGATCGGAGTATGGAGTGTGAAGCGGTTGGCAGTCGGCCCGTTTATAAGCCCATAATTCATCATGATACAATGTTACATCACCCACATACCGATATATAGTACAAACCTGTTCACCTGCAGATGGGTTCGGCAAAGCAGGGAGTGGCTCACAATGCATGGCCCTGTCACGCACACGTCAACGAAAACGGCAACTGAACGAAGTGTGCACTTCGGAATGAACGAATCCCGCATCTCACATGAGGAGGAAGGATTGTGAACAGAAATCAAATAATTGATCCGTTGCTGGCTGCCATGACAACTATACCCCACAGCCCGCCCGCCTCTTCGACGTTGTCAGAACGTTCCTAGAAATTCCCAGTTAAAGCGATGGTCTGACCGCACGTACAGGCTTGTGCAAGAGCGGGCGGGGACGCCTCCGGAAACGGCTTCGCTTGCAATACGGATCGTGACTCGAACATTCAAGGCGAGATCTCATTAGGAAACGTCCCTGGTGGAGGACCAGTTTCGAGCTCAATAAATGTCCTGGTCCTACCTGTGAAATGTCGCATTCGATGTGCTGAGCTTGCTGCCAGTGAGCCAGAACAGCAGTGTAGGGCTCAACACAACGGCGATGTGGTCTTGTCAATCATGTTACCAAAATAAACAGGGGAGACAGACGAAGAGATGTGGGCAACGGTGGAATCTCAATTGGTGATCAAGATCTGCGATTGAACAGCGGGAAGAACGGATTCTGAAGTACGGTCTGATACTATGCCAGTGGGTCTCACCTCGCATGTGATGAAGCAATTGAATTGCTAAACGGCTTGATGCAACACCAAGAACATAGGACCGGAAATCACGGAATGATTGATCCTGGGTCTAACGTTGGCAGTTCTGTAAGTGAATCTTCCATGAAGGATGTCGATGAAGCTTTGAAGCAGAGAGATTTGGACAAAGCTTGGATCAAAATGGCCATGAAAAGGCTGCACGACTCACTGAGACGTGTGCCTACTATGACGTGAGGACCGCCTCTGACTCACCGAGGTGCGCCAACGCACGCATATTTCACACCACGAGATGGCCGAAGTGTCTTCTTCCTGTCCACCGGGTTTACTTCTGAAAGAATATGTATTGGAGTCGATGCATCAACATTTATCAAGCACAGCCTAAGCTGGAGCCTCAGATTTTGCAGTGCGCGGCAGTGAGCCAAGGGAGGACGCGCCTGTGGTGTGGCAACCGGTCATTCCACCATACGCTTAAGCGCTCAACACAGACAACGGTCAGCTCCCGATTATGCAACGCCCCTTGAAGTAACGTTCGGATCGAGGAGTCATATATCATACCTCGCGACCTGTCCTAGTCCAACAGTTTATTTGACAACGTGTCGCATGTGCAAGCCGCCGGCTCACTCGTAGTATGACCCATGTAACAGGAGTATGGTGACTAATTGCAGGCATCCGCTCATCCCATCGCAAACTTCCAAAAAGCTGACGGTTTCCGGTGCTGAAGACATCTTCTTTGACAACTCCTCCTCAATAGGCGCATGGACGACTCGCTATAGACTATAGAGAGATCGTCACATGACCGCGTCTAAATGATCGTGATCGTGGCCAGCACGTGCTACCTCAATTTCTTCTGTTCTACGGTCAGGTCAACGTTGAACGCAGTGCGCAGTGCACTAGTCGGGGGACGCAGAATGAGTGGTCTAATCTCTTGTGTAGCATGGTATGTTTTTCTTCCTAGTTCAATGCATCGGTGTACAGAGATCCCCGCAGGGTGAAAAGAGGGATCGCATCCCAACATCCGGTCAAGTATGTACTGGATGAGAAGGAACTTCAACGAGTCAGCGCGCTTGCCCGCATCGAGGTCGAGGATGCTCGGAAAGAGTTAGAGTCAGCGCATAAGGCGGCTGGCATGATGGGGAAGGGCGCTGAAGGAGATGAAGCGGACGATGCAGATGAGGACGATGAAAGTGTATGGGTAGAGTGAGTCTCCTCTTCCATTCATTCTTATGGACCTGAATGGACCTATACAAGTGAAGATGATGATGCAGAAGGGAACAATTCCATGGATAAAGACGAACCTATGGATCAAGACGAGCCCGCAGAAAAGATCAAGCCGAAGAGCAAGGCCAATGACGACCTCGCAGAGTACAACTTGGATGACTACGACGACGATGGTGCTATGCCTGGTGTGTTGAATCGGGTTCTTCGCATGTATCATGGCTGATTTGCACTGCGCAGCCACGGGTCCGTTCAGCAACATCAAGGGCCTCACATATTACCGCAACAACGATGAGGACCCATATATCACCCTTAAAGAGGTCAGACGATGTCGCTTCGATCCGACCCGTTCGCACACTTACGATAACGGTATTCCAGGATGATGAGGAAGACGAGCGACAAGAGCTCGAGATTCTTCCCACTGACAATCTGCTTGTCGCCGCAAAAACAGAAGACGAGATCTCACAACTTGAGATCTACGTCTACGACGAGTCGGAAGAAAACCTCTATGCTCACCACGACCTTATGCTTCCTGGCTTCCCCCTCTGTCTCGAGTGGCTCGATTTTCCTCCCGTTACCTCCCCTGCCGCGCAGGCCACCTCTACGTCGTCCGCAAAACAATTTGGCAACTACATCGCAGTCGGCACGCTTGAGCCCGAGATCGAGATCTGGTCGCTCGATACCTTGGAAACGATGTACCCCGACATGGTTCTCGGACGCCCAGACAAGACAGCCGCGCACGTCCCAATGCCTCTCGGGACAGGTAAGAAAAAGCGCAAGAAGACGAAGCACCGCGCGACCTCCTCCGCCTACCACGTCGACGCCGTGCTGTCACTCTCGTGGAATCGCACACACCGTAACTTGCTTGCGTCCGCCTCGGCTGACCGGACGGTCAAGCTGTGGGATCTGAGCCGCGATCCGACGATCAACGGCGAGGGCGGAGAGGGCGAAGGTGCTCTGCGCAGCTTCGACGTGCACAAAGACAAGGTGCAGGCCGTCCAGTGGAATGAGAAGGAGCCTACGGTGCTGCTGACTGGCAGTTACGATCGCACCGTCAGGACCTTCGATTCGAGAGCACCAGATGCTGGCGTCGGGGCAATAGTAGGCGCCGATGTGGAGGCGATTCGATGGGATCCCTGGGAGGCGCACGCATTCTACGTATGTACAGATCATTGGATTCACCATTTGTATGCTCACATCATTGCAGGTTTCGCTTGAAAATGGACATGTAGTCAACTTCGATGCACGAACGCTGCCCTCAAATCTCGATTCGCCGTCTCCGGCTCGCTTCACGCTCTCAGCACATCACGGCGCAGCATCTGCACTGGACGTTAATCCGCACATTCGTGGTTGTATCGTGACAGGCGGGACAGACAAGATCGTGAAGGTATGGAACGTGAACGAGGATACAGATCTCGGGAAGCGCGATGTCAGTCTCGTTATCTCCAGGGACCTCGGCGTCGTGGGTGCTTTTTGCATTGTTTGTGCTTCTAATCACTCACGGCATCTCAGGGAAAGGTGTTTTCTGCATTGTGGTCGCCGGACGATCCTCTGACCCTGGCTGCCGCCGGTTCGCAAGCCAAGTTGCAAGTGTGGGATGTCGGCGCCAATGCTGGCGCTAGGAAAGCTCTCGCACCGAAGATGGCTGAAGCTGGCAGAATTTTGAAGGAGAAGACTGGTGGTGGTGTCATTGGGGTCGTTAGCGACGAGGAGGAGAGCAGCGGTGATGAAGCGGAGGATGAGTGAATTGCTTCATATCTACAATATATATCGGGGTCTCTGGTCTGCTGTCACTTCGTGGAATGCCACAAGATGTGCAAGTGGGATACCGCAGGGCTACAAAAGGCATGCAAGGTGCTACATGAAATCATTGTCTGCAAAGTCATCCAGCGCCTCGTCGTACGCCGTCGTGTCAATCCTGAAAAAGGGAGTCAATGGCGAATAGGAAATCTGAGACGGTGTATCCGTACTTGTTTGCCAGTTTAGCTGCACCAAGGACCGGCTTCGCAGAGAGCTTTGGTTTTTTCTTTCCGGAAGCCTTATCCTTCTGCTCTTTCTGCTTCTCGTTCGCCAGTGTTGTTAGCACGCTGGCCGTCTTGCGAACCTCGACGTCTCGCAGTGGAATCGCCAACGAGCGGACGTGGTATTCGAGGAAGGCGGCATACAGCGGCTTGTCCTGGTGTCGCTTGATGATAAACTCAATAATCTGGTCCGAGAACTTGATAAAGTCCTCCTTCGTCCGAGGCTGGGCAGAGATGAGTGAGTCTAGCTCCGAAGACGAGGTGCCTGTCGCAGTGCAGGATTAGCCGACGCATCCCAAACACTGTGCAAGGAATACTCACCTCCAAGTGCAGCAGCACCGAGAAGTTCGCTAGCGTTGGCCAGGTCTGCTTGCAGTTCCCTTTCCTGGTCTCTTCTTGCCTTCTCCCTTGGGTCGAGCACGGCATCCTCATCGTACTCTTCGTCTTCAGCGACTGCACGCGCCGCTTTTGCTGCTTCAATCTCCGCGAGCTTCGCCTTCAGAGTCCCCTTCTTCTTCGGAGGTGCCGCGGCGGCTGCTGCAGGTTTCGCAGGCTTCTCTTCCTCATCCGAGGATGCCTCCCAGTCACTCTGATCAACGCGATCGCGAAGAAAATGTCAGATACTTGAAGATGATAGAAGGCAACAATATCACGCACGATTGGGGCATCGTCCTCCTCATCTTCGCCCTCCCATTTACTCTTCACGGGCTTCTTCGCGATCGGAGCAGGCGGCGCAGTGGTGGGTATTTCGTCCTCTGAAGATTCTGCACTCTTGCGTTGGTGAGTAACATAGACATAGCTACAGCAAGCAAATGATTGTACCCCAGTCAGACATTGTGGGACGGTAGGAAGGGCGCGGGGGTGGATGTAGTACAACAAACACAAGCATGAATGGCTTGCTCTCCGTACTAGTTTACTTCAGATCTCAGATTGATCGTGCTCGGCATTATCCGATCGCGGTGGTGGCCAACTGGCCACTCTTGCTTTGCGTTCGACCTCATGCTTGGAACTCTGACGCTCGAACGTTGGCTCGGCTCGTCTTGCAGTGCGATATAGCAGCTATATATGATTGTTTTCGACGAAATTATCTGCTACTCATTCCATCGTCAAGAAATTCCGGCAAACGCTTGCGGACAAGTTCCAGGACGTTTTGCTTGCACAATCGCAGCACTGAGAGATCTTCTTTCAAGGCGTATCGATTGTCACTCAATTCTGAGGCCAGTTGATTTGTGTGACCTATAGGTTATCATTAGTTTGCTACGCAGCGATTCTCATGGGCTACGACGTTCGTATCGCGCCGCATGCGTTGGCGCTCGGAGCTCAGACAAGCTCATCATCGGTCATTTGTTGCTCGCCCTCGACCCCGCCGTTGTTCATCAAGCAAAAGTCATGATTCGAGCCGCCTGAATCGATGCGCTTTCTCTACAGGTCTCCAAGGGCTTCTTTGGACGATGGACTGAGCTACCAATATCACGATCTCCCAGGTAACCTTGGGAGTCTCGTCAGCCACCGCAAGAGTGGACGCATGCGCATTGCACCCTCAGCCTGAAAATAGCTGTTGTATACGTTTTGATGCGTATCGGCAAAGTGAGGTATTGATATCGTGGGCAAGCACTGACCTCCTCTACGTGAAGATGTCGCCAAATGACATCTTCCGAATGGGCAGTTGAGCGGTGAATGAAGTACAAGGTAACACGTCAGTCGATACTATCCAAATAACTATAGTACATCGTCTCATTAAAACACAGTAGCACGCGACAATGAGAGAGATCACACCATTCCTTCGCCAGGGCAAATGAGCTTACAGTCGCACAAGCGAGGTTAACGTGGGCATAAAACCGCATGTGTCGCAGATACGTCCAACTTGGTAGCCCTTATACTGACTTGACTGCGTCTTTGATCAAATCGGCTGCCTTCTCTGCCACGGCAATCGTGGGTGACACCTACAAAATTCAGGGTCGGTGAGGAGTGACTAACGTGCCCAAGCTGCGGAACAACTTGCCGTATGTCCCGAAGTGATTAACGGGAAAACGCTTGCGTCCACGACTCTCAGGCCCTTCACCCCATAAACCCTCAAATAAGGATCCACAACACCGCCTTCTTCACGCGGCGCCATGCGCGCAGTGGACGTAGGATGATACAGCGTTTCCACCCTGTTCCGTACGAGCTTAGCAATCTGACCGTCCGTCATCTCGTGCAAGTTGTGGTTGAGGATGTCCACAGGCTCTGAGAGAGCGAGGCCTGTAGGGTCCAACAGAGAAGAGAGCGGCTCTGTTTGGATGAGGCGGCCTACGAGGCGGGCGGCGCGGACGAGGACAGCTACATCATGATCTGTAGATAGGTACCTGTAGCGATCAATCGTTTATCCTCCATATATTAGCAGGTCTGCAAACGTGGTAGTCTTACTGTGGGTCGATGATAGGAGCGTCCGACGGGTCCGAAGATTGCAATCGGATGGTTCCCTTGCTGGTTGGCCTGTCGGGACAAGCATTGTTTAGGAGTCAATGCCTGCATTGAGGAGAAAAAAAATGTCCGACCTGAGGAGTACCGTGTGCAAAGCAAAGTGATGCCCCTTGGGGAACCTCCCGAATCCGTGCTCAGTCCACGACAGCGGGCTTACGAAGAGCTCGATATCTGGAGCCCCGGGTCCAGAGGTTGAATCGGCTGGGATACCATCGGCGCTGTACAGAGACGTATCGGACGAACGAGCGAAGGCAGCCGCCTCTGCAACCTGTCACACAAGTCAGTGCCGTGTTTGACGTTGCGAGAAGCAAGACGGACTTACGTTCGAAGTCATCGGTCCGCTGCGAAAGAGCGCATATTGCAACATTACGCTCATGGCCATTAAGATATTGCGCGGTTTCAACACACTGCCTGGGTCTGAGTTAAGGCCTGAGATCATTGAGCGGCTCTTGTCACGGAAGTGATAATCCACCGAGGGGTGATCCATGAGATGTGCTCCAACGCCAGGTAGGTCGACCAACACCGGAATGTTATGTTCTGCGAGATGATCAGAAGGGCCAATGCCAGACAGCATGAGGATCTATATCGCATTTATGAACAGACTGTCGCACGTCGCAAGAGAGCAAGGGCACCTGAGGAGTATGTACGGCTCCGGCACTTGCGTTCAAGAAAGTCAGCGTCAAGTAACGGTAGTTGGCGAGCAATATCGATACTTACGACACAACGACTTCTTTCTTCGCTTTGACCTCGAAAGTCTTACCCTGTCCGTTCTTGAATCTGACAGCGACAGCACGAACAACTACTTCTCCTCCTTCGACAGTTTGCCCCAACACGATCTTCGTGACTTGCGCTTGGGTTGCTACCACCAAGTTGGGCCGGGCGAGAACCTCTGGCGTAAGATAGGCCGACTCAGTCGTGGCGCGACGCATTTGTGGGTCGATAAATGTCACTGAAAGGCGGACCAGCTTTGAGAATTCAATGCCTAGATTCAGATAAATAAAAGCTCACTGGTCTATCGAGATCAATCGTCATCAGACGACGAGGACAGGAGTGCAGAAGTGAACACACCTTGCTCGATCCCAATGTTCCTTTATGTGTATTAAAATCCGGGACATTGGGCAAACCAGCCTTGTCGCAAGCCTCCAAGAACGTTTTCGATGTATCAGACGCATACCCATAGTACCCGACTGAACGAAACGTTCAATCATCTATTCGTTCACTTGGAGGCATTGGGGACTGACCATCTAACGGGCCCGCAGAACCTCGGAGAGCGACATCTACGAGGGAATACTCTTTGCTTGGGTGAAACTTCTCGAATTTTGTGAAATAACTGGTGAACGGAGGTCAGACTTCACTGCATGTTAAACAGAACGCTTCGGCTACCGGTTGAAGTCCTCATAGGTCCAACCAGAAGCTCCCTCCTGGCCGTGCTGCATCGCAGCCCATTCATCATAATCCGAAGGGGCACTGTGATGAAAGCTGCTGCACATCAGCGTCATACCTTCAATAACAGTATAGGGGACGCCTTACATCATAGCATTCATTGACGAGCCTGAGGCGAAGATGAGCAGATGCTGATATCAACTCAAGAGGATACTTACATCCTCCGAGCATCCTCCCTAAAGAAACATAAGACAACAGCGGGAAGGAGAGGAAAACGTTGCTCACCCCTTGGCCAATACCTCGACTTTGCCCCTGCATTGACCTGGGGCACCGTATACAGATTATAGTCAGAGCCGGAATGGAAGAACCTTTGATATAGAACAGGAACACGAGCTAGAGGGTTTTGCGCCGAACTTCGAGTATAAATCGCGTTAGCAAAGGGTGTGATGTATTCTTGTAACTCCTACCTCTTGCCCGCCTCCAGAAGCAACACTCGAATGGTAGGGTCCTCAGACAAGCGAGAGGCAAGCACACAACCAGCAGTGCCTGTGGACGCCCGTTGATCTTCACGGTTGGAGGGCGTCAATGATCAACTCACCTCCGCCCACGATGACCACGTCGTATTCCTCAGGGTCATACTGGTCCTCGCTGCTCTTAACTTGCCGTCCCACGCGTCCAGGATCGCTGATCACTTTAGGCACGGTCTTGTTCGAAAATAGATGACGCAGCACGACCCTGAGCGCTCCTAGCACCGCTGTTGTTGCCAATACAGTCCGCAGAGCCTTTGCGACGGCCGGAGTGCGGAGCAGGGCGACGAGTCGATTAATCGTTTCCGTCAGCTGCACTTGCCTTGGCTGCATGGCTGTTCAAAGGAGTCAAAGGTGCGTGCGGCGCAGTATAAAACCGTCGGAAGCTCATCATGATGCGCGATGCCCACGGGTTCTTACCAGAAGGCATGATTCCCATGATCTGTTCGGTCAGATGGCCTGGGCAAGACAATCCCCACCTCTTCCCATGTGGTCACTGCGCTTAACCGTGATCCTGTGATTGCCGCTTTACCTCCCACCATCGCGCATTGTCATGCCCGTTAACAGTTGATTGTGTCGGGCACCGGGAGCTGGCACCTCAGTCGTCCAGCCGGAGAGCGGACTCAAGGCCAACAACATGGTAGCCAAAAACGACTATCAGGATCGCCTGGTGCGAGCCACTTGATAGATGATGGTAGCTCATGGCCTGTGCCAGTGCCCACGGAAGTATCGGAACAATCAACTGTCTAGCTACGCTCTATGCCTCTACCGAAACTTCTTCTTGGGCTAGAGGCATCTGAAAGACCGTTACTGCCCATTATCCGCCATATGCTCCAGGCCCCAGGCTCTGCAAGTCTTCCGCAGCTTCATCCATCCTCATTTTGCTTCGGAATTTTCCATCCTTGCTACTCTCTCGTCGATAACGGCACCGAAATGCGGCATTTTACTGGGACCGTTGGGCATTCTACTCGGTTCGTGAAACCAACTACGTCATCTGCAGTGCAGATTGGTTGCGCGAGGAAGCACCTAACATGATCATGGTCTTTCTGGCAACCTTGGCTGGTCATCACTGCGGCAACAGATACTGCGTTGAAGAAAAGATTGCAGCGAAGTCGGCCATGCGAGCCCGGCCCAGCCTGCTCGTTCTGGCTGATCTGCCCCTGAATCATGAGAACAAACGTTTGACGTCCGTTCCGGCGAGCAGACCACGTCATCATGAATTCTCACCAGGATTTCCTCTCCAAAGTACACAGCAAAGCATGCTCTCAACATGTATTGGGGGACGCGAGGTCTAAAGCTAACATCCCTTCATACAAATGCACAATGGTATAGCGACGCTTTGCGCTGTCGAAACACATCACTTCTCTCAGCGTGCCTAAAGCAGCCCACCGCTCGTTGAGCCATATGATATTCCTGGTACTCGACTGCGAACAACCGCATGTGTGCTCTTGGGGTCGGAAACCTCCATTTTGTTATGTCAATGGCTAATAAGAGATTTGGACGACATGGTGCGACAGGTATAAAACGCGTCTGCACAGTGCGTGTCCGTGTCACCTTTGAGGGCACCTTCTGCACCTCACGTCTCGTTTCACGTAAAATCTGTTGCTCGCTGACATCTCCGACAAGTAGGTCCGTCCGCGAAACGCTCTGCGGTACTTCTCAGAGACAGAGAGCCAATCGAGAAAAACGCCCTATCGCTTTCCGCGTTAGAGTCCGGTGCATCTTATCATCGACAACCTCCGTCCTTTGATTCGCTCTTCGCGCTGATATCTCATTCACCACCTTGTCACAGCGCGGCTCGCGGTTTGCTGCAGTGGAGGATTACATCCGCATCGATCTCATATCGCATTCTTTCATTGATTCCGTATCATTCTCGCATCGCCAACAATTAACCGCGTCGTTCGGATGCGAAAGCACGAGGTTCATTTGTCTTCAAAGATCGCGCTGCCTCCATATGGTGAGAGGCGCGGAATCTCACCATCACGCATGTCTGGAAAAGTACCACCACGCTCGCATGCCAATGGGAACCACGGAATTTCGCTGTCCCGACCCTAGACTTAACTCGACATTTGTTGCCGCAATAGTCATATCGAGCCCATGGTTCCTTTTTCTTTCGATCAGGTGGTACACAGCTGCAGCTGCTATAGATCTAGCAGGGAGTTCCGCTTATTACATTGATGACCCGTACAGGAAACGTAGCATGTCAAACAAATCTCCCGCGATCAGCAAGGCAGACATGAGGTGTCATGGAAAAGTACCATTTCCCATCTTGTCGACTGTACTCAGTAATCTGGACATGCCGCCCTACACGATCAGTCTACGTGGCATCTTGACTTCCCACTCTGTTCCGGACAATTAACCTCAAAATACATAAAGTTGCCATCGGCGAGACCAGGGCCCGTACATTCCCATGCCCTCTGGCATATCTACCCATTCTTCAGATGGTGTCTCGTCGTGACATTGCTACTAAGGCTGTGCAGATCCCGCAAGCGAAGTGTTTTGACGTTCTTGGTCTCAAGCCCGATGCTACTGAAGAGGAGATCAAACTAGCCTACAAGCAGCTTGTGAGACACTCCTCGACTCGGTTGGCATGTTGTTGATGTGCCACAGGCATTGAAATGGCACCCAGATCGCCATATCAGTGATAAGGAAACTGCTCAGAAGATGTTCATCGAGGTATGTGCTGCCTAAGAAACAAGGCTTAATGACGCTTAATGTGATCATTCACTAAAGATCGACGAGGCTTATCGAACTTTGCTCGCTGCGCTTCAGTACGAAAATCACGAAGCGCCTCATGTTCCTGATCCTGAGCACAGCAGTTCATGGGCTCCTTCGATGTCGGCACCTTCGTTCTCGTCTATTCCAAGTACACCCGTCAGCATGACTTCGGAGAGCGACAGACACCGCGACGGAAAATCAAAGTACGATATTCTGCACGATACTCCTTGTTTTAAGTTGATTGCGACGCACAGGCAATCCAAGCAAAGCGCTATGCCTTCGACAAAAGCACGATCGCCGACTGAAAAAGCTGATCATATTCCTAGAGCACCATCCACGAAGAATCGTTATAAACTTTCTGCTTATGATTTCGCGCAAGAGTTCGCATGCCCCATGTCTCAGAAGTCTTCAGTTAAGCGCTCCGCGAAGTCTAATAGAGTACAGGGAGAGACATCGAGTGCCCATCAATACGAAGCGACTGATCCGCATCCCCGCTCCGTCATTTCTCAGACCTCGAATTCAGGAGATTCCGCAGCTACCTCGTCTACCGGTAGCTCATTGCCTCCACATTGGCGCGTCACCGTAACGCATAACAAGACCATCGCTAGTAGACATCTCATGCGTCACGGAGATGGTCCCGGCCATAAAGGAGCTCCAGCCAGTCATGGCATGCTACCTGACAAGCTCTATCCTGATGCATTTAGGAAACGCCAAACGCGTCAACGTTCCGAAAGCAGGTAAGGCCTTCACGTCGGGATCCTTAACTGAAATGTTGAATGCTAAATCGATGAACGTCTATAAGCAGTCTGCACGGCCTGCACAAGAGAGCCAAGCACTCCGAAGATGCCATAACTTATGAACACCTGGATTTGAGCACTCGCGTTCCACCTTTCCATTCTACAGATTCCAAGAACGACTGGATCTTCCCGCTCCACGTCACTCTGGAGGAGCTATACTACGGCATTGTCCATCGTTACAGTATAGCGCGCACACGCTTGTCTGGACAACTCGAGGATGTGAAGGTCAACATTGACGTCTCTCCTGGCTGGTGCAGCGGCACGCGGGTCTGTGTCTTGGGCGTCGGAAATGAGTGCGAGGACGGGTCTTTCCAGGATATCACCTTCATCGTTGAGGAAGTGCCGCATCCGCGGTTCACAAGGTTGGACGATGATCTTGTCGTTTCTGTGCAAGTGCTACCGGTTAGGACGCACCCAAGTCCTCACATGCCTCCGCAGAAGAGGCCCGGAGAGAAGTCAGCGCATCCTGGCGAGGTGGTCGTGCAAGGCCTGGACGGCGAAGAATACGCATTGACAGTACCCCGCGCGTCCGTCAAGGGTGCTGACGGGACGCGTATCGTCGGAGCTGGTATGCCCGTCTTGAGAGATGGAAGAATGGTTGGCAAAGGTGACTTGCTCATCAAGTGCGCATTTCCTCCCTTCCCTGGCGTGCCGTGGTTGAAGGAGCTTTGTTAGGTGGGAGTTTGGCCATGCCGAGAAAGATGCTGTACAGCGGTCACGGTGGCATACCCTGAAGGACGTGCTCCATTGGCGGTCTTGATGATCTCACTTGCGCTTTCAACAAGTTGCTAGACATGATTTGCGACCGAGATAGATGGCAACACTGTAAGTATCACACTTCCTGACCACGACCTGCATGCATTAGATACATGGTATAGCAATGCATAAAATTCCACCTCCGTCAGAGTGCAGCCCCTTGGTCACTACTGGTGCGGTTTCACAGACGGTCAATCGTCTGCTATGATGTATCAGGAATCAAAGGGCCAGATAGGGGCCAACAATTATAGATGCTATATATACATGATCGCTTGTCTGAGGTACGATAAGAACCGTTCGTGGCGAGATGGACGAGCACGGAGCGAGGGATAAGTACGACGACAACATATACGCAGTATTGGAACAAACAACCCGGCCGCACAGCATGCGGCAGTATGAAATAGGGGGTAGCAAGAAACAAACGTGGTATACTCGAGGAGCGGACAACGGCGAGCCCGCGTCTACCGGGACTGGGACAACGGAAGAACGGAGGAGAACAAACGGTTCGGGACGAGGTCGGCGTTAACCCGCGGGTGCGGGACCTTCGCCCGATCCTTCTGTATAGCCATGGTGCGACGCCCGTTGTTTCCTCATCTTCGCATGTCTGTCCTCCTCCGCGCCCCCGCCCACCGCATGCGCCTGCCTCCCCGGTTTCCGCGGCGGAAGCGTCCTGCTCCGCGTAACGCCCACCACCGAGCTCTCCGCGCGCGACGGCGGCGACTCGAGCACGGGCGAGAGCTCCCCGCCCTCCGCCGACGCATGTATGCTGGAGGACCGCTCCGTCGTGGTGCGCCGCCGCGTGATGCGCCGCGCGCCCGCTTGGCCGGGCACGCGCTTCCACCCGCCGGACACGGCGTGCTCGTCGTCGGAGCTGGAGAGGAGGTCCGTGTGCTCGGAGGCGGCGGGCGGGACGGTGACGGCGCTGTCGGAGCGCGCGGGCGGTGGTGGGATGTCGAGCATGAACCAGTCTTGGTGGGCGATGAGGAACTCGAGCACGTCTTGGCTCAGCTGGTGCTCCTGTGGCGAGAGCTCGTGGCTCGGATGCGCGATCAGCGCGGGGCGGAAGATCACTGCGAGATCTGGGGGGGTTCATCGTCAGCCGCGTGTGTGCGCTTCACGACTCATCGCCGCACGTACTCTTTGCGGTCATGAGGTTCTTGTCTGATTTCCGCGCGAACACCGAGAGGAGGTCGAGCACGTAGAGGAGGAGGTACTGGTTCGCGCGGGGCATCGAGCGGATGAGCCGCTTGTACGTCTGGATCACCTCGTCCTGGTTGAACGGTTTTTTGGCTGCGCTAAGCGTGTGAGACGGGCGGGGCTCTCTGCTCTCTGAGCAAGCGTGCGTGCTCACCAAGTGCATCGCGGAACTGGTAAACGGGTCGGTCAGCGACTCAACGAGCGAGAGGGGGCGCACTGACATAATGGTACATGTCATGGGGTATCACAGATTCCTGCGCGGGCTGGGATGAGCGCGTGAAGGGATGGGAAGGGAGGGGTGGGACGTACGGGCATTTGGGTGAGGTATCGTCGGAACACGCTTGCGACGTCGTGTGTCGTGTAGTGCTCCTTTTTCCATTCGAGGTTCTTGCCATACTGTGGGGTGTGAGCACGACTGGGTACGGAAGAACCGGGTCCCTGCTCGGACGTACTCTAGGAGGAGACTCGAAGGCCGCCTGCAACTCTCGCATCCGCTTGGCCGATCCGTTCACGCGAAAGGTCCCCTCCACCTCCGTCGCTGGCACCCCCGACGTCAGCCCGCAGCGTGCAAGGGGCGCAGCAGCAGCAATAGGAGGCAGCACTCACCGTTCTCCTTGAGATAAAGGCCACTGCACCACACGCACCCACAACCGTATCAGCCCATCAGCGCGACGAGCCCTGATCATATGTTTGGGAACGCACCACTTTGCCACGACGACGGGGATGTAGCCCCACACATACAGCTCTCCATTCGCATTCGCGGTCGAGATCTGCACACTTGCGTACTTGAGGCTCTCCTTGAGCGGTTTGCCAAACACCACGCCCTCCCCTGTATCACATCCATCCGTCAGCAATCGCCCCGCACCGACTCCGAAACAAAGCAAAAGCCAGAAAAAGATTTAAGAAAAAACTCGCCTTTCTTCTCCTCCGCCTCCTTCTTCGCCTGCTGGGCGAAGCGAAAATGGTTCCACCAAGCCTTCAGACTGGCCTTGGTCTGCTGTAGTGGCTCCTGCTGTGCAGGCAGCCCAGTGGCGTTGGCGGTGGTGGCGGTGGTAGTGGTGGCTGTGGCGGTGGCGGTGGTGGTGGTAGCGGTCATGAGCTGCGAGTGTGATTCAAGCGGCTGCGCGCGAGCGTCGGGACTGGAGTGCGGGGACGAGCGGGGTTGTGGGCGGGGCGCAGAGATGGCGGCGGCGGACTCGGAGGCGGAGGCGACGGCGGTCGTGTTCGCACGGCGGCGCGCCCGTGGTAGGAAGCCCAACAGTGGTCTGCGGCGGCGCGAGGCCAGCGTAGGGAATGATGATCCAGAGTGGCGGTGTGAGTCGCGGTCGACGAGCCCAGCGCCGTGCACGGCTGAGATGAGCGCGAGTCGGATGGCCTCCAGCTTGTGTGCGTGCTGTGATTTCTGGCGGCAGGCGATCAACGACAACTTGAAAGTGGGGGAAGCGCGGTGGAGGACGCTGCTATCTATCTGAATCCCTCTCCCGACCAAGCGTTCGACGCCTTCCTATTACTCGAATTACGGCGTATGAAGCCCTTCCACAGGAGGCTCTTTTATATCCCGGCTCTCGGGGCCGCCTTTCTGATGATGGCATAAAAAGCAAATCACACTCCAACGACGCGGGGAAGTAAACGTTTCTCTGTGCCTTACACGGCTAGCCGTAATGAGAAGCAGGCTCAAACGAATGTAACTGTAGCATACGTATCTAGCAGACTATCGTAATCCAAGAACGCACAATGAACAGCGGGCTATAAGATACCAAGGACATCACAATCACGACATGAAATGAAAACATACACCAAATCCACGAGACCACTACACCAGCCCCCGCCCTCCCATCTGCACCGTATCGCTCACCGCCCTCACCAGCTCCTCCCACATCTGCCTAAGCAGCCCGCCCGCACTCTTCGTCTCGACCAACGGCCCATTCCTCAAGCGCCTCCTCACCTCCTCCACCGCTCCCTTCCCCACAGGCGCAGGCCCCGGGCCCGGGCCCGCACTCGTCCTCCGTCTCCTCAGGCGGAACACAAACGACAGCAGCGGAAACACAACGAAGAACAGGAGGTACGCCGTCAGCCGCGCGCGCGACATGCTATGCAGCAACGCCTCAAGCGACGAGCGCACCAGCGCAAGCGTCGTCGGCGGGCGGGGCTGTGGGGCCTCTACAGGCAGCGCGCGCGGCGGTCGCGGGATCGGAGATATCGCCCCGCGCGTGGACGACCCCGAGCGCGGATCGCGCGAGCGTGCCTGCGCGCCTCGGCGGCTTCTCGTGCGGTTGGAGGAGCGGGAGCGCTGTCGCTCGACGAGGGCGGGCGTGACGGTGCGGGAGGTTGCGGCGGAGGAGATGGACTGGGAGGAGCCGGAGTGAGGCGAGGGCTGCATGTGCGTGAGGGATTGTAGGTCGCTTTTGCCACCTGGACGTGGTGTTGTGGGTGTCGCGGTGTGTGTGGAACCGCTTGATGCGGAGGATGCGGGGGAGGCGGAGCGGGCGGGTGGGAGAATGGGTTCTGTCGCGGACGGTGGAATGCTCTTTTGTATGCGATTCCGCTGGGATACTGCAAGACCCTGGGCATGGAGGGAATGGAGGGATGTAATCATGTACTGTGAAACTCGACGGTCAGTCACTGTAAGCACATTAGACTGCCAGTCCCGCAAAACTGAAACGTAGAAGCGACGGTGCGCAAAGCACACGCCCTTGTGCGCTTCTCTCATACAACACGAACGACCAATGTGAGGCCACGTCCTCCCCGTCTCACAGCAGCATAGGTCAACGGTTCGTCCACAGTTGACCCGTGGACGAACCGCTGACATAGGTCTGGACTGTCCGACGAACGACGAACTGTTGCCGCACATCGCCCGACTCTCTAATCCTCGACGAGCCCAACGAACAGAAAGACCTACATACCTTCCTCGTCTCAAGCGGCAGCTCCATCTCCAACTGTATAAACTCCTCCGCATAGTCCCACTCCTCAAGCCTCGGGAGGACATGCAAACAATACAGCTCCAACACCTTCGCATACCCCTCCGCATCCTCCGCGCCCTCCTCTCCTCCCCTCCTCGCAAGCCACTCCTCGACCATCCCCCTCCCAACCTGCGTGCACCCCAGCTTCAAACTCGCCAGCACGAGCGTAACCAGGATCTGCGCAGGCAGAAACGCCGCCGTCGGCTTCCTCGGCGGGTGCGCAGGCGTGAAGAGCGCGAGCGACCGGTTGTACACCGTCGCGATGAACGGCTGCGGCGAGAGCAGCAGGTCCTCGCGTAGCGGTAGCGCGACCGTGTCCGAGTCCTGCGCGGCGGGCGCAGCGTAGAGCGTCGTCTCGAACGTGATGCGGAGGATCTCCCACTTGCGGCGCTGCCCCGCGAGCGGGTCCGGCGTGCCCGCACCCGCGGGCGGCGGTGCGAGCAGCGTGAAGGCCGAGGCGAGCAGCGCGTGCGTGAGCGCGGTGTCGCGCTGGAGAAAGGCCCGCGCAGCGCGGGGATAGAGCGAGCGGAGCGCAGCTGCGGTCGAGTTGGACGACGTGGGTGATGTGGGGCTGGAGGCGGCCTTGAGGCTGATGCTGGCGGGCGCGGCGGCCTCTGTGGTTGTGATGATGCTAGGCATGGCTGGGCGGGCGCATGGGGTGGAGGTTAGGTATATACCTGCGCAGTAACGTGAGACGGAGAGCGTGGTTTTCTCAAAGCGGTAACCCGGGACAAGGGCGCGTCCCGCCTCCGCTTTTTGCCGTGGGCGGTCGTCGCCACTAGTGTCGCGATTGCCGCCCCGCCCGCTGTCAAAGTCAACTTATATTCAACTGCATTGCAATCGAGTACGTTTTGCAAGGTGGAGACTTCAATACAGAGCTGTCGTACGCGTGCAGGGCAGAGTACCTGAGACCGGAGTTACTGAAATCACGCGCTCACCCCAACGTCCTCCGTGGTCACTGCGGCATTTGTTGGCATGGCGTTGCCTTATGCTCAGCGCCAGATCACTTTTCCGCGGCGATACTGGACAATCATATCTTGCGAATCATATGTAACGAAAAAGCACCATGTTTTCTCTTGACTGTAAAAGTTCAACGTACATCCTAGTGAGAGGCAGACATCACAAATACAGAGCATTTCTCATGCTTTCCAATCTTGTGGACATGCGCACTACGCACTACGGCAAAATCAACCGAGTCGACAGTCAGTTGACAAAGTCGGACCGCAGAGCCTAGGACCAGTCCTAACATATTTGCGCAAGTCAGCCCTCGAGCCCCCCTCATCACGACAGGGCACACACGCCGGTGGAACGTTGACTAGGCATTGAACAAGCTTGACCGTTGCTCAACGGACGGTGAGATGTCGTAGCAGCGTATCAACAAGAGATTGAGGCTTCGTGTCTACTGAACAAAGATGAGCTGGATAACAAACGGGAGAAGCTGAACTGCCTGGCCGCACAAGCGACAGCCATTATGCAAATGCCTGTAGTCATGATTCCACGCAGCGCAGGGTCATCATCGTAGCCGAACATTGCGGCGAGGATGGCGTGAGGCCCTGGTTTTGGGACATGCACATAATGTGTGGGACAGGACACTCAAAGCCCACTGCTTGATGACATACAAACGCTTAACGTAAGAGACTACCGCGATGGCACGGCTTCAGTCGACTGCATTCAGCCACGGATCGTCAAGCAGTTCTCTAGCACTCGCTCTCTCCTCAGGCTTCCACCTCAACATCTTCCTCACAAAGTGAAGGAACAGCGCCTTATCCTCCCCTGCAAGGTTCTTCTCGGCATCCTCCAAGCTCGTCTTTGGAATGTCAGCTACTCCCTTCCAGTTGCCTGTGCAAATGTTACGAGCCATGTATTTGTTCCGATTATGAATGATACACACCATTCCTATCGAACCATTGCCAAGGACGATCCGTTTGGCTTCGCTCGAGGAAGTCTTTCGGTGGAAGCCCGAGCAGTGCGATCATATGAGCAAGGTGATAAATATTGTCCTTTTTGTTCTCAGCTCCTCCTCTAGTTTTGAACAGATTGCCGTTCTCAAACAAATCCCAAATCTGCAGCATGTGGTTCGCATGATCTTTCGAAGATTATGAAGACTGTATGGCCCACCAGAACTCCGACGTTCCAGATATCCACTTTCTCATCCCAAGGAATGTCTAAGATAACTTCGGGAGCTCGATATTGATATGGTTGAATGTCGTCCATCGGATTCAATTTGCCGAAACGAGCCTCGCCGAGATCACAGAGTACCGGTCGGCCATAGTTGTAGATACGAGGGACCAGCGGTCGGGATGTGTGGATGATTCGGTCACTGTCGATTTTGCGCGGACTGGGAAACTCTACCTCTTGCTTCTCAAATTTCTTCAAATCATCTTTGGCAGAGTTGTCGTCCAAGCCTAGTAAAATGTTCTTCTCCTGAATGTCTGAGCCATTCGGGCAACGCATATGACGTGAACATAGAATAGATGACTCACCAGTGTGTATCACTCGAGCCTCAGTATGCAGGAAGTCGAGAGCAAGAAAGATGTGCTTGAGAACCAACTTCAAGAGCTCGGCAGGCAGGGATTTAGTGGTAAGCATTTTCCGAAATCCTCGTAGGGTGATCGCCAAAGGTGAGTAAACGATAGCTTGATACTTCTGGTTATGGCTGGTGACTTCGAACTCATCCAGCATCTCGCGAACCAGCGAAGAGCCTATGTGGCTTGTTTTGATCGTTCTCAAGTAGTTCGAGACTGAGAGCTCCCCCGAAAGCCCATGGCAGGTGCCGATCTTGAGGGTCACATGCCGATGCTCCCTGGCGAGGTTGAGTGAAGACTAATGTTATGCCGATCAAGACAGGCTTACGCTAGGTCTCGACATAGCCATACTGTAGCATATCCTCCGTACCCTAGTTTTCCAACGACCTGATACTTTGACTTGAGGACTTCACCTATTCGCACTGGATAGAACTCGTCTGGTCTGTACCACTCCCAGGTCTCCTCTTCGACCAAGCAAGAGTTGTCGATGACCTCGAAACCACTCGTAGGGAACAATCGTGGGGGCGATGGCCTTCGTACGAGGCGGCGAGTAGCACGGAGAAGATACGACATTCAAACTTCAGACCGAAGACGTAAGTTCAGTATGGTAAGCGAGACGGCCGAGGTTCGATTACGGTTGCCCGCTCAGGCTATGTAGTCCAAACCTCCGAGGTCGGGCGTTTCGCGTCACACGCCCGCGCCACATCATCACGTGTGGCGCCCTGCGAGGTCGCTTCTTTTTTTGTTCAAGTTTTTCGTCCAATTTTCGTCTCGTCTGCTTTGCACGTCGCGTACGTATGCCCTGTAGATACGTACAGCCCTCGTGCCCGTCTCATCCGGAGAGTGTTTATACCGACAAGGCACACACGATGGTGGAACGTTGACCAAGCATCGAGTAAGCCTGACCATTTGCGCTAACGCACGCCGCGGAGATACCTGTGCACATTTCTTGGGATGCTGGCATTCAGTGTGCGATACAGACCTAGTTATCTTGCCTGACACCACGGGCGATGAGCATATGGCCGGAGTCAACATGAAGCCCACAAGCACGATAGCATCCATAGCAAACTGCTCTTGAATGGTAGAGGATGAAACTCGGCGAGACCAACAAGCCGACTAGCCGAACAGGGACATCGCAAATAATCCGTAATCGACGTTTCAGGTATGGTCGAGGCATAGTAAGGTCTTGCAGCTGGCCCAAATGAGAGGAGCTGGGTGATGGTGTAAGACAGGTGACTGTAGGGTTGCGGTGTCCACGAGCACCGAAACGAACGAAGCGTCATCCACAAATTTTGAAGAGTGGTAGCATAGCCTTTGCTCCTCTAGTTAAAAGCGACATGGCCGGCTACCCTCTGCATTGCCGAGCATGGATCAGCGAGCCGAATGTCAAAGAGATCAGCGCATCGGAGCAGATCCAAACCCTGCGGCCAGCTGAGAAGAGCCCGAAAGCAAAATTGTATCCCAAAGCAATTTGACGTAGTGGCAAATTGAGTGTTCCGATCCGCAAGCGCACACCGCCGCTCTCCCATTCTCTGCAGCAAAGCCCGAGAGTTGCGGAGAGAGGCCACACGCCGCCCATCCGCCCATCCCAGGACCAACTCGAGAATTGCTCCCCGACAGACCGCACGTCAGCAGGTCCGCAGATCTCAGCAGCACTTACCTGTACGGGCATCCGGGGCCAAGCCTCGTCCGCACCGCCAGCGAATCGCGCCGATGAGATCAACTCGGAGCCGGCGCGTTATCGCGACGGGATCGCACCTGGATTCTCGGAGGATAGGCCATGGTGGCACACGATCATGGAGCGGCGGCGTCATGCCCATACGTAGCGCGGCAGGGCAGCACGCCCGAGCGCACAGCCGCACGCCCAGACGCGGCGCAGACACTTCTCGTACACACGCGACCATCGCATTGACAGGCGGAGAAAGCGTTTCAAGTCCCAGACGTAGCCTGCAAGCGAGTAAACAAGAAAGAGCCGGCAAGCTTTGGGCGCTGCAGTGCCCTTGCAGACGACGGACCAAAGCAAGGAGCGATGCGCGGTGGGCGCCCGGTAAGGCTAGTTACCCGATCGTAGCCGGGATCACAGTGCGCTCCGCCTGATTGGTCGTTGCTATATGCCGGTTGATCGGGAAATAGCTATATAGGCCGCAGTGCAATGTTTCCCTCGCTCCCCCTCCCTCGCCACCTAATCTCTCTCTGTCCTCCTGATCCCCGGCCATCGGCCACGGCCTCCCCGTCAAGGCTCCTATCCACGGCATCCTAGCGCGAAACGCTGCCCAGGTAAGAAATTATCTTCAAGGCAGGTAGCCCTACGTCGAATACTACGGGCTGTGCATGGCTATCCTGGAATTTCTGCTGGTCCTCTCGCATCTCAGGGCGCACTTGTTCTGCACGCTCTTGGCTTGCTCTGCCTGCGACGATCCCCATCTAGAGCCTTGGTATCTGGATGACCCACCTCGTATCTGACAGATGACAGACTGGCGCATATCACGTGCGCGCACGACCGTGTACAACATTCAAGGTGAGTTGCGATCTATCAATAATGAATGCCCATCCGCATGTTCAGCGACTTATACAAGAATACAGTAACCTAGATCTAAAAGAAACACCGACAAGGCTATATCAAGGTAAACCAAGCATTACACGGCAGTCAGTGACGCCACCGCAAAACATATCCAAGATTAGTGCAAGACCGTGTAATCGTACGTACTCCCTGAGGACGCAGAGCTCACAGCAGAAGCAAGCCTGCCCATTTCAAAGTCTCGCACCACGGCACCGCCGTCCTCGCACTCTGTGGCCCACCTATCGTGTTCCGGTTATGCCACATGGACTCCATCAGCCCCAACATCCTCGCATGGTACCCAAACGCATCGCTCAGCATCTGCAGCCGCCTCGCCACCATGCCATGCACCGCGAGATCACCTGACAAGCATCCAACGAGATACAGCGGGAGCATCAACGCCCGGTCAAACTCCGACGGTGTCAGCTGGTTCAGCAGCATCATGATCTTTTCGACCGATCCGCGGATCTCGAGCACACCTACATTGACCCCAGTTAGGACTCGTACTCAGGCGAAGGAACGGTGCGTACGTACCCGGCAAAGCGTTGTTCAGCACGGTGTGGAGGTACAGCGCAGCTGTCTCTCGGAAGATGTCCGCGACGAGCACGCGCCGCGCCTCCTCCCGTGAGTCAGCTGTGACATGTTGGCCCATGCCCACTGACGACGCCGAAGCCGACGTCGACGCACTGCCCTCCGCGTGCAAGCCCGCCATCGGCGGGCGAAAGTTCATCGCGAGGTTGCCCTCCAGCGGTGCGATCGCGCCTTCGCCCGCATGGTGCGCAGACGACCGTTGTCGGAGCTGCGCCTCGATGTGCTCGCCGCGCTGCACGAGCTCGCGCACGCTCAGCTTCCCCTCCCGCAGCTCCGCCTCCTTCCAATACGCAAGCGCGGAGATCTCGGCAAGGGCGAGCATCGCCTCGTCCGGGCATCCCGTAAGCGCGTCCATACGCGAGTCCGCATTGTGCGCGCCCGCCCAGAAGCCCGCGCCACCGTCGCCGAACAGCCGCCGATAGAGCGAGAAGAAGCGTGGTGGCTGCATGAGCGTGATGCTCACGAGAACATCGAGCCACTGCCAGAGTTTACGTCAGAAGGGCTGTTTTAACGTAACGAAGCGAGGCAAAGCGCGCGCGAGAACTCACCATGGTCGCCTTGGCCGCGAACTTTGCTCTGGGGTCCATGTTCATCAGCGTCAGCTTGGGGTTCTGCTCCTCCGATATGCGCGTCTGCACGAGCCACTCGCAGGCGATCTCGAGCTCCTCGGCGCACGACCTGCCCGCGAAGAGGCGGAAGCTTGCAAGCTGCACGGCGGCGACCGCGTCCGTGTCCGAGTATTGTCCCTGGTGATGCAGGAGCTGGCGCGCGTGGTCGTAGTACTGCTCCGCCATGGTTTGCTCGGGCGTCAGATTTGGAGAATGTAGTTGGCGCGCCGAGTGCGCGCAGGTGTAATGTAGACTAGATAATGCACAGATCGCGTTCGCGACGGGACCGTCTGGATCATCGAGCACGATCTGCGTGAAGTGATCAGGATCTGCGAGATCGGGGAGACGTGTCACGCGAAGCGGGATGCTTCGCGGAGATGGCTCACCGAGTACAGGGTTTTCGTGAGAGAGTCGTCCGCAAAGACGAACTGCAGCTGCCGGACGTACTGGAAGTAGTATACGGTGAGATCGGGCGATGTTACGTTGGGCTGCATGAGCGGTGTCATGGATAGCGTTGGTGTGTTGCTGGCGTGCACGCCCGATGTGGCTGGAGGAATATATGGTGTGTATGGCTCTTCATTACTGGGAACGGGTATGGTAGGTGACAAGGGATACGGAAAGAACGGCATCGTCGGAAACGACTCCTGCATGGGGTGAACGGGGCTCATCGGCTGGGTGTAGTGTACTCCGTGGCTCATAGATCCTACCGCTACTCTCACCAATAAGCGATTATGCTCACGAGACACAGAAAGGGAGTGCATACCTGCCATGGAGGGTGCGCCACCTGGAGTATGTAGTTGGTTCCGCGAGGGGGGAAGGCTCCGCGTGTGACGTGGATTCTGGAGGGGCGAATACCGCCCGACAGAGGACGGCCCCGAGAGCGTGGTGGTCGGTGCATTATACGGCGAGTCTCTTTGCATATATGCGGTGCGCGGTTGTCCGCGGATCTTGCCCTGCCGTGTCAAGAACTCTTTGATCTCGGCTCTATATCTGGCTACCTTCTCTTTATCCTGCGAGGGGCATCAGTACAAGTGGATGACTGGAAGACGTCAGGAAGGTGATCAGGCACGTACTCGCATCCAGTCAGGACGCCTCGCGCCCCATCCTAGACATTTGAGGCCGAGACGGCGACACATCTTGCACGGGCCGCCCTCCACTTCTTGCTCTTCGTCGCATCTCTAGCAATGTGCACAAGCACAATGAGTGGCTGAACAAAGCGGGTGGAATATACATTGGTGCTTACCTTTCGGCGGAGCCGACACGTCCTGCAGACAGGCGTGTGTCAGCGGGGCAACGTTGCGAAGAATAGATCATGACGGGACTGACCAACAACCACCTTTACTGGCGCCGGCGCCCGACGAGGAGCGCGTCACATCAGCCCCCGAGCGCATCGGGGTCTGGGTCTCGGCAGCTGCTGCTGACTGTCCGGAGGGCGCGCCCTCGGGTGGCGCGTGCGACATGGAGAGCGCGGAGGTGACCGAGATGGGCGAAGCGTTGCTGGAGGACACGTCGGGATAATTTTCAGGAGACGGGCTGTGGCCGCCACCGCCAGGCGAGCTTTGGGAGTTGTCAGCCATGGCACGGCTTGTGGTGCGGGGCGTGGCAGATTAAGTAGATCGCGACGGGGCGAGGCGCGACACTGGATGTATGATGATGCGTCGGACGGAGGAGGATGGCTGGCGGAGGCGGTGGGTGTTGGGGGAGGGTCGGCAATTACGACTGGAATAAGACACGGAGGTTCGGTGGTACTTCTAGTCTAAATCGAAGATACCGAGGTGCGGAGGGGGAGAAGAAGTTGTCGCCACCAGGGGTTCTCCGCCTCGGAGGATGAGAGCGAGGCTGCAGGCCATCATGAGACCATATGTTTCAGTCGGAACCCGCTGAGCTGTGCGCTTCTGCGTGATCTGCAGAGGAGGGGGCTGCAGCGAGCAAGTGGTCCGTGGGAGCAGCCATTCCTCTTTCGTCGGGTGCACCGCCGTAAGCGCACAGCGTTCAAATCCCCGTCCTCGTCGCGGAGCCCGCAACATTTTACCCTCTGCAGCCGTCGGAAGTAGCGTCAATTGCACTGCTTTCCCCTCTGCGATTCGAATTCGAAAGTTCCGGCTTCTGACTGTCTCTTCTCGCGGACGCTAGGCTTCCTCGACATGACCTGTGAAATCACCCAGCCAGGCACCGCTTCCCTCTCCGCCTCACACAGATGAATCTCCGCTCACATAAGCCACCGAATAATCCGCGGCAGGGCCGCAAATAATATCCCACCTGCCATATGGGGGAGCTATCCCCGCCACCAATTCGGCGAGTAGATCACATCAATGCGATTATGAAGATCGCGTGCGACCGTTTCTATGCGCACCACGACATAACACGTACCTTCGCTGCAAACTCTCCGCCAACGACGCATGCCCTCCCTAACTCCGTGCCATCGGACGACTGGCGCCCCCGCTCTCCAAGCGAGCACGCTCCGGTCACCGGCGTGCGCGATAGCAGCGGCGGATCACCGCCTCCAAGCGAGCTGCACAATAACCCTGCTAATTTCCATTGAACCTTCCGGTGCCTATGGCCACCTGAAACTCGCGGATGTTGAATTGATCAAGTGCTGGCTAGCCCATTGTCCCACCCGCGCGCGAGCGTTTGCGGACAGCTATCTCTGTGATTCCGGGCCTCGAGGTCGTGCTCGTGAGTCCCTAACAGCACCGCTTTCCGCGTACACCTACGCGCCGCGACTTCCAGAATAGCAGGGGACCGATGGTGCTGACTCGAATCGATTCTGCGACGCTGTGGTGCACGTGAATGCGGAGAGCAGACGCAGAGCGGTGTCGACTGAACACGCTGCCAGGTTGTGCAGCGCTTGTGATAGGGTGGTCGTCTGGGTAGGACGGGCTCGCTGCCGACGCGGCGTTTCGCAGTGCCATAGTGACGGAACCAGCCCAAGCAGGTAGAGGAGAGAGCCAACAAGGCTGGCACGCCTCTGTCTGTTATACGCCTGCAGCCCCTTCGATCGCCGCGCACTCGTGCGATAGGAACGTTCCACGCATCGCGGGCGCACCACGAAGCGCATATGGGCGGCGGCGGCACAATGGCGCAATGGGCAGGTGAGGGGCCTGTGATCCCGCACGGGGCACCATGACCTTCCTCTGCCCAGGAAGGCTTCCTTCGAGTGGATCCAAAGTGACCTCATTGATCCCAGGGAGCGGAGATGCGGCCCAGGAAGATGATCTCGGGCGGGAGGAAAAACAAAGTAAGGGCACTATCACCGATCAATGTGTGCGTTGCCGATGACTCGAGTTTCTATGTACTAAGTTCAAAACCACTATGCTCGGGTATATCTGTCAGCTGCCGCCCACAGCCTAGTACACCACGCTAAGGCTCGTTTGTTGCGGTAACGTCTCGTTGACATGCCGTTCTAGGAACATATTGACTGTCTCATTGAACCACCCTGGTACCATACCATATTTTCTACACCGACAGTAATGCTAGCGGCCGCCACCGATACATGTACGTACATACTGCGGCGGCCGCGACAAATATCGCCTCGATCTCAGGACATTTGTCTGATTGAGCGGCTCAGCGGGTGGCATGTCGACTGATGAGCTTCAAAGCGTGATGGAACCATCAGGGCCAACGTCAGCAAACTTGATCGCGTCAGCTATATGCAGCAAGTCTCCAGGAAACAGGCGGCCGTCTGCGCAATCACGAACGTGCCATCGTCGCGGGCTCGGCGAAAAGGACGACATATGTGCATTCCATCCGCATATGAATATGTACAGGTGTCATTGAGTGTACTAGTACTTGTCAGGGACCTACCGATGCGATGGCTCCCGGCCTGCTGTATTCAAACGACACCGAGCCTCGAGGCAACCCTTGTACGTGCTGTCCCACAGCATCGAGTCAGTGCGCATACGCGGAGGGAGTAGCGCACCGGTCTCGACCCGCGTAGAAGTGGAAGACGTATATACATGCAGGCCATTCTAGCGCCCACACGCCGCGCGCAATTGTGAGTCTTGACGTTTGTCTTGTGACCCCCGGTGCGATCGTATACACAGCCATCATTTACACCGTCCTGCGGCAGGGCGCGGCATGACCGCATGGGGAAGCATACACGCCGAACAGCCCGGCGCTTCGCGAGTCGCTATCCTCGGGTACGGTCACACTCGGCGATCTAGGCCTTGCTTATGAGGAGATGCGAACGAAGCGCCCACACATTAGCCTCGCTGCAAGAGCCAGCGGTGGCTTCACTCGTCTTCTAGAGGCCGGTATGTGGTCGGAAGACGCAAGTTCTGGCAGTGCCCTGCAATGATGAGCATGAGTTCGTGGCGCCAAGGAAGGAGCACGACGAACCTTGGGGCGCGGCACCTGTAAGAAGGCACTCTAATTGACCTAGCGTTGCACTGCAGGGAAGCCCTGCATCCCGGCCTATCGCCATTCGCAGCACTCGACGCATGACCACAACACGCTCTCCTAATGCGGCCTTCGCAGCTGCCGCCTATCGCAGCTCTGCCAGATAACGTCCATCAGCCTCACGCCCCTTCCCCCTAGCGCGGAGCACGTACGCAAAGTCGTCTTCCAGCTCAGCGAAGCGGCGATTCTCCCGCTCGCCCGCTGCGCACGAATCAGTGCGTTTCGTCGCGGGGTTCTACTGCATGTGCTCAGAGCACGGCGCGTGGCGCGCAGTCATCGGCAGAATTCCATGATCTACTGATTTCGATTGTGCCCTATGGAGATCCCTGCGAACGCGCGCCGCGCCGCTCGCAGCTTAGAACAACCATTAATACATTGGGCTACCGAAGTGATAGATGTAACCAAAAGCACGTACGAGATGAGTTTTATTAGACGACAGCTTGAGCGGAATGGAAACATGGGAAACTTACAAGCCCGAGATCCGACGAAACGGCAAGGAAGAAAGACGTACACGACCAATGGGAGCGCGGGAGCGAAGAATCCCTGTACACGTGCGTCGCGCTTGAGAGAAAGTGGATGGCCTGAAAGCGAGAGTGGAGGATAGAGTGCATAGCAACAGCGAAGAAAGCAAGAAGAGAGCGAGAATAAAGAAGAAGAAAAGATTCTATACAAGCAGCAAAAGGTCGTTCTGCGACTCCTCGCGCATGACATCGCGCCAGTTGACCGGCTGGCCTTGGGTGCTATCGCGGCGCAACCACACCTTCTCCATGAGCGCCCTTACCTCGGAGATGTTCCCGACGTTATCGCTCTGCCTCGACTGCTGCGACTCGAGCAGCTGCGTGAGGAACATCCGATGACGATGATCGTCCGTCAGGCAGCCCGCGATGCAGATGCTAAACACCACGCTGCGCAGCACCGAACGCGACATCGTCGGATTGTCCTGCGGCACGCGCCGCAGACACTCGATCGTCTCCGCCACGCTCGTCAAGATCTCCGGACACGCAGGGTGATCGCCCGAGAGCACGGTATGCAGGTACACGCGCGCGGACGCGCGGAAGATGTCGTTCGTCAGCCGACGGCGCGCCGCGACCTCTGGGTCCGTCGTCGTCGGGTCGAACCCGCGGGGCCCATACGCCCCGGGAGCAGTCGCGAGGTACTTGCTGTCGATCTCGAGCCCGCGCTCGACGAGCTGCGGCACGCTGAGGCTCCCACGCCGCCTCTGGCTCTCCTTCCAGTGCGCGAGGTTCGAGATCTCCGCGAGCGCGAGCACGATCTGGTTCTCGCAGCCCATCACGGGCAGCATCGAGACCTCGGGCGAGGTCGACACTGGGTCGTCGATGTACGCCGTCGTGCGCCCGAACAGGAGGCGGTACGTCTCCAGGAAGCGCGGCACCTGCAGCGTCGTCACCGACGCGAGCACGTCGAACCACATCGTCGTTTTGATGATGAACCGCGTGCTGTCCGAGCATTTCTTCAGCACGTCCTCGGGCCCGTAGAAGTTCGGACTGTTGAGCATCGAGTCCACGTATTGACTCGCGATGTTCAGGTATGCGGCCCACTGCCCGCGGCCGCCTCTGAACAGGAAAGCAGAGACGATGTGCAGGCCGGCCATGGCGTCCCCCTCCGAGTACGAGTGTTTTGATGACAAGGAACGTTCAATCCTCTGGTAGATCGCGTCCATATCTGCCGAGTGCGTTCGCAGCGGGAAGCGGGCGCTGTGCATGTGGAAGGCAGAGAGTACGCACGCAGCATCACGCGCGGGCGCACTATGCTGGAGCAGCCGGAGCATAAAGCTTTTGATAGACGAGTCGGCGAGCAAGTACTGGATGGGCAGCACATTGTACAGATAATGGGTCAACAGATCACGCTGGTCGTCCGGGATGGTGTTCACTTCATAGAGGTTGCCACTCATCATCGGGGGGATCCTTGGACCTGTCGGAGGCGGCAGCTCGTGTTCGTCGTCAATGTAGTTCACATTGAAATGATAAGTCGAAGAGAATGAACTTGTCGCTCCCGCACCAGGACCAAGATATACCGATTGCGCAGCAGACGAGGGATACGCAGAAGATGGTGAAGGGCCGCCCGCCATGAGCCCTGCCAACAAACGAGGGCATTAATTGCTACAGTTCATAATACAACTAATAACGGTACTGAGTCTTACAGGACGAAGGGGAGGAAATGGGCACTAGACTAGTAGAGGATGGTAACATATTAGAGGGTTGCGGGGGATAGAGCATGTCGTTCACGGTCGGCAGCACATTCGTGTTGCGACCCAACGACGGATCATGGTGATGCGAACCCAAATCCGGGAGCGTCGGTTGCCAGCCTATAAGGATTCAATATTGTTTATGGAACAAAAAAAATTCAAGATACATACTGGCAGTGTAAGGCTCGTGCTGCATGGCCTGCGCAGTCGTCGAATTGTAGTGAGAACCGTCGCGAACGAAAGACGTAGTCAACCCGCCGTGCGGTCTGTGCGTCTCGCTCGAGCTCGCAGACAGTGTCGGGGTAGGAGGGCTGGAGGGGGACGAGCGCATGTTCTCGACCAGGATCAGCATCTGCGGGTCCTGGTCTGTCGCACGGGGTCCTGAGCCAGAATGGCCTTTGATCATGCCTTGTGAGGCAAGGAACGTCTTGATCTTCTCCCGCAATTCAGTTACGCTATTGTTTTCCTGTAATGAAATTAGCGCACTGACCCCTATCGGTGTGGCGTCGCCGTCATCGTTGACGACGACGACGACGACGACTCACCCTCATCCAGTCTGGCCGCTTCGCGCCAAAACCAAGGCATTGCAGACGCAGTCTGACACACGTCTGGCAGGATCCTTCAGCGTTGGGCTGCTCGTCGCACTTCTGCTCGCACAAAGGGAGCGCCACACCAGACAAGAAAAAAACGCGAAAAAAAAGTGACGATGAGCAACTGGATGACGAGTGGCGCGTCGAGCGACGCGCTAGACAGACGACGAACCTTTCTGCGGATCCGACAGGTGTAGCATCCCGACTTAGCGCGGACGGCGCCTTTCGGCTTGGGCGCTCCGGTTTTCTTGGACCTTGCGGCGTTGGAGGTGGAGGAGACCACCTTTCTAGGAGAGGAGGGCGCGTCGGGCATTGTCGGCGTCGGCTTGAGTGTAGGCGGGGGAGGAGGGGCAGAAGACGCAGCCGGCGGAGGACGAGGGGGCGGTTACTTGGGATGGGACAGGTATATGTAGTCCTGGGCGCTGGGGAGACGTGCGAAGGAGGACGGAGGTGGACGAGGGCTTCCCTTTTCCATCGACTGAACCTTGCCGCCCACCCCCGGCCACCGCTCTCTTCCTAAGCGCCGGCGGGGTCCTGCTTGGTCAAACCCTCGGCTAGACGCCCCTGCTCGGCCGGCTCGCTAGCGGACCCTCATTTTTTCTGATCCCAGTCTCCCAGACTCTCTTCCCGTGCCCGGCGCCCGTTCGCGTGTTGTCGCTGACTCTTCTGCCTGGCCACCGCACACGGGCGCTGACCACTGAGGGGCACCAACGAGAGGGGCGACACGCGAGACCGAGTAAGCTGCGCGGTGCGCTATCGCAGGGTGCTCGCTGGAGATAGGAAAAGCAGACCGCGACGGGTGGGGCAGACCTCGTGGGACTGGGACGGGCGGTCATGAGATAGCCCGATAAGTATATCGCCGCTGAGATCGGAGTGGATATCATGCGATTCCCAAGGCACCCGCCTCGGTCGCGACAGGTCTAGCCTAGACCGCGCGCGGTCAATTGCCCGCCTTGCTGGGAAGTAACATACCACAGTCCTGTGCCACAGCGCTTGTGCGAAAACCTCCGCCACGTTGCTCGCAGGAGTCGCCGTACAACCTTCATTCCGCACGACAGCACCGTGTCGCGAGACCACCTTCGTGTTCAGCGACCGAGTCAGCTGTGCACCGTTTGCTGATGTAGCTCCGGATGGAAGATGTCATACGCGCATCGGAGGGAAGAGAAGCCGGCGCTTAGGTAATTGATACTCGGACACCTCGCTCCTTGCAACCACACTATGCATAAGTCCATCATCTTCGAGCGGCCTCCTTCCGACGAACTCCAGTCCACGCGTGTCCCGCTAAGCAGTTATAGGACACCGACTGCTGGGAACACCTGTCCCCCTCGAGCAAGACAAGGATCGCCTCGTTTCATATCCTGTCAATGCGCGTGGCTAGAACTCGCCCCACCGTTGCTGATGCCGAGCCACTGCGCTCCACGACAAATTCCTCCCGTAACTGCTATCCCATTAGAGGTCGTGTCATAGTACTACAATACAGTCCACCTTCTCAGTTTCTCGGAACCAAAATGTCGCGATGCCCACGCGTCGTATCATATCGTATCATATCGTATCGTATCGCCCTCCTCGAGCGAGCGTCCCCGATCCGTCCTCTCGAAGCGGAGAAGCTGTGCTCCGCCAGAGATACACTCACTGCGTCCGAGCGAGCCCCAGCCCATCAAGATTGCCGTTCAGATGCCGCTTCCTGCCCCTGCAGCGCATGCTGCGGGGCTGCCCCAGCGCTCGCGAACATGCTCCCCCCGCTCAGACTCAGTCGTCTCGCAAACGAGTCTCGTCTCTTTCCCGCCGCTGCGTGGCCACTCGCCGCGCCATGTCCAGGCAGTGTGTTTCCACCCTGTGCATGATACTGATGGCCACCGTGTCCGTGGTTCTGCCCATAAACCTCCGCGTTCGGAGCACCAGCAGGCGCCCCGGCTGTCTTCGCTGGGTTAACAGCGGGACCGTCCCCGGGCACTACTCCCTGCCCCGATCGGCGAGCGATGAGCGCCCGCACTGCACTCAGCCACTTGATCTCCTCCTCCTCACTAGGCGCGCACAGCAGCAACGTCCGCTTGGTCGTCACGACCTTGAACGTGTGGCGTCCATCCACGCCGTTGTCCGCGCCCACCCCGCCCTGCGGAGGCGATGTGCTCGCTGGCACGGCCATACTTGGCGTGTGGCGGTGTGGCGGCAGGTCGTACTCGAGCGCGTCCAGGATCTGCGCAAGAGGCACTTCGCGGTGCGTCTTCGTGTCCTGGGAGATGCGACGTGATGTATCGGGCAGTGCAAGGAAGCAGGAGAAGGACATCGCGGACAGCATCGTAAGAGCAGTATTAATAGAGCGCCCATTGAGCCCGCAGAATGGAACGCACGTACCATGTGGCTCCGGGAATAGATGAGCTTCTCCCCGTTGAGCACGAACCAGCGTTTGTGCCAATTATGTCTTCGCGAACCGCATTTCATCAGATATCCGGATAGAATCGCCTTGGGCAAGTCCTTGGCTGTCCCGGACTGCCTTGCCGGATGTGGTTCGTGGCCAGCAGAAGCGTGTGTGGCAGCAGCAGGAGCGGGCCGTTCCCCGTCCTCTGAGTCAGAAGAGGTGAGGTGTTGCCCATGAGGCGACTGCGAGAGCCTCGAAGCGGCTGGTACGTGGGTGTTTCCGGCGTTCGTCGCCCTCGACGGACCATTGGTCTGCTCATGTGTGGTAGGGATCGGAACGGGAGCGGTGCCCGAGTTCTCGGTTGAAGTACTTAGAAGATTTATACGTGCGTCGCTGATAGCTTTTACCCATTCCTGCACTTCCTGAGGATTCTCCGCCTGGAGGTAGAACGTGCGCGTGGGCGAGACGAGCCCAAAAGTATTCGCATGCTTCTTCAGCAGCACGGGCGTGCACGAGTGCACGTCGGTCAGGTCGAGTAGACGCAGCAGTTTATACTCCGCGTTGGTCTTGTAGAACGCGAGGTGTGCAGGACGCAGGACGAACCAGCGCTTCTTCCACGTCTATACGTCAGATCGTGCGCGATATGCACCGCGTCAGTAGCAGGCACGCCATCGACTGCATCCAGGCACACTCACCTTCCTGCGCTCGCCCTTCTTCCAGAGATACCCGCTCATGAGCACGGTCTCATTGAGCGACCCGCGCTCTTTCGCGGTGACGTCTGCAGCGCGCCACCCGCCCTCCTCGTCCTCGTCCTCCTCGCTCTCCTCGCCCGCGGACGACCTGCGTTCCGCAATGGACGACAACGGTGGGTGCGGCGACGGGCTCGCGCCGAGCAGTGCACCGCTCGCGGACGCACTGGGCGCATCCGGCGAGAACATCGAGTCCGAGTCCGACTCGGTGCCCGACACGGGGCCAGGTGCTGCGGACTTCTGTACGCACAGATCCAGCGTCGACGTGCATGGGAGGTAAAAGTCAGCTGAGCTCCCGCGCACACAGGCATATAGGGTAATTATAGATGGGCAATACAGACCTTGGGGGGTAGCTTCGCGCGCACGGACAGCTTGCGCGTCACCTCGGATGGCGTGGGCGGTGGGGCGGAACGCGACATGACGTGGGTAGATGGATGCGATGGTATCGTCGTCAATGCGATGGGCGATGTCGATGGGGGCAACAGCAGCTGTCGCTCGAGCTCGAGCACAGAGAGCTTGGAGATGAGACGCGCCTCGACCAGCACGTCCGGTTGTCGCCAACCCTGTGCCACCGCTGATCAGGCGGAGCTCGGCGGAGTACGAATTTTCGTGCTGCGGTCATGAGCTTTGTGGCTGAAGTATGATGGCGCCGCCCGCCGCGTCGAGAACGCGCGATGCGGTCGATGGTCGTCAATCGGCTGTAGAAAGGTACGCGATTTTGACGATCCTGCGCTTGTTGCACGAGGATCGCGAGGAAGAGCCCCCGCATCGAGCGCGGAAGATTGCGACCCAATCTCGACGCCACCTGCCCAGCCAGCGCGGGCTTGCCGCCGTTGCGCACACAATCTCACACAAAGTCGACCGCTCGTCCGTCTCAGCGCGCAGTATATAGGCCTCGTCATGCGGAGCATAGCGCGAAGTCTGTCTTTATTCCCCATATCGTCCCCCTTCATAATGCTTACCCCAACTCTTCTTGACCCCAGGACGCGATAGCGGAAGATAAAACGGAGTCTGATGCTAGATGCCCCAGCCAAAGCTGTCTCTCTCTTTTCCACCTCTGATCTGACCATCCCCCGCACGGCCTCCACTGCCCAACCATGTCTGTCTCCGAGGCCAAGTTCGACAAGGCTGTCAAGATTGTGCAGGGCCTGCCCAAAGATGGGCCCGTGAAGCCCACACAGGATGACCAGCTTTACGTGAGTCCTTTGCTACATTTAGCCCGACATCCGTCCACGACGCGTGCATCTGACTCTTGCCTGCCCGCCGTGCGGCGTCGAAGTTCTACAAGTACTACAAGCAAGGTGCGCATCTCTCCGCGTCGGGACATGTCAGCTGCTGATTGCATGCACCGAAAAAGCCACCATCGGAGACATCAACACTCCGCGTCCTGGATTACTTGATTTCGTGGGCAAGGCGAAATGGTGAGACTGATATGGCACCGCCCCCTCCTGATGCATCGGGCTTCTCCGCCACCTCGAACCGCGTCCGTGCTCCGATGTCCAGCGTGCTGATGCCTCGTGCAGGGATGCGTGGAAGTCGGTCGAGGGCACTTCCAAGGAGGAGTCGCGAACAAAATACGTCGAGAGGCTGCTCGAGGTGCGTGTGGTCCCTTACTCGGCTGGACGTGCCTCGTGTACTAAAAAGTGCCGCGATGGCGTAGATTCTGCGGGCGGCGACGGACGAGGATTCGAAGAAGTACATTGCAGAGATCGAAGCTGCGGCGTAAAGTCATCTGTGCATGCCATCGAGCGCAATTGTTCCCCAGCAAATCCGGGGTGTATCACCATGACTCCTTGATGAAGTCCCTGACCGCAGAGCTCAGGTGATGTGATGAACTGTCCATGTCAGGTCTTACAAAGGCCGCAAATATCATGCAATACATACGCGATGTGGTTGTGATGTAGTGCGCGCGCCCCGAGTGCGCGTTCCGGGGAGCGCAGATCGGGAGCGAGGCTGTGGCCCTTCCATGACGGGTGGAACGAGGCGCGCACAATAATACCAAGGCCCCTGACCTGACGCGACCGTGTCGAGCGTTGATTTGGGGCGCCTCTCATGGGCTGCTTCCCGAGCGCTCCGATACGGAGGAAACTGTCACTGCTCCCTGATGCGTGGCGGCCAATCAGCGCACCCACATCACGCTGACGCAACCAAGGTTCGTACTCCGCAGCAGGTCTAGTGCACGCCCGAGCAAGGATGCAGGACTGGGAGAGACCCCGCGCACTCTACCCCGAGTAAATTTGTTCCTCCCGACCTTGATCGGACGCCTGCGCACCGCCCTGCGTCTATCGCCCGCGTCCGTGATGGCGCACATTCCAGCGCGTGCAATGATGGCAGCGTGCGCGCTACGCCCGAGATTGCGGGCAGATTGACTTGCACGGCGAACGTGGAGGGGCGTTTCGACGCAAGGATTCGTGGATCGCGGCGTTCTCGCATGCAGCGCCTCTTCGAAGCCACCTCAGGGTCTTCTAACCGTCGGGGTCGGCGCTTCCTCTTCCCCGGTCACGAACTCTACCACCACGAGCGAGCTCGTGATCAATTGCACCGCACTGAGGGAAGTTTCGTTCAGAATAGTCCACTGCAATTGAGTTTCAGGCATCGACGTCAGCAGGGCCTTTTTGCCTGCATCCTCGTGCATAAGCTTAGCTCCGACTGCCGCCGCTAGATCTCCGTACTGCTAGCTACAAAATATATTTCAAGTGCTTCTGGCCTACGCTACATCAGCAGTCGTACAACATTCGGCAGCTCCGCCCGGAGACTCAGGCGTGTGTGAAATCGTGAAAACATCGTTAGAAGCAGACAAACATCGTGTCTCGTGAGCATCGTGAAGCGTGAGCAGTAAATAGCGCATTTAACAAAACGGGCAGAAAGCGTCCGTAGCATAACTTATCCCCAAGGAGGTCTAATGGACGACGCACTTGCAAGATATACCACAGATGCAACATGGGGAAGTGGGGTCAGGTCCAGTTTTCTACAATGCAACGATCCTCATGGAGTAGATGCAGAGCCTGACGATCGGCTCGTTCTGTGGTCGGGGTTGGCGACAAAGAGTGACGGCTTAGGCGCGACGCCATACACGCTTGCCCGCTCCTTCCTAGGAGAGGCCGACAGTGGCGGCCGCTCAGGCTGCACATCCTGCGACACCCGTCGCTCGTATGCCTGTACGCGCGCCGCCACCTGTCCCACTGACGGCCGCCGTGGCGAGCTGACCTTTGAAGACGCCGGCGGCGACGGGAAACTCGCTATAGAGGCCAATGTTCGCAACGGCGAAATTTGTTCCGGCGACTCCAACGCCTGCGACTCTGCGCTCCCACGCGACGAATGTGAAACGACATGTGCGAGTGAGGGCGAGTGTACGTCGACGTCAATCTCGCTATCCGCGCTGTGCCCGCTTGAATGCAAGCTCGTTGTACTCCGCTGCACAATGTCCATCGTCCGTCCCATCTTGTCGATCATGTCCGAGTTGGCTGTCTTCGCCGTCTGCAGCGACGACGCAGAGCGCCCGTGCTGCGTAGTCGAGTACGGTTGCTCTCTTCTACTCAGGTCTTCTGGCCCTTTCTGGCCCTCTACAGGAGCATCGCCCTCCCGCGCTTGGTTGGACCCTGTCGACTCCTCAATGGCAATGAGCCGCGGCGGTGGGTTCGGGTCGCGGATCTCGAGCGGCCGCGATGCCCTGCTCGCATCACTTGCGTGGCGATCGAGCAGGGGCGTCTTCGCGAAGCGCGTCCACCAGCTGTTCGAGCGCCGCATCGGCACGGCCGGCGGCGACGGACTTGCGTCGAGGATCGACGACCGCCGCGCACGCGGGGAGCGCGCCATCTCGAGCGAGCTGTACGAAGGATTCGGGGTGGAGGAGGAAGGCGCGGGCGCGAATGGTGTCGTGGTGCTGTGTGATGCGGAGGATACTGTGGCGCTGGACAGGGTGGGCACGGACGGACGCTCGGAGACGGGCGACAAACGTGTCAGGTCAACGGTGCCGGCCGTGGCGCGCATGAACGAGTACGGACGCGGCGGGGGGTCGTTGAGAGAGGGAACCTTCCGCTCCGTGATGTCCGCATCATCATACGGCTCTTCGTACGCTCCTGGGGCCGGAAGCTCTTCAATCTCATACTCATCAAGCGGGTCCTCGTAATGCGAGTACGACGACCGCGTCGTCGCATACGACGCTTGCCGCCTACCCTTCGGTCTGCGCGGCGCTGCACCCGCCCCCTCGCCCATCAGCGCCGCGTCGTCCGCATACGGCTCGTGCATGCGCTCCTTCTCCCACCAGCTTCTCGCCGATCGCGATCCCCCGCTCGGCTCGCGCGAGCGCACTGCGGCGTACGCGAGCACCGTGCCCCCCACCGAGCGCAGCGATGCGAGCGACTCGTGCATCACGCTGCTCCACGTCGGCCGGCGCGGGTGCGAGCTCCACGAGGACTGCCCCGCGCTCGCGTCCCGCGCGTGCCACGGCGAGTCGAAATGCCGCGTGTCCTCGTCGGCTAGCATGTCACGCCGTGCGTGCTGAGAATCGGACATGAGCCCGGGGACGAGCAGTCCAAGAGTACTCCTAACGCTCTGCACGACGGGGAGGCCGCCCTTCGCCCGACTGCCAGCCATCGGGACATCTCCGTGCGCATCGGTCGCATGGTCTTCGTCGGTCACGGAGAGCACATGGAAGCTCTCCTGCGTGCGCTGCCGCTTCACGTACCAGGCGGCGGCGATCGCGCCTATGATCAGCCCCACGACGCCGATGACTGTGCCCAACACGATGCCGGAGGATTTGTGCGAAGAGATTATGCTGCCGGTCGCTGAGCTGCCAGCACCTGAGGCAGAGCTTGAACCTGACCCTGAACCGGAGCTGCTCCCACTAGACCCTGAACCCGAACCACCACTGCTGGCACTACTTCCGCTGGCGCTCCCAGAGCCAGAGGCAGTAAAAGTAGGTCTTGCACTAGTGCCGGCCGACGTTGAGCCTGTTTGACCGGAACTTGGAGATCCGGTGCCAGTGGTACCAGTATATGTATATGTGGGACGATCACCAGATAAGGTAGTGGTAGTGGGACTTGTTACAGCAGGGGCTGGCGTATAGCTTGATATCCAGGCGCTACTTGAAAAGTCAAAGTACTGCAACGCGACGGGCGCAGGTCCATTCGTCTCATATCCTATCTGCCATCAAACGATATGCTGACCTCGGACATAGTAGATACTCACCGAATCCAAAGAGGACCTCTGAGCCCAGTGCCACCGCAAAGTGATCCCTGCGCGCGCCCATCTCCGATAATGCTGAGACCTCGCTCCACACCATTGGGCTCTGCGTCGTGTCCAGCACCCAGCCATCGCTGTAGGATATCGTCAGATCTGCGTCCGCACCGCCCTGCAGCACGACTTTCTGTCCATCTACTAGCGTCGCCGCAAAACCGCGCCGAGAGTTCGGAAGTGTTGAACTCGACACGGAGACCGAGCTCCAGCTCGAGGTAGAGTCCGTGGTATCAAGCGCCCAGATAGTGTCAAACGCGACTAACGCTCCGCTGGAGTAGTCATAGCCACCGAACACGATCATCCGCCCGTCAGATAAAACCACACATTGGTGCCCATAGATCGCCGGAGGTCCGTTAGAAGACGGCAGCGCGGTGAACGACGGCACGCTTGGGTTGAAAACATAGTGCGTTGAGAAGGCCTCCCCGGACCCATCTGACTTCAGTCCTCCGACGATGTAGACTTTACCGCCCGTCGCGCATGCAGAGTGGTACATACGCCGGAGCGGCTCGTCAGCCCACGATGTCGCCTCGTTATCCCACACTGGCGATGAGACGTCCTTGATGCTGACAAGCACTGCTGAGTCCGCGGCCTCCGGGTGGGCGTTTGAGTCGGAGCCGAGCTCTCCGCCAAATAAGAACATGTACGTAGTGTTCAGCGGCGACATGGTATGCCACGCGACGGACGGGTCTTGAGGCGAAGAGCAGTTGTCACAACCGCTGATGTAACTCCATGGAGGCGCGGAGAGGTTGAACGAAGTCGTGAGGGACAGCACGAGCATGTCATTATTTGTCGGCGCGGATGAGTAGGCATACTCATTATACTGGTCCGCCCGGCCGCCGTGCACGAAGAGCACGTTCTCTACGAGAGCCACGGCTTGTCCCCACCTGTTCGCGCCGCGTCACGTCAGCTTTCACGGCCTGGAGGCGATCCACTCACCTAGGGATGGCCGTGTATGCTGCGCAGTCGTGCAGGAGCGCGAGGATAGTAAGGGCGCGCAGGACGGCCGAGCGGGACATGGGTCAAATCCTCTAAGCAGTTGGGCATACAAAGTGGTCGTTAAGATAATAATGATATAGTGGCAAGTCGTTGGAGGGGTCGTGACGATCGAGAGTAGCGGAGACCCGAGCCTGGAGTGAAGCTCAAGCTGGAGTGGGGTCCAAGACTCTGTGGCCCTTATTTGGGCCTGTTACGATCAAATCAACAAATCATAGGCACAGGCCGACGCACGGCCATCTAATCTTATCGCCCTAGAGATCGCGAGGGCGCAGACTCAAATCCCGCAAGGCGCACACCTCTTCTCCTATGCATGCTTGCCATCTGAATCATTGTCGACTGAAATTGATCAGGCTCAACTCGCGCCCATCGAGAATTCGGGTCTTTGCTAAGGACCTACCGGTTAAATGCAAGAATCGCCGTCATCCAAATCTGCCGCTAAGCTTCAAGCTTCACCCGCGTAGTCGCAGAAACAACGCGTCAGGGGCTCTCAGTCATCGACGACGGGTAGAGTTCTGATCGTCAGCGGAGAGCTGAAAACAAGGCTCTTGGAGCTTCATAATGAATTACTAGGAAGGCACAGTAGGTTTATTAGTCGAAAGCGACAGTTATGCATATGATTTCGAGACTTCCAGATGTAGTTCGCTGAATTAGCAGACGGCAGGTATCGTCGAGTGGCGTGCCCAACACAAGCTGAGCATAAGAGCGTGACCACGGATTTGTGAGGGGAGAAAGCGTGAACTCCGTCCGCCAAGACGGGAGGGCCACCTTATATGTGTGTGACGCCGCCAAAATATTAAAAACTCTTCACGGGCGCACGCAGACAGAACCTTAACTTGTGAAGGGACAGCTGTGATCTTTGGAAGTAGCGCCTGCGTTAGGAAAATCAAGAAGTCAAAAAGGAAAGTGACCTGCCAAATGTAGAATTGGAGCGTCGCTCAAGCTTTCACTCCTGCTAGTGAGATCATCGATCCAATTTCCAATTAAGTAAGAACGTTAATTAGCGCCAAGGTAACCTGCACACGCCGTCGATCACAGAAAGAAGGAACGCCGTCATGTCCTCTTCCAGCCTGTGCTCCATATGCATACACGGAGCTTACATAGCATCCATAGCAACACCTCAGTGCTACGTAACCTGGATACTCTCCCATAACGACATTCGTGAGGCAGGACCGCCATGTACAATTCGCAACCGGGATGGCGAGTGCGCGTCTGTGACAATACAGGCAGGCTGGTATCAAAACTACTACTAGGGGAGGAGAATACGAAAGTACTCTTTATTCGTGAGTGAAGTACGAGGGTCCCAGCCTCGAAGCGTCCAATACATAGATGTAACTGAGAATATAGAGTATAAAGTCCGGGCTTGCTGTAAGCTGAGATACGGTCCAGAGGGCGACCGATGAAGCGGCGCTAACGATTTGGCCGCAAATGTTCGTGTCTTTTAAGACGTTAAAAAGGTAGACTAACAGTCGGGTATCTCAATGGGCTTGAGCGTTCGGCTAATAAGAAAATAGTAGCTAGAATTCAGCGAGTTGCACAGAGGATCGTGCTCAGCGACTCACTTATCGTAGAACAGGCCCCATGATCCCTATGAATGCAACAGTCATCAGTTCATGTACCGCCGGCGCGCCTGCACAGGGACATCAACGCACCTCGACACCACCATACAACTCCTTCTGCCAATCCTCGTCAGCGAACTGCAAGGTGTCGACCAAGTCTCGTCAGCATTCTCTAGCTTCAATCCGAAGAAACGCACCTCGAAGTAGAAGTACTCCGTGCCGTTCTGATTCGACTCGCACACGAAAGTCTTGAGGAATTCCTGCACGACATAGCATCAGCCTCCATACCTCCTCAAGGGCTAAATGGCAACGTTCTGCATACCTCCAGGTTTGCCGCCGACGCGATCGAAGGCCCATTACTTTCGTTGGACACATCTGCCGAGCTCTGACCGTACCCACCAAGTCAGCAGAGAACTAAGAAATGACAATAAAGACGCACCGAAGGCCAGCCCGTCTCGCCGATCGCCATGGTAGGCCTGTTTGCAAGCTGATCCGCCGCGTACACGTTCGTCTCCTCGAAGAAGGTGTACGTCCATCCAGCCGCTTGGTCGATGGACACGTTCGCGAACCACGCATGGACGTTAGACAGCTGCAAGGCGTCAGTGCTCTATTATCAGCCCGAGTGAAGACCAGGAAATGCGTACGCCAAAGTCCACAGCCTCGAGCACCTCCGTGTTGAAGTACGCGCCCGCATCAGAGGTGCCGACCGGGATACTGTACCCGAGGCTCTGGATCTGCGTCTTCATGTCCGTGATGTTTGAAATGAGGAGCTGCGCGCCCTGGTCACCGACCGCGTCATTCGCGTCGTCGCCGCCGTCATTCGCGCCGAGGTAGCTGTACACGCCGACCGTTAGCGCAATCTCGTTGGCATATGGCCATGGGAGTAGATACACACTCGAGGATGAACTCGTTCCCGACCGCCACGCCACCGACATGGTCCACGCCGTACGTCTTGAGCGCGTCGATGATCGTGTCGCGCTGCTCGCTGTATGCGGTCGCGTTGGTCGGAACGTTGTAGTCTGCGAGCCAGACGGTCATGTTGACTTTGGTCTGCTTGATCGCTTCGAGCTGCGGGAATGCGGTTGGATGGCCACGCGACGAAGGATCAAGAGAAAAGACTTACAACGAGCGCGGACTGATTGCAGTCGGCGCCATACAGGCGCACACGCTGTGGTAGTAGACCGAGTTGAATGCTGAAGAGTCAAAGGAGTAACAGCCACATACCGAGGTCAGTTGTGAAATAAGCTGGATATCTTCAATCACGGCAGCTGGAATCTCGTAAAATTCTGCTGAACGAGAGCAACGCTCGCGCACTTACCGAGCGAGTTGCCGCATGACGGGAGTTGCGACTTGTCTGGTGTGTAAGCGAGGCCATAGAACGAGCGGTGGAGGTTCGGGTCGGCGATGAACGTGCTGGGGTCGTCCGGGTTGGTCTGCCTGACTACGCCATAGGGACCGACGGCATAGCCAGCAGTGGAGTTGCCTTGCGACTTGGAAACGGAGGAGGCACTTGAAGAGTGGCGGTGCTGCCGAGAGACGACGACGCCCACGACGACGCCAATAACAATGCACGCGGCGATCGTCAGGAGCAGGCTGATCATCTGCGGGTTTGCCAATGAAATTGAATTAGACGGATAGACCCATCAGTCAGAATCGGGTACGCGTGCAGAGGCTGCGCGCGCAGTAACGAGCGTGGGCGCTGTTGGGTGTATATATAGACGGATACTCACGATAAACCGCGACTTGCGCTCTGCTTTCTGCTGCTTCTCGAGCCACTGACTGCCAGTGCTGAACGGGGCTCCGTCATCAATGTTGCTGTACGCTTCTCGGGACTGGCCGGGCATCTTCTCGGACTGGGGTGCAAGGGGAGTGGCGGAGTCGGGATGGGCGAAGCTGGGTGTGGATGCGTAAGGATCGTCGGCGCCGGATAGGCTGTTGGGTGTCTGCGGGCAGAGGTTAGGATGCGGGAGTGGGGGTCGGTCGTCGTATAAGAAGACTGACGGGAAGAGCGTCGGCTGCGAAGCGCGCCTGCACCCGATCTGGGATGGGCTGTTGGTAGGCTGGGTACGCCATTTTTCCTGAACTTGGCGAACGTCTGCGACGCTTCTTGGACGTCGGAGGAGACGGTGGCGGGGACGGAGAGCACGACGAACGCAAGGCAGGTGCAGACGGGGAGACGATGCCGTGGATGTTGCTGGCCAGGCGGGCCTTGCCACACGATGTCGATCATCTCACGATGGATGGCGCTCTCCATCTGTCGCTCGCTGCCAGCCGAAGCGTCTTACGAACTTGCGTTCACGATCCATGCCAGGTGCTCAACGTTGCAACGTTCAACACGAAGCCAGGTCGTCCAAGACGTTCATCTCTGCGCTATTGACCGCTCACGATGTTCTGTGCGCTCGCACCAGTTTCTTGAACAAGTCACAATTTGTCCTACGGATGCACCCTCATCACCATCGCGTCCTCTCGGGACCTTTTTTCGTATTCGCCATTCAGTCTTCACGGTCCTGCCAAGCCAATCTTTCCTGAACTGAACGCCACGAACAGCAAGCGCATCGTCGTCGAAGGACATGCGTTCTTCGAATGGGTGTTATTACGTCTATAGCGATCAAAACGTGACCGTCGACGAACCTCCCAAGACATTCTGATCATCATCTTTTTCACTTGAAGCGGCTTTTTTGGTTCTCTGGTCCGGATTGAGCGGCAGGTGCCCCCGGCTTCTACTGGATGCTTGAAGCTCTCGCTCCACATTTACGTGTGGGTGTTGTTCTCAATACGCCACTTCAAGCAATTGCTCTGCGCCACGGCTCCATTGGGCGGCTCTAGTGCAGCGACATAATACTAAGGCATCAAATGTTCAGACTTCAGACTCCATGGCCCCATTTCCTCCGATTGGTAGGCCTTCTCATATACTACGGCTACTCGTTCCCTAGTTCTCGACATGGAACACGTTGCTCAGTATCAAGGTTGCAGATCGCCCGCATGCCGTCATGACTCTTTGCCATGGTTCAAAAACAAGTTATGAGCAAACGTGTATCATAAATTAGCCGGTTGCGAATGGGTAGGACTGCTTAATGACACCGGCATTGCGTAAGATCCAAAGACTGAGGAGGTCCCTGAGCACAATGTATGTGCCCACTTATTCGTGTTTCTAAGAAATTATAGGACGCAGTATCCGCGTGATCCCTTTGCCTGATACAGGTCCCTTTTCTTTGCTGTGGATGCAGGCGAGATTGAGCTGATGGCCGAGCCTTTACAGGACGAGCAAGACTGTATTGGCCGACAGCGGTTGCATCAATGTGTGTGTTTCTGTCATGCATGACGACTGGGCTGGGCCCTTGGTACGAACAGCCCAACTTCCCGGCGCAAAACTCAGTCTGCACGTACTGCGACATACCAATGTCTACACTAATTCAACGTTCTCTCTGTAAATGCCGACAGGTTCTTCTGCATCCGATATTACCGTGGAGCTGAGCTCGCTGTTTTGATCCTCAGTGATGATCACAAGCATCATCAGCAGAGTGCTATCGGACCTGATAGCGCTGCTCGCGACGTGGTACAGCATGTGCCGTTCTACTAAACAGCAGTCCTGGAGGATGTTGATGCGCCTTCACAGGCACTTCTCTCTCCTAGTTCGTCTCCGAGATCGTCTTCTCGAAGATGGTAAGTTGCTCGTGGATGTATTGCAGATGGTCAGTACTCACTAGAGATCCTACGCCGAGCAGGTGCAATACATTTGTATATGTCGCCAGCATCTTCGGTCGTATCTTCCCATTCAGACGGGCAAGCGGTCATTCTCTGAAAGCCCATTCTTTGCCGTTGTTGCGTTGGGCTATTGTATCGTTTCCGTTTGGCCCGTCATGAGTCTCTATAAAGCAACGGTGTGTGAAAACAATTTACGTTTATATATCTCTGATCGTTGATATTGTAGAGATAAAAAGTTTCCTATTGTCGTGTTTGTTCGTGTCTGATTGTCCTCATATTGTAGTTTTATGGCCATCTTTGTCACGAGTGTCATCTCCTCGTCTCCGCCATAAAATCTATTCTGTCACTGAATCGTCGATGCCAGGACCAAAATCAATCATTCCGCATTTCCAGTCCTGCTTCTGGGTAACCGCAACAGCAACGACATGTCAAATCATCGTCACGGAAAGCGCATAGGACAATGTGTTCTTTTGTTTCGATGGGTGTTGCATCAAGGTGCTTAGCAATAATATTACTTCATCGCATGCGAGGTGAGACCAATAGTATCAGACCGTACTTCAGAATCCGTTCTTCCCGCTTTCAATCGCAGATCTTGATCACTAAGAGATTTCACCGTTGTCCCACGTCTGTTCGTCTGTCTCCGCCCTTGTTCCCGGTAACATGATTGACGAGACGTCACGGCCTTTGTCTTGAGCTCTGTACTGCTTTTCTGGCTCAGCAAGCTCGGCACGTCGAAAGTGACCTATCCATGAATGTGCTAGTCGCGATCCGCATTGCAAGCGAAGCCGTTTCAGGAGGTGTATGCCCCGGTCTGTCCTTGCACAACTTGTATGTGCGGTCAGAGTATCACTTTAACTGGATACCTCTACGAAAGTTCTGACAACGTCAGTGAAGCGGGCGGGCTGTGAGGGTATAGTTTTGATGGCAGCCAGCAACAGATCAAAAAGCTAGGTTTTTCGTTGACGCCTGCATGATAGGGTCAAGCATTGTGAGCCACCATCTGCCTTTGCGGAGCCCATCTGTGGATGGACAGTTCTGCAACAGCGGGCGATGTCACTGATGGAATATGGGCTTATAAGCTGGCCCACGTCTGCCCACCTCACAATCTACAATCCGGTCCCTCTACTTAGACATGTCTATCAGCACATCAGAAGGAATCACTCTATTGGAAGAAGCGTGCGTCTCTTCACATGGTTGAAACTGTAGTGCATTGAATGATGCATCATCAGAAACTTGGCAACCTACACTTTTTCAGCTGGTGCAGGCCAGTCGGACATTTCTCGTTCATCACTGACCGATAATTGACTATTTCCGCTCAAACAGCACTCATATTCTTTGATCATGGCATAACATTCAGCCAGGAGGTCCAGCTGTTCTGGGGCGAGCGTACATTCTCTGCATGCTTATTCTTTGCCAATCGGATGGTTGCACTGGTCTATGCTGTTTGGTCCATTATGAACTTTTATGCAGTAACGGTACAATGTTTGATACCACCTCGATTACATATTCGCGGACTTATCAATATTCTAGAGGTGATATGTTCCTTGTTGTCATATTATTCGAGTCTGATTGTTCTTATGTCATAGTTGTATGGCAAACATCGTGGTGATCAATGTGGTTCTCATACTTATAGGACTAATCTCAAACGGTAGGCTGGCGTGCTACATGACAAATTATCACAGCTCAAAAGTAGCGCAGTGGTTACAATATTACGAGTATACGCCGTGACAGGTGGCGACCGACGATCTGCTATGCTCCTTGCGTTGATAGCGGTCTTTAACGTGGTCTCCAGTGTCTACGCTGGTATGCTTCCTCCTGATCGGGACATATTCTTGATTGACCTAGGACGAATTCATGGGAAGAATTCATCCACTCATTATATTCTGTGGTCGTATTGGCCGGGACAGCTGTATGTGTCCAGTCCTTCACTTCAGGTTCAGCGCAAGAAATATTTACCAAATGTGTAAGCCAATATCCTCAATAAATGCGTACTTGCTAATCCGTTTCTCAACAGATGTGAGTCTGAACTCAAAAGAAATATTGCTCACTTTGACAACCCTGCTGCAGTGGGAATAGCCAATACGGTCTGTGCCATAGCTGCCAGCATGATCACACTCACAATTCTCTGGCGCAAGCTATATGTTCACCACAAGCTAGCCACTGTTGACCTCCTGTCTACGAGGCATCCGTCGCTTGCAGCAGTACTACTTAGAGATGGTACGGTTCTTCGACAGCGACGGAGTTCTAAGCTCAACAAAAACTTGCATTCACCATGTTCACAGGCACAATTCAACTGATGTGAGAAGTGGAACCACAGACAATTTGACGATGTCTGAAGCATATTATTTAGAGCACTGCTACTGTTGAACTTATTACATACCGTATTGGGATTCTTGAACTCCGTAAGTGCATGTTATTTCAGTCCATTCCACATCTTCTGCAAAATGCTGATCACTCTGCCCCACATGACTACGGATATGGCAGACTGCTGCAAATATCGTCGCATATTTGCATGACTCGTGAACCACTCCTCTTACGTTTTCTCTGCCAACGAGACACTAACGATTTTACAGACTCGTTCCCGTCTTGATCTCTCATGTCCTCAATGTCCGGGCCGCAGTGCGGTCCACACGTGGAGAGCAGTCCCAGACACCCTCTTTCGTCCGGTCAAAGCGTAGCGTCCAGACCCAAGCCGACATCGAAAACATGTCGTTCGAATTGAACATCCTCAGCAGCACCGAACAAGCCCCAGAGACCGATCGCGGTCTGGGCCCGGCGCAAGACTCTATTGAACATGATCAAATTGTTGCTGAACCGCGAAACATGGCAGACCACGTTGTTACTACCGGCCATGATCATCAGGACGTGAACGAGGAAGAGGGAATTGACGATGTCGAGGAAGAAATGCGGTCGGATTGGGAGGACGACGAGTAGGGGAGAGAATGGGTGTCCGAGCCGTGATGTCAGACTCACGGCGATTGTGCGTTTGCTTGCTATTTGTGAGTGGCATGTCAGCCTACGTACGCTCCGTCTCACCTGGGTGCATTCGCAGATTTTCTCCGCGCAATTTTCCCCTGTGGTCTGCGCGATATGGCTGTTGATAGTTCAAGCCCCATCACGGGGCTCTATACCCGACTTCACAGATATGTATTGCACTATAGATCTCACTTAATGCGCTCCTAGCTCTATTATCTGTCACTTGATTTCGTCTTTCATTACTTTTCGGCAATACCTGCTATGACATGTGCAGTCTTCTGTTTCCCTTAGGACGTCCCTCAAGCCGGCGAACCCGCGCGCCACGCGAATGATATCTCTCTTTCTCCATTATCTGACAGTTACGTATGCGACGAGCCGCCTGTCCAATACAGCGACACCTGCATGCATGGATCAAACGCAGTGCATATAACTCTGTGCTGAGGCCAGAGAGACGAGACTTGCAGTGGGATACTTATTGTTATCGAAACGCGACGCAATGTGCTATCTTCATGGCATCATCACGCAATTGAGTCCGTTGTGAAGAAGTGGCGTACACAGGACGTATCGGAGTTAAACAGCATGTTATATTGACTGAACAACCCGAGCGTCAAAGATACTGTAACTGTACAACCGATGCCCCCATGACGAAGTAACTCACCGGCTCTTCGCGATCATGCAAGTTTCACCGAGACTAGAGTATTCTGACGGTGGCGATGTGACTGGATAATCATCCCTGCACAGTTCGCCTGTGGTGCAGGTTCCCATCGGCACGTTGGAAAGCAACTGCAAGTATACCGAGGAAGCGAGGCGATGCAGGTATCAGAAATGTGATCAAGTGAGGTGAGATCGAACACGAATCGCAGCTGAAGACAGTATACGAGGCAGAAAGATCCTGATGCTGGAGACCTGTTTCTCTGGCGCTGTCTTGCACGATGACCGCGTGAAATCGGCGCTGATGCTTAAGTTCGAATCGAGACTCAAATGGGCCAGAGCCGCTGATGTCCGTCATACTACCGTCTTAGAGAACGATATGTCATGCCGCCCAAGTAACATAGCACGAGCGAAACTCGAGTGCAACCGCATCGCGCGAGGCAGCTCATGAGCTGTCCTCTCACTGCAAACGTGACGTCGAGGTCATCCATGGCCAGGGTGAGGTAATCGGCGCTAGGGAAAGGTCAACCCATGGCGATCACGGATAGCTAGATGTGGTGCCTTGTTGCATGATAAAACGAAGCTACGAAAGAAATCTGGACGCTACAAAAGGATGGACGTGCAGGTGGTCAAGCTCAATGACCAGTGATCCTTCGGATTCAGGTTTGACAACTCACAAAGGATGACTTGTCCCGTCACGTTTTTGAGACCCTCTTAATTGGCCAGTCCTCTCGTAGATCACCCATTCTTGTGCCATTTGCATCTTGTCAATCCATACACGCATCTGACGCACGAGCTTCCGTGACATAACGAAAGGGAAACGAGGCAGATTTAGGAAGCGCAGATGTTGGCTGTGGGGCTGGGTTTGTCCCGCTGTTCATGGCAACAGCAGGGAGGCCGCAGATCGACAGCGAGCATAGCCTGCAGCTGCAGGCAATGCCCTTGATGATCAGGGGCTCTGCATCTGTAACGCGGGTGTGAGTATGGGGCTCGTTTTGGATGCCACGACGAAGCCAGTAAGGAGAAGGCCAAAGCTGAGCATCCCTGATTGCAACGTCCCAACCAGCGTCGGAGCACCCAACAAGCACAGATCAGCCAGATGGAAAGGATTTCCTAGGAGACCAGTTCATCGCTGCTGACGTCGGATATCGCCATGAGAGTGCCTCCCACAGTATTCGCGAGCACAGCCGACATAGATCCAGGCCCTCCTTTCCCTCTTACCACCACCTTCCCTTTTGGGACAGGTCGGTTTTCCCCCTCCCTCCCCCTTATTCCATACTGGCGGCCATCTCACATCGTCTTTCGGGCTGCCTCCACTTTCCTGCGCTCTTCACTTTCTTCGGGGGGTCTCGCCGCTCAGTTTGGCCGGTGGGGGGTAGCGTGGTGCTCCCTTGGCAAAGGAGCGTAGTGCTGGGCATGCTGGCAGCTGCGTCGCTCTCTTATCGTTGCTGGATTGTGCTAACGAACAGACTGGGGGTGTCCCCTTGGCGAAGGGACTTAATGGCTGGGCATGCTGGCCGCCTTCCTGTCACTTTTGCATCGGCACCTATGGGGGTGCAGATGTTTAGCGCCGAACGGCATTGCAGTCTCCCCTTGGTGAAGGGAGTTCGCAGCTGGACTACCGGCGCTGCAGTGCAAGTTCTCGCCTTTGGCGAGTGCGCTCTCCTCAAGGACTACTCTTCGGAGTAGCCACCCAAAAGGGTCCGAAAGGATAGAGGTCGATAAGAGGGGGCATTGGGTGATAACAAGCCGACCGAAAGGACAGGCCACCCCCCTCCTGTGTCCTCTGGGCATGGGACGTTAGTCAGGATAAACCAAACTCTGGGGCAGTGTCATGCTGTGACTCCTAGCCCGGTAGCGTCCCTGGCGAGACGGAGATCACGAACACTTATTACGGGGATCCGCGCCTACGTGTAGTCTCCCCTTGGTGAAGGGAGTTCGCAGCTGGGTTACTGGCGCTACATAGGCATATGCGAACCGGGTGTCGTGGCACGGGAAAGCGATCCTGGGGGTGGCGCCCTGGGGCTATCGCCGAGCTGTAGCAGGGCAGGGGGAGAACCTCTGCCCTGGCTCGAGAGGTCTAAATCCTCCATCGGTGGGTCCTCGTGAAAGATGAGGTGTACCTGCATAAGTTGATACCGCGTCACGGTATGGCAAACAACCTTTGGCTGAAAGCTTGTCATGAGCACCTGTGTTTGCACTGGGATGTCCAGAGGTGGCACGCGTGCAGCCTGGGATGTAACACGGAGATAAAACCTCGTGCCCTTGATGCGATTGCGACGTGCGCCTACCGGCAGGGCATTATTTCTGCAAGGGGCCCTTTAGATGAGTGCCCCGCATGCCACTTTGCCTCTGCGGTGAACGAGGACTGTTTGGTGGGAGTATCTTGGGGGTTCGATTCTCCTTAAACAGTGTTTCTAACGAGTCAACGGACTGACCGCGGCGCGGTTTTTGAGTTTGGTCAGGCATATGCATTTTGTTAGGTTATCGGCGCTTGCGTGGTCCATGACACAGCTTACCGGGCTTCGTGCCCTTCTACTATACGCCTGCTCTGTTGCGTCCGTGGGGACCTGGTGTCCGTACGTTAAGCTTCTTCGCCCCCCAGATGTGTCTGGTCCTCCGTTATTACACGACATGTATTTACACACCTCCGACCGCCCCTTCGGGGTGGGATATAAATTGTATTTAAAAAAAAAAAAAAAGCTGACATAGATCAGAGTTGCCTTGGGCGCCCTGTTGTGTGACATGTGATTGGTCGGACGCGCTCAAGCATGTGGTGACTGCCACGCCACAGACGCGTCTCCTGCCAGTAATCAGATTTTGACCGGGTTTGCTCTGACCACGCTCATTCAGTGAGGAGTGAGCTGTGGCGGGTTCGATCGTCATGGCAGCCAGCAATGGATCAAGGTCAAGATCCACGATCTAAGGTGCACGATCCCTTCATTCCGAAGTGCATCCTTCGTTCAGTTGCCGTTTTCGTTGACGTCTGCGTGATAGGGTCATGCATTGTGAGCCACTACCTGCTTTGCCGAACCCAGCTGTAGGTGAACACGTTTGTACCAGTGGACAACATAGCGTGATGGAATACGGGCTTATAAACAGGGCCGCTGTCAATCACTTCATAATCCACAGTCCGATCTCTCTACTTAGACATGTCTATCACCACATTTGAAGCAATCACTATATTGGAAGAAGTGTGCGTCTCTTCACATAGTTGGGACTGTATTACATTGAATACTGTGCTATCAGCTTTACGGAAAACTATGCTGCCATCGCCGGCGCAGGCCAGTCGGACATTTCTTGCTTATCACTGACTGAGAGTCATTGACGATTTCCGTCCAAACAGCACTCATATTCTTTGACCATGTCATAACATTCAGCCAGGAGGTTCAGCTGTTCTGGGGTGAACGATCACTCTCTGCATGCTTGTTCTTTGCCAATCGCATTGTCACAGTTTTTACCTGACAAGTCATTAAAGGAACAAATGCTATTAAGAAGCATATCATTTTTCATCATTTCTTGTCGCACAAGAAGTCACGTGATCTAATGAGATAAGATAACGAGGCATCCAGTCACATGACCTCGGATCTCTCTCGGCATTGTCACGTGACACCGAACTCCTCGGCATGATGTCATATGTCGCAATCGCCATGATGCCATATTGCGTGCTCAAGAGGAGCTCCGTCTCCGCGGGTTATTATTAGGCAGCCAATCAGGATAATTGGGACATATCGTACGATTGTAGCACTGACCAGTAGAATAGCGTGTGACTCGCTTAGGTAGTACTGTACAGTAACATAGCAATCATGTATATAAGGACCAGCGAGACGAGGAGTAGACCTCAGTCTTATTCTCCTTCGTCCACCACTACCATCACAGAGGGGTCTTACCAGACACTCTCAGTGTGCTATACATATCTTTGCATCCTCACCATTGTGATAGCGCCTCTAGCCTCGCCAGTAAGTCTTGCTCTGCGACCAGCTACTAGGCCTCGTCAGTGGGCACGTCGTATCGCCACAGCTCGTCGCTGTCGGCTCTTAGCCAGGAGACCCCCAAGAGGTTTCTATTTTGGTTGTCTATCTTTGTCATCGGCGTGCCGTGACATTAGAATAAGACTGACCTTTTACGCCCCTACCAAGTGTCTAACACTGGTAGCCGCACATTTTCGCCCAGAGATACATCCGCCCAGGGCAGGGCTTTTTTCACACCACTTCCCTCATACACCTCCTCCGCGTCTCTACCGCCTAAGCCGCTTCCTTCCTTCAAAAGGAACAGCGCTGCACCGACCGGCAAAGCGCCTCAAGTACACAACAGTATCGTTCCACTCAACGGATGCTACCATCCGTACCAACGCGATCCGCGTTGCACGCATCGCCTGACTCAGGGAAACCTCGTTCGAGCAAAGCCCCCACAAGCTAGCTCACAAGGCATTGCAGCTGAGCGTCGCCAACAGGAGCGCAAGGTTAGCCTCTGGCTCGAGGACATCCCAAAAGACGCGCTCACCCCACTCATTCCTATTCCCCCCGCACATCCCTTCGATATATTCCCCGCCATCGACGTACTCAATTTCGCACTCTCAAAGAGCTACCATCCACGTGGGATCCACGAGAATCCCAAGGGCACTCTCCCCGAGAATATTGCGCCCACTGTATACGCTACTATTCAGCGATACAAAGTCTTGCAACAGCCACACATCGCGGCTAAGTTCACAGAGGAGCAGCTGAAGTGCAGAGATCGAATCCTCCGACACCTATCCGTTATAAACAAACACATCGGAGCCGGGCACGACTTCACATTCGTCGATAGGCGCATCGCTATCAAGCTTTGCGTAGGATTAGGGAAGATTTCCTTCAAGGGAATCAATAAGGAACAGGAGCGCGTGGGCAAGGAGATAGTAAAGTTTGAAAAGGAGTCATGCTACTGGCCTTACTAGGACCAGAGAATATTTTTGTATCATCGCGAGTAGTTTATGCCCCGATACCAGATCGCTTTCGTATTCAGAAACTACGTGGTCGAACATCGCATAACCGACCATTACCACCATCTCGTGTGCACGGGTTACTTCATCTATCAACCCCTACTATCAGAGCGATCCATCCCACTCTATCATCATCCGGTTGACATCGAACGACGAGTCACCCTATACACACCCTTCCAACTCATCGAAACTGACATTGAAATCATCGACCCAGTTCGCGAGTGGATAGAAAACCGTTACTGGGAACGTCTTGCTCGGTTATATCAAGAAGACGAAGAACTCTTCTGGATAAACTGGTACAGAGACTTTCCAGAACAAAGACACCCTCGCCCTGCAAGGCTTGAAGAAGCCGCGGCACGAAGGAACCGGATCATCGAACTAGCACAATTACTGGGAGCAGATAATACATCCCAGTAAAATCATCATTTCGGACGCCTCCTCATTCCCGCTATCTTCAACCACAATACCAATGTCGCAATACGATCTTGGAGGCGTTGCGTTCCCAGGAGGACACACTGTCAGTGAACCCACAGACCCCTGGAGGAGTAATGCCCCCTCAACATCATCGGAAGCAGGACCAGCTGCCCCTGCTGAAGAACCACACAACAGCAGCACACCCAAGGCGTCAGGAGTAGTCAGAAACCCATCACCCACCACCCTGCCAGCATTCTCCACACCTCAGACTTGGGAATGGCAGGGAGTTCCTTACGCAACCATCGAGGAGGCCGCCAATGCCGCTGCACCAAACACCATTCCAAACGACGTTAAGGAATGGGTAATGAACGTGGTGCGATCGTTCATTATGAGAGACGTCGTAAGCTCGTATGAGGCCTTACGGCAGAAAATGGACGAACGACACGAGCGCACCGTAGCTGCGTTAGAAGAGGAAGTACTGGCCCGCATCCACGTCGGGATAATGGCGGTGGAAACGCGAGACCAGCTAAGGACTGCAAGAGCCCAAATCGGCACCCTCTCCGCCGACAACGAACGGCTCATCAAGTCCAATAATAGTCTGACAGCTGAAGCCCAAGCAATCCGCAAGGACTTCGAAGATTACAAGGATGAAGTAAAGGGTCAGATGGACGCCCTTTACGGTAACATGGTCGCCCTGAAGGAGGCTCAGGAAAAGACCACTACCTACATCGTTGGCTTAGAATCTCGACTCAATAATGCCATCATCAATGCGCCCTCCACAGGTATCCAACAACCGGCCGGCCAATCTAGTCAAGCACCCCGTCGAATAAAGCTCCCCGACCCTCCCAAGTACTCAGGGAGAAAGTCGTCAGAAAATTTCGAAACGTGGTTCACGAATCTGCTCATCTGGCTCGACTATAACCACTTTACGGACGACAAGGACAAAATTCGGCAAGCCAACGCGCACTTGGAAGGCGGAGCTGCTCTATACATGAAAGAGTACGCAATCAAGCTCGCCTCCGGACAAGACGTTGGTACATGGGCAGAATACACTAGGAAACTAGAAATGGCATACAAGACGCTTGACCCCAAGCGCACGGCACAATCTCTGCTAGACGCACACTGCGCAATCCGCCACAAGACAATGATTGCCTTCGCGGAGAATTTCAGGGCATACGCCCCCGAATCAGGATACTCCGACGAAGACTTAATCGTCAAAATCAGGGAACAACGGTCGACCCATATTCAGACGGTCATGTCGGTAATGGAGACTTTAGATCCCTCCAAGATCCCAACCACTTGGATGGACTACCTGGAATTCTGCCTAGAGATTGAAATCAAGCATCTCCAGCAGATGACGGGCAACAAGTCTACCGGACAAACCACTGGAACCAGGACGACCGCTCCTAAGGACCCTAACGCAATGGACACCAGCGCACGAATCACACACGAACTTTCCCCGGAACAAGACAGGTGGCTGGCAAACAAGCTATGCTTGTTTTGCAGAAAGCACGCCTATGAACGAGGAAAGCGGTGTCCCTCCCCCAGGCCTGAATACAAGGGCAAGCGGTTTCAGACATGAGCCGCCCCAAAGCAAGGGCAAGGAAAAGGGAAGGGCAAGGCGACAAATGTGCGACAGGTGGAAGAAGAAAGTAGCGCGGGCTCATCAGCTCAAATTGCAGCACTGGAACAAGCAATTGCTGCACTTCGCGGGATGAGCACAACCTCGACTACACCACCGTCCAGCAAGGGAAAAGGCAAAAAGGGTACGGACACAGCATCTATGGCATCGGAATCCACGGTCAAGGACACCAATGCGAGAATCGTCGAGATAGACGAATTCTCAGAGGATTTTCATTACGAAGTGTAGACGAGTCTGGTGTCACACTTTAGGACAATTGTATTAGTACCGTGAGAACGAATGTACCTAGCGATCATCTATATATTGCATCCGCAGGTTTTTCTAAACATTCGATCGAATTGCCGATAAGATTCGTATCACGGGAGATCCAGACAACGGCACTATTGGATTCTGGAGCATTCTCTTGCTATATCGACCAAAGATTCGCTGAGAAGCACGGGTTTAAGATGATACCTCTAAATCATGAAATTCGAACCCTCAACGCAGACGCCAGCCCTAACAAGGGTGGCGCAATTACTCATCGTGTAGTCACAAGCATCTTAATCGGGGGGCACCGATCAACTGAGAGTTTGCTCGTCACAAACCTTGGACGCATGTCAATGATCCTTGGCATGAAATTTCTACAAGAACACAACCCCCGAGTTGACTGGGAACACAGAGAGGTCACGTTCTCAAGGTGCAGACACACGAGAAATCAACGAGTCAAAGTATGTGAAGAAGAAGTCAACCTTCTATCGCAACCTCGACTCGAGGATGAGGCGATTCTTCCTGACGTACACATGGATGACGGGTGGGATCAAGAAGATAGCTTCATTAACTGGATAGACTTGCAAGACCAGGATCTTCGTAACATGGTGCACGACATCCTAGGCATAAGCAAGAAGGTAAAGGAGCACTTGGTAGAACAGCCGGCAGAAGAGACACAGGACAAAGAATATTGGTCCAAATTCGTCCCTCCAGAATTTCATCAATTCGGAGATGTGTTTTCGAAGAAGAGCTCAGAAAGAATGCCGACGCGTAAGCCCTACGATCACGCAATTGATCTTGTCCCAGACGCGGCAACCCCGAGACCGGCAAAAGTATACCCAATGTCTTTACGAGAAAAGAATTCACTCGATGAATGGATTGACGGCGAACAAGCCAAAGGCTACATTCGACCATCCAAATCCCCTTACGCCGCTCCTGTATTTTTTGTTAAAAAGAAGGATGGGTCTCTTAGACTAGTCCAAGACTACAGGGCATTAAACAGTGTCACCAAGAAAAACAAATTCCCACTCCCCCGAATCAACGACGGACTCTCAAGGGCTAGTATATTTACTACACTAGACCTGAGATGGGGGTACAATAATGTACGCCTTCGCAAGGGAGATGAGGAAAAAGCAGCGTTCATTACCCATAGAGGGTTATTTGAACCTACTGTCATGTACTTCGGATTCTGTAATGCCCCTAGCACTTTCCAGGCCATGATGAACGACGTCTTAGGAGATCTCATTCGCACTGGAAAGGTGGCAGTCTATATAGATGACATCATCATCTTTACGGATAACCAGGAGGAACACGACCGTCTGACCAAAGAAGTCCTACAACGACTCCGAGACAATGACCTGTTCGTGAAACCAGAAAAGTGTCACTTTGCGACCACTTTCGTCAAGTTTCTCGGACTCATAATCTCAAAAGGGTCAATACAGATGGACTCAGAAAAGGTCGATGGCATGCTCAAATGGCCGGTGCCCACCAAGGTAAAGCAAGTACAAGCATTCCTTGGTCTGGCAAATTTCTATCGACGATTCATCAAGGATTTCGGATCGATGACCCGACCCTTGACTCTATTAACACGTAAGGACGCACCATGGAAATGGGAAGAACCTCAACAAAAGGCATTTGAGGCCCTCAAGACTGCATTCACTTCCGCCCCAATTCTAGCGCTCCCCAACGCAGTCCGTCCCTTTAGATTGGAAACGGATGCCTCGGACTTCGCCACAGACGCGGTCCTTGAACAGTTGGGAGAAGATGAACTTTGGCATCCTGTCGCATACTACTCCAAATCGCTCAATGAACATGAGCGCAATTACGAGATCTACGACAAGGAGATGCTCGCCATCATTCGGGCCTTGGAAGAATACCGGCAGTACTTCGAAGGACACCCACACCCAGTTGAGATATGGTCGGATCACCTTAATCTTACCTATTTCCGACAAGCTCAAACACTGACCAGACGACAAGCTCGATGGTCACTTTACCTTACACGTTTCAATTTCATTCTCCATCACCGCCCCGGAAAGACGATGATGCGTGCCGATCCTCTGTTCAGGAGGCCAGATCATGAGAAGGGGGTGAGCAATGACAATTCAGGGCAAACTTTGCTTCGACCTGAATATTTCGCCATCCATGCGATCTCAGTCACTCATTCCTCCGAAGTTGACGATGCAAAACTTCTAGAAAGAGTGAAATCGGCACTACAAGATGACGAAATGACCAAAGGTTACCAGCACCTACTAAAGACTGGCAAGCGGGAGTTCGGAAAAGACCTCCAATAGTGGAACTTCGAGCACGGATTGCTACTGCGAAGAGGAAAGGTCTATGTTCCAAAGGACTCTACGCTGCGGAATGAGCTGATCAAATTACATCACGACATTTCCACCACCAGACACGCCGGACGCTGGAAAACGCAAGAATTGATCAGCAAAAATTATTGGTGGCCAGGGCTTACCATTGATGTCAAGAAGTACGTTCAAGGCTGTGTGGCTTGTCAAAGAAACAAGACGAGCAAGCAAAAGCCATATGGACTACTACAACCTAATCCAGTACCACAAGGGCCTTGGGAAATGGTTACCTGTGACCTGATTACACAGCTACCGCCAAGCCCAGACCATAGGGGAGAAAAGAAAACTGCCATTTTGGTAGTTGTCGACCGATTCACCAAACATGCTCACTATTATGCAGTAGACGACACGGTGACAGCATCTCAAGTAGCGTCGATTTTCTACAATGAAGTGTTCAAACTTCATGGAATTCCTAGGCAGATCATATCTGATCGAGGCACTCAATTCTCAGCCAAACTATTCCAAAAGTTTTGTCAAAAACTTCACATTAAATCAACAATGTCTACAGCTTATCACCCTGAAACGGACGGACAAACTGAACGAGTCAATCAGATTCTAGAGCAATACTTGCGCATGTACTGCAACTACCGACAAACTGATTGGGCCACATTATTGCCCACGGCGGAGTTCGCATACAATAACCAAGCCTCAGAATCGACTGGTTTATCACCATTCTTCATAGAGCATGGTCGACACCCCCGCATGGCACCCGATGTATTGGAAGGGATACAACATCCATCCCTGGAACATTTATTCCATAACCGCGATCAAGCACAGGAACAAGCACGTGCTGCTCTGTCATTAGCAGCAGAACGTATGAAATGGTATTTCGATCTTAAAAAGCAGGACGTCCCTTTCAAAGTAGGAGACGAAGTGCTTATTCGAGGAAAAGATCTCCATGTAAAAGTCAAAAGCCAGAAGCTTGCGACTCAAAACTATGGACCATTCAAGATCCTCGAAAAGATCAGGACCGTATCCTTCAAACTGCAATTACCAGCGGACATGAAAATACACCCTGTGTTTCACGCCTCAAAGCTAATCATGTTCCATCAAGACTCAATTCCAGGACGCATACCTCCCCTTAACCCTCCAGTCATCATCGACGGAGAGGAAGAATGCGACGTAGAGGACATTTTGGATTCGAGAGTTAGGTATAACAAAACCCAGTACCTCGTTAAGTGGTTAGACTATGACCACAGCGATAACACTTGGGAACCACTGGAAAACCTCACGAATGTCAAAGACAAAGTAGAGGAATTCCATAAGACACACCCAGATGCTCCAAGAGCTAAGCCGCGAACGCGCAAAGCGCACAAAATCGCCCTGTCTGACCACCCTGATGAGTTCATGTTTTTCTTCCGCCTTCACCCAAACGCCCGAGCCCCCTACAAGGGATCTCATGAAGCTGTCGGCTGGGATGTCAAGTCCGTACAGGACTTAAACATTCCCCCGCATTCCAGAATGCTCGTCGGCACCGGGCTGGCGGTCGACCCCCCAAAATGGACATACATTCGAGTGGCCCCCCGAAGTGGGTTGGCTCTCAAAGGAATTGATGTCGCAGCAGGGGTAGTCGACCCGGACTACACAGGGGAAATCAAGGTTCTGCTTGTTAACACGACCAGCGAACCATTCGAAGTCAAGACAGGTGATCGGATCGCTCAATTCATATGCGAACGCTACGCTCCAGGAATCATTTCGGAGGCAGATAGTTCACTCGCAAAGCGAACAATACGAGGCGCCAGAGGCTTTGGCTCATCGGGACGATGAACCTTGAAAAGGGGGTGATGTCACAGTTTTTACCTGACAAGTCATTAAAGGAACAAATGCTATTAAGAAGCATATCATTTTTCATCATTTCTTGTCGCACAAGAAGTCACGTGATCTAATGAGATAAGATAACGAGGCATCCAGTCACATGACCTCGGATCTCTCTCGGCATTGTCACGTGACACCGAACTCCTCGGCATGATGTCATATGTCGCAATCGCCATGATGCCATATTGCGTGCTCAAGAGGAGCTCCGTCTCCGCGGGTTATTATTAGGCAGCCAATCAGGATAATTGGGACATATCGTACGATTGTAGCACTGACCAGTAGAATAGCGTGTGACTCGCTTAGGTAGTACTGTACAGTAACATAGCAATCATGTATATAAGGACCAGCGAGACGAGGAGTAGACCTCAGTCTTATTCTCCTTCGTCCACCACTACCATCACAGAGGGGTCTTACCAGACACTCTCAGTGTGCTATACATATCTTTGCATCCTCACCGTTGTGATAGCGCCTCTAGCCTCGCCAGTAAGTCTTGCTCTGCGACCAGCTACTAGGCCTCGTCAGTGGGCACATCGTATCGCCACAGCTCGTCGCTGTCGGCTCTTAGCCAGGAGACCCCCAAGGGGTTTCTATTTTGGTTGTCTATCTTTGTCATCGGCGTGCCGTGACACGCATGCTTGCACTGGTCTATGCTAGCATTTCTGTTTGGACTGTCATGAACTTATATACAGTAATGGTAAGTTGATGATATCACCTCGATTGAATACATCTTCGATTCATTGATATTGTAGAGGTAATTTGTTTCTTGTTGTCATATTTATTTGCGCCTGATTATTCTTACGTCGTAGTTGCATGGCGAACTTCCTGGCAAGCAATCTGGTTTTCGCACTCATAGGGATAATCTCAGAGGGTAGGCTGGCATGCTTCATGGCAAATCATCGCAGCTCAAAATGTAGCAAAGTGGTTACAATATTACGAGTATACGCCGTGACAGGTGGCGACCGACGACCCGTTATACTTTTCACGTTGGTAACGGTATTCAACGCGGGTTTCAGTTTCTACTCGTGTACGCTGCCTCCTGATTGGGACATATTCTTGATGGACTTACGACAAATTCATGAGAAGACTTCGGCCAAACATTACATTCTGTAATTGTATTGGCGAGGACAGCCATATGCCTTCAGTCCTACCCTTCAAGTTCAGCGCAAAATATTGCTATAAAGTGTGTAATCCACTATCTTCAGTAGACCCGTGCTGAATACATTGTCCCTCAATAGATGTGAGTCTGAATTCAATAATGCTCTCCTCCACACTTCGTTGACAATCTCACCGCAGTGAACATAGTCAATGCCGTCTGTATTATGGTTGCCAGCATCATGACGCTCGCAATTCTCTGGCGCAAGCTATATGTTCACCACAGACCAGCCACCGTGGACGTCCTGTCTACGAGAAATCCATCGCTTGCAGCTCTGTTGCTGAGAGATGGTACGGCTATCAGACAGTGAAATGGATTTCTGAGCTCAAATAATATTTGCATCCACCATTTACATAGGTACGATTCAAATGACGTGAGAAGTGGAGTCGGAAAGGATTTGACAATTTCTGAAGCATAACATTTAGAGCACTACTACTGTTGAACTTATTACAGACCATATTGGGATTCGTGAACCTGGTGAGTTCATGTTCTTTCCACCCACCCCATATATTCTGAAAGATGCTAATCACTCTGCCTGACATGATACAGAGCGCTGGATATGTCATCGTCGGTCTGCAAGCCTCGTGAAGCAATCCTCTTACGTTTTATCTACCAATGACACACTGACAGTTTTACAGACTCGGTCCCATCCTGATTTCTCGTGTTCTCCTCAACGTCCGAGCCGCAGCACGGTCCACACGCGGAGAACAGTCCCCAACGCCCTCTTTCGTCCGGTCACAGCATGGACTCCAGACACAAGCGGACGTCGAAAACATGTCGTTCGAATTGAACGTCCTCAGCAGTACCGAACAAGCCCCGGAGACCGATCGCGCTCACCTGCAAGACTTTGTTGAGCATGATCAAATTGTTGCTGAACCGCGAAGCATGGCGAACAACGTTGTTAGTACTGCCGGCGATGCTCAACAGGACGTGAACGAGGAAGAGGGAATGGACGATGTCGAGGAAGAGATGTGGTCGGATTGGGAGGACGACGAGTAAGGGAAGAGAATGGATGTCTGAGCCATGCTGTCAGTTTCACGGTGATTGTGCGTTTGCTTGCTATTTGTGAGTGGCGCGTCAACCTTCGTATACTCCGTCTCATCCGGCTGCATTTCGCAGATCTTCAATGCACAATTTCTCTTGCGTTTTCTTTTGTCTTTTCTCCGTACGACATGGCCGTTGGCGATTCAAGCCTCGTCATAGGGCTTCATAACCAACCTCAGCAGGCTCGTGTCACTCTATAGATCTCGTATAATATGTTTCGTTTCCCTGAGAGGACCACTCGAGCCGGTAAATCGCACGACACGCAGACGGTGTCTCTCTATTATGCAATGGCTCCGTATGCTATGAGTCGCTTATTCCATGCTGCAATACATAGTTGAAAAGCTGTTGGGGCGAGTATCGCCATGCCGAGGCCCGATTGAGCAGACTATTCCCCACCAAGATTTCGTTGCGCTGCATCAGTCGTCAAGATTGAGAGCTGCTCCATCTATGACCACCTCTGCATGCCCTGATCAGCCCGGCCATAGCAGGATGTTAATGCTGACTCGACTAGGAGGACCTGCAGCTCCGATCGCTGTTGTCTGCAACTTTCGATGAGTTGGCATGCCACGCCAAATAGGCGGTATGCGAACCATAATTCCTTCGATTACCCGGTTAAGAAGGCCATTAATGTGGACAATTTTACGTGTGCAGAGTAAGCTCCCACAGACCTATACAGCAAGACTACCGAGTTAAGCAGAAGAGATATATGGAAACATGTCCCTGGCTTTTACAAGCCTCTTTTCCTGGTTCCTGGGCGGATCCGTAGGAAGCCACACTTCAACGGGATCCCAATCGTCTGGCTCTCCGTAGTGCTTCCATACAAGCTCTGGATCCAATCCGACGTCTCCTTGTCTACCCAATAAGACGTATAGAACACCGAAGTAATTGTCGATGTAGTTCAATTCGTCGTGCAACCATGTCTGAGTCGTTGAGGCAAAATCGATCAGAACGGCGTGGTTAACTTTGGTTCTTGGGTTCGTATAGAGGATAATTTGACCGTTGTGCCAATCTCGTTGGCTGATATCGGCAAGGTCCAGGACACGGGCTGCGTGCCGACAACTTTGAATCTGAAGAAGACTCAGAGATATTCCGCTCCAATCTTTTATACGTAGTTGGCAACCATACCATTTTGATTTGCCTATCAGCACTCAATTTCCGTGCGAATTCAGAGTCAAGCGCCCATCCCTCGATGTATTCCATCAGGAGACCGTACAGTACCGTTCCGTCAGGCAGCGTAAACTAGTGAGGACGGGTAAGTGAAGCATCTTATTGCACCAAGGAGATCAGTTCTTACCTGATGTGTCCCATAGAACCAAGGGACAACCGTCCCTTGTACTACTCGAAGCTTGTCATAAGCGAAAGCTTCGTTCAGAGCGTATGTCTGAGCGATTACCAGTGAATCAAACCACCGAGGAAGACGCTCATCCAGTTGTTCGTCATCTTCGTCTGGACGTTGCAAAGGCTGGAACCGGTCGTCGAACAGCTTGAGACACAGAGCCGGAGATGACACTGGTGTGCTGTCGATGGAGGTGATTTGACAGCGATAAACGGTGCAAATGCCGCGCTCCGAGCCTTCCGCGACGACATCCTGAATCTTTAGCATGAAGGACTTGCTTTCCTCAAAGGATCTGGCAATTCCAGCAGCCACGAGAGGTGAATCGCGCTGTACTGACTTGAGATGCGTAATCGTGTCTGTTGGGATTTCGGAGAAGTCGAAGGGATAGATCGGGCGAACGTCTGGAACGATTTGTCCAACCTCGTTCGTCACAGCGTTGAGTATGTCATTGGGATGTGCGACGAGTTTGGAGCATTGTCTTTGCACGTGTTCATGCCAACGGAAGAATTGCAATGCTCTCGCGCGGTCTCGTACCAATGTTTCAATATCGAAGTCGGAATGGCGGTGATGTGTGGCAAAAACCTCTTCGTCCGACATCAAAGACTGGTTCGGATCTTTCGGTGGTCCTTCTGGAAGAATAAGGTTCTGATCAACTTCGATATCAGGATGTGGCATGTCGATATAGAGTCCGGATGGGAGCGCCCTTAAAAGATATGCAGTGGAGATGACTCGCAAAGCCAAATGGGGTTGATTCGTCAATACCCTTTCAAAAGTGTGTTCTGGACGGGTTCGAGTAGGGGGTAAAAACACGGCGATGTCCTTAAAGTTCGTCACAATGATGGAAGGGATTAACGATTTGGACTCTAGAGCTTTCGAAAGAGCAGATTGAACCCGTGAAGACACTTCACCCCTGGAATTGAACAAGTCGTCGGGCTGATTTGGAATGGAAATCAGTGACATTGAAACGCCAGGAGCGAGGATATCTGTCTGACCAGCGACAAGATAACTGGAGCACTAGTTGCCCAGCGGCTAAAGTCTTCCGCGGCGAAAGTCGCACCGTATATGGCTGCCGAACATGAGCCGTAAAACTTAATTAGGGCAAGATGAACTCACAGTCACCAAAATCAACACTTATGCATTCCATGGGTGTTTTCAGCACGAGTGGGGAGCGTAATTGATTGAAGAGATCTGCTATGGGCTGTAAGAGCATCATCAAGTATTTATCCGGCGAGGGGCTGTCGAAACAACGGATAGCATGTTTTAGTAGTCGAAAAAGACCACAGATAAAACAAGTACTCAGATGGAATTGATTCCTCTGCTGGCCACATCACCTTTCGATTGTGAACAGAACGAAGCGTTCCCTGGAGATGCGAAAGCACTCCGGCGAGAGTCTTGTCATCGCCTCTGGATTCCTTCCATTTCAATTGTGAAAAAACAGTCGAATTTTCGTTCATTACGGGCGACACTGCTGTGGTCCGAGGCCATGGAGGGGGAGGGGCATTTGAAAAGATGTGATCAGGACGTATCAAAGACGTTGAACCGGTGCTCTGCATTCGATACCGGAGGAATTGAAGAGGTGGAAAGGCTTTCCTAGGATATATACTGGGTTGGAAGACATTAATTGCTATGACACGGGGTCGGGCTGCACTACCGGTTGACGGCCTCAGCATGGATTCTTTCTGGCAGAAAACACGGCAAGTACATCAATACAACAGGCACCATCGGGTATCCGAACAGTTCAGTTCATTGCTGCTGATATTAAACATCATCTGAGCAATACTCACATTATCCACAAGAACAGCGGAGATTTCAGTAAATCGGAGTTGCTTTAAGGCCTGCCTGTATGAATCTTGCCGCAAGAGTTCGTCCGAAATGGGCCTCAAATCTGCAACGTTTCTGGCCTGCAATACTTACGCAAAGTGCGACAAGACCTGGGATCAGTGGGATGACTACGTCACGTTCTGTAACGGTATGTCACGAACAACTGCCATGCCATGTCAGAGACAAAACCCTACCAAAACGTGTCGATTCGTTCCCAAGATGACACGCTACTACAAAAAGATCACGTTCAGGACTCGAATGAGACTCGGACGCAGGAGAACGCGGGTCATAGCAGGACAGGCTCGAGCGCCACAACACCCTCACATGTCACAGTATGATATTGATCAATTTGATTTGTTTCGATACGGTGGCCACATGCCTTAGGCCTGAACGTTGAACGTTTGAACGTTTGCATGGCTGAACTCGCAAGCCGACGCCCATCGGATCCCCACATATGCTAAGTTACAACAACATTCGGGTTCTGGAAGTTGGAACGGCCTCAGAGGCTCGGAATATGCAATCCGGGGCCCTTCAACTATGTTATTTTGCGACGCCCAACCGTCTCGGTCATCATGACTTGCCACATACTCGGAGGCTCCTTTACTGAAAAGGCGCACTATACCTGGTCAGTCCCTCTCACACACAAGAGTCTGAGAACTGTCAGTTCGAAACCCGGCAGTCTGCTCGATGACAATGCGATGCAGACATCGCCGATCAGGCACGTACGGGGAATTGTATCGGACTATTGGATAAACGCTCTTCGAGGTAAGTTCAGCTCATATTGCGATAGGCGTAATCGGTCGTCTCTGACTTATGTGAACCACCGTTACACGAGTATCGACAAGCATGAGGCGATCTCCACGCAAGCGAGCGAGGACACAGGTTGGCGATGAGGACTGCATGCCATCGCAAGATGAACAGGTTGTGACACAGAAAGGGGAAAGTCGCCAGAGAACAGGAGCGTTAAACCGCCTCACCTCGAAAGCACAAGGACAAGACGCCACCAACAAACCCATCGACCTAGCGTGAATATAGAGAGCCAGAAGTAGCGAAAATTAGTATGCCGTGGAGCTACTTTTCAATATGTGACTCACTAACACTGAAGGTGGCGAAGGGCAAGGCTGCGAGGCGATATAGGCTGAGTAATGACGACTTTACTACCTCCCAGTATCTGGAAATTATTTGAGTCGCGAAGAATTATGGCGTGTCGTACATTATCTAACGTTAATGCGGGTTATGAGAGCTTCCTATACAAGGAAATGGGTATCGTAAGGAAGGCTTGGGAAAACCATGGAGGGCCGGAAGGGTGCGTTGCCTAGTGAGTTCTGCGAATCAAGTTTATATCGGACATTCATCCGTCATATAACCTGGACGTACTATACGAGAGACATAGAAACGCACCAACTCACAAACCATTCCATCAGCCCATCGACTATGTGACAAGAAGAACGCCGCATACATATATCAACAGATTGGCCAGTGGCTCTGACACGGACGAACAGCCCACGCCTATCGAACCAGAGCTTCAGCGCCAATCCAGGTTGCATTTCGACGATAGTTCATGGAGGAAGTCACTAAGAAGGCTGTCAAGAGGTATTAAGAGAGCAAATACGAGGAGCCAGCACGGGCTTTGGCCGCTCCGGGACCGTTCAAACGAGATGAGCTAGCAACGCTTTGCGACGCCACACGAAACCGTCAGTTCCGATGGAATACGACACATTCCAATTACCTTCTTACGCGCTGCATCCGAGGTAACCTCTTCGTTCCTCAATGCCCATAAATGCACTTCGGGAAATCCTGGATAGTGTGCCGAATGCTCCTGATTATATCCCGCTTGGCGAAGAGGACGTCTGGTTTTGAAAATTCAAATCCCATAAGATGTGATCGCCAGAGCTCCATTTCTAGTACGACTAGAGCACCCAACTCTACTGCGAAGTTCATTGTGCACTCACCAAGATTGTACGGAAGGTGGGTTCGATGCATGGAAAAACGGACGATAGCAGGTGTACGGAAAAGTACGCGAACGTGGACTTTCTATTGTCTATCCATGATTGATTCTGTTCTGTGGAGGTGTGCGGAGACTGTTGGCGGTGTTTCCGTAGATCGAAAGGGCTCCTGGTTGGATGAGGCACACGACTGGCCCCTTAAAAGAATTGATCCGGGCTATATAAATAAGCACAAGCGCACTGAGTAGTTTAAAGGGCGAACATACAATGACGTATTGTCGAACGTGGCTTGGGGACAGTAGAACATTGCTATACAGGGCACAGAGCGCTGGAATTTTTCATCTGGCCTTAAGCTTGCTTTCTCAGAACCGTCTTCTAACTATTCTCCTGTGTATAGATTAGTCTCTATCGCGGCATGTTCATAAAGTGAAAATAGTGCGCTGTCGTAAATCTATCCAGTGACAAACCTCAGATGAGCCTCCAATTGGCGATTAACCACTGACCCGACCAGACGTCCAATTCAATAATGTTATGGAGCCCCCACAGGACCCTCAAAAATGCCTAGGACGGTCAAAAACACTGAGTTCGTCTAAGACTCCAAAGCCAAGCCTATCCGTATGCCGTAGGCTCGCGTCGCGCTGACTCAATCTCACTGACTGTGATATAGCCCGCAGATGAAATCGGCGTTGAATATCCTTGCTGAGAACGGGGCGAGAACGCCGGTTGCAATACGCCTACATAATTTTCCCAGGATAGCACAGCATAACGGTATTAAAGCCCTCCGTTTCTCGCGGATGTGGCATCAAAATGTCCTCGAGACCAGAAAGTTTGCTGAACGGATTGCAGAGACAGACTCGTGAAGCGTTGTGTATTTTTGATAAAATTGTGTTCTGCATCATCGTGTTGTTTACCGCCTCAGATTCAAGAAAGAGCAAGATAGGAGATGAGGAAGATATTTCGAGGGCTGAAGGGTGATGGGATGCGCAGCCAATGTGTGCGCAGTCGCCGTGGCAGCAGGCGACACGTGCGGGATGGCGGTGTGGCTCGATGTTTTGGCAGTCCTAACGCTCGCTACGCTCTTCAACTAGTCCCTCTTTTGTTTCTACAAACGACGTTTTCCAACGATCTATTCACGACGACCTCAGCCCTGCCTTTCTCGGGCTTATACCACCAGGCCTGATGCTGAGGTCTCTTGTCCGTCTTTTTCTCTTCGCGTTCCTCTCCGTACTCGTCCTCGCCTCTGCCCATGATGTCCGGTCGATAGCGCGCAGAGATGGTGTTAGCAACATCCTAGGCGACGTGACCTCTGCAAACAATGCTGCCACCACATCTAGCTCCGAGGCCGCCCAAGCTTCCAACGCAGCGACTACATCCAGCGAAAATGCTGGCCAGACCACGACCAGTAGCAACAACCAGCAGACCACATCACAGCAGACCACAAAGACATCAAATGCCTCCCCGACGCAGACGGCAACAGGCGGAAACAACGGCGGTGGTAATTCACAAAATACTGCATCCACCACGCAGGCTGCGAGCGGCGGCCAGCAGACGTCTCAGTCGTCCCAGACGGATAACTCTGGCGGACAGCAGACGACGCAGAATTCTGCTACCGCAACTCCTACGGGTGGCGACGGCCAGCAGGCCTCGCAGACTGCCGGCCCCCCATCTCCGACCCCGACCCCGGTCGTTGTCGTCAGCTCAATCGCCTCCACATCTCTTTCTACAAACGCACAAGGTCAGACACAGACCGAGGTGGTCACTGTCGCCGTCTCTGTGACACTTTCCTCGGCATCCACTAGCGCTACCTCTGGCGGTGGCTCTGATGGCAATTCATCAGTCAACACTGGCACCATCGTTGGTCTCTCTGTTGCCGGTGGTGTCGCCCTTATTGGTGTGGTTGCGTTTGCGATCTTCAAGTTCAGCCGTAAGAAATATTTGGACGAATACGATGACGGTGCGTATCATTGTTTTCTCCAGGTTATCAGGCGAAGATTGCGGCCCAGCTTCGGGCATGTGCCAGATGCTGTATGCAGCCTACCTGTCACTCAGGCCCGTGCTGCCGCCTTCTCTTCGCATACTATTCGCGGATCTCCTATTGGCACGATAGGCCGCGATAGCGCAGGTGTTGCAGGCTATTACGGGTGGAAGTCCAATGGAGATATCGTATCTGCATATGTTCATCATTGAGCGTAACACGATCTACCCTGAATTTGCATTACTCACGTACCGATCCCGAACAGGCGAAGCGATCAAATGGCCCGAGCTCGGCACACACGGCGAGAGTCCACATGCGCTGCCGACGCATCGCACCGGCGGCGCGGGCTTCGATACGTCGTCTGAGGTGAACCTCGTGGCACGCCCAGATTCGCGTGCAGGCAGCATTGCGCCCTCCGCAGCAGCGTCCACCGTCGATCTCTACGGCGTGCCGCACGATCCATACGCTGTTCCGCCACTCCCTCACCTAAATCCCAATGTCGTCACCGGTACAGGCGCAGGCGGCGCGCAGCCGTACCACGACGACCCAAGCTCTGGGTATTACGATCCGTACAACGGGCCGGTACCACATACGCTCGAGGGCGAGGCCATCCCGATGACCCAGATTGGCGGGTCGCGCGCACGAAGTCCGGGGCCCGCGATGGCGATGAGCATGGGAATGGGAGGCAGGGCGTCGCCGGCGCCACCGGGAGGGATGGGGATGGGGATGGGCGGGCGAGCGTCGCCTGCTCCGGGGATGGGTATGGGTGGCAGAGCGTCACCTGCACCATCGATGGGCATGAGTGGTAGGGCATCACCAGGGCCGCAAATGGCAATGGGAGGACGAGCACCAAGTCCGGGACCGGGGGCGGCGTACGGCACGGGAGGATACGCGGCATGATCTAGGGCGTGAAGACGCGTGCGGGTGATGGCTGGTCCATAGGAGTGGTGGCCGACGTGGTCATGGATTTTGGATATCTTATCGGAGGACATTTTGATTTTTCTATCGGAAACAGGACAGGGAAGAGGGAGAGTGGGATATAGCGAGTTGGGTCGAGAGGGTCGAGAGGATCTTGGACGAAGGGGATGGTATCGTCAAGTGCATCGTGATTAGTTCGGGAGCTCGCTCACAACTTCCGATGCAAACGACATTCTCTCGCATACGTGGGCGTTGAATGCGCTTAGCGTCCGATCGTCAATGCGATCTCATCGTTCCTTCACTATCCACCGTGCGAGTTGGCAGGCTCAGCTCGTACGTCCGGGTATCCCCTCAAGTGCAGCGTCATCACCGGTGGGCCAACTCACTCCTTCCACCGCCAATCGTATATTCTCCTTACCATGCGCTTCGTTCATTCGCCTTCCAACCACCACCCACGCGCGATGACGTTCACCAAACCGCTTCTCTGCACCCCCGCTTCTTCGTCCCTTGGCATCCGGACGTCTCCACACCCACCATCTTCCCGTCAAGACCCAGCTCCTATCGTTGTCGTCGCATCTCAACTCTCAGATACGGACATTTTGTTTTTGGTTTGATCCTGCATACCGCATATCTAGACGGTCGAACAGCCGCTTCCTGTGCCATACAACACTAATGGTTCGCGTAACATACCAATCCGCAATATCTATACATATCATCAAACTCGATCCTGAGGCGAGGGAGGCGAGTGCGCAAGTGTTGTTTTGTGTGTGGAACCATCGTGCGTGTTCCGGTCTTGTAGACCTCGTGGAAATGTAGAGTGCTCGCGTTAGAGTGTATGCTGCTCTATGTTACTTGCAAATTGATGAGATAGCTGGACGGTTCTCGAAATCATGTTGTTGCGTTGCCCGAAATGGAGTTGCACTTCTCCAACTTGTCTATCTGACATGCTTATTCTGTAGTCCGTTTGGAATCGGAGTCGCGTATCATCATTACAATGCTCATAAGGTACGTCGTCACTAGCTACTGATACAATATCCTACTAGGTACAATTTAGACTATGTTCACAACGCATCAACGCGGGCCTTGTTCGGCTTCGTGACCTTTCCATCCTCATTGTTCTTCAGAAGCGACATCTTCTGCCACAGCTCTTCCCCGTAGTTCTGCTCCCTCATCCAGCTCTCCAGGGTATGTCCGGTCGGGTGCACCTTCCGGATCCATTCAACGTCCCTCTTCACAATGTCGTCGCGCCACAGGGAGTACCAGCCGGAGAAGTTCTGTCTCCAGGTAATGCTGCCTTCGCCGACCTTCTCCTCGTTCGACACCGGGCGGTCAGCATTCTCGTAGAGATCGAAGTACTTGTCCAGCGGGAGGTGAATCACTTCTGCCTTTTGTCCCGTTACTTTCTCGAACGTGCTCTTGATGTAGTCGTAGCCGACCCAGTCGCTCGCGACTTTGAGATCGACGCCGGACGTTTCGGCGCGGTGATCGAAGGTGTATCGAGCCCACCATCCGAGGTCGGAGAGGGCGATCATCGGGACATGGCCCTTGCCAATGGGCGTGACGAATACGACGGTGCCATCTTCGCGTTTCTTCCACGGACCAAACATCATCTGAGCCAATTTCAGCATGGGACGTCATCAAGAGGCATAGTTTGACTGACGTTGAACAACATGTCCATGTAAGGTCCGGAAGTCACGATGGACCAAGACATGGTCTTATCGCCCACGAGCGACGGTTGCGCCTTCATCCAGTCTGCGATGCGCCCTTTCGCGTCGTAGTGCTGGCATTTGTATTGCGGATCCCAGTGACCCAGCTACACCGACATGTTACCATGAGCCTTCCTCCACCATACATACTAGACACCATCGACTCACCTTGGAAGCGTAGTCTAGGCTACTCCAGACGTAGTGTTTGACACCAGCCTGCTCGGCCAGCTCGAAGATCCTCATGCCTAGGAAGTCTTCCTTCATTTCGCCAACGCTGAAGCCGTCAATATTTATCCATGCGCCGTACACGCCCTTAAGAGCGTAAGCGACGGCTTTGAAGTCGTCGAAGCGCCCTACAGCATCAATGCTATTAGCGTACTGGAAGTCGACAGATGTCGCAATTGGACTAGTCACTCACCTTGGACAAGTTCAACACCCTTCGCGGCGAGGGCTCTTGCGCGTCTGCTGGATGGATCGCGAGTCAAACCACGTATAGCGTACGGCGACGGCGTTCCGTCCTCACAGGGTCCAAGCAGCTTATCGATTACCGCGAGGCCCTGTGCACCGGTGGCCCCGATGACCAGGATGATCTTTTTCGAATTCATATCAGCGTTCGAGGATTATGATGGTGTGTAAGTTGTTAAGGGGTCCGCCCACCTTGAATCATGCGTTTTTATACTATTGCGTATTCCGCCGTCGTGGCGCAAAGCTGGCCCGGCCACCAGATGACTGCGATGATGTATAACGAGTTAGAGGGGCCCTGCCGCTCCACAGCTTCGGCTAGAGCCCGCGGACTGCCCGAGTTACATTCTGGTCCTCACCGTCACTGTTGAGCTTCCGCTGGCAGAACTGTAGAAGCCACGTCTCAAGGACGCATTGCCGGGGATGCCGGCCTCGGTTCCAGACTAGCTGCAGAAACGTGCTCACCCGCTCTCGAGGTCATGGATTATACGCTAGCCATCCTCGTTGCCTCCAGCGCTCAAGCGCTCGAGCTTCAGTGTTCTATGCATCGCACCGAGACGGTCTATAATATGTGCGATTGTTATCCAGAAGCAATACACGAGGACAGAGCGCACGACACAACGTCTGCGTGTCAGGAGTATCAAATCATACAGCGGAGAGCCGGAGAACGACGTCAGTAGCAAGAGTCAGATCTGGCAGTACAGCATACAAGACAAAGCGTCAGATTATAACCACTCGCGTCATGAGCAAGATACAGTCGAGGTACGTAAATAAGTCCCAGAGGTGAGCTCTCTAACGCCCGAGACCAAGCCCGAGGCGGCAGAGCGTTCGTGATCAGCATCGAAATCGTCGTCATCGTCATCGATCATCGTTCAGTCAACAGCCGAACATGGGGTTCACCTTGCGCACAGGCGGCAAAGCTGGTGTAGGAGCCGGAGTCGAGGTCGTCAGGAAGCTACCCCTCGTCGGAGTGCTGGGACCGGCGTAGGCGCTCATAGAGGCGGACTTACTGTGCGTCGACAGTGGCTTTGGCGCTCTGGGAGGCGGTGCAGGCGGCTTGCGCATGGCTGATGGAGGGGAACCCATGACCCGGGAGATGTTCCACGGAAGCTCGTAGCCAGACCGGCCAGCAGCGGCTACGTAGCGAGCGATCTCGAGATGCAGTGTGGGATAGTACGTCGCCGATGCCTTCCGCGACATCTATTCGGATAACAGTGACGAGTCAGTAGGAAGCAACAAGTGGGTTCATCAACGTACGAAGAGGATCTTCTCGAGGCCAGAGGCGAACAAGTCGGAATGTAATTGGAACGCAGAATGTTCGAGTCTCCGATCTAGCCGCAGGTCTTCCGCCGCTCGTGCAAGTGCATTGAGGAACTTGAAATGTATGGTCTGTCGACACCACAAAATATCAGTCATTCTATGATCCTGTATGCGGAAAGGCCGGGCTGACCATGTAAGTCATCGCCTCAAACTCGACACCACCCGTCATGCCACCCGGCGCACGCGGCTTCTCGACCTTTCCTTCATCGACCTCACCAAGGATCCATATTGTGTTGTTCGGATGGCAAAACACCCAGAAATAGTCTCTGCAAATATTGTTAAGCTCCTCAAGATACGTCTTGTAGATGCGCGGACGATGGAGTTCTTCGATGAATTTGTGTGGCTCCACCGGCGGACTGTCCGCTTCGGCCGGTCGTGGTGCAGGCGTGAGAAGCAGGGACTTCAAAAAGGAGAAGAGCGATGAGTGCGGTGCCGGCAGCACGATGAGGTTACTGGGAGTGACTAGCGTCGCCGTGCTTTGCCAAGGCATGGGCGCCGAGCGGGACAGGTTAATCATCGACGCCGCTTTCGGGCTACCGATCGACGGCAACGAGGACGGAGGATAGAGGTCGAACAGGATCAGCAGCAGCTCAATGATGAGCTGCCTAGTGCCCACTTCGCCTGGCCGCTTGTCCGAGTACAGGAGTGTAACGAGCCGTGTATAGGGCTCGGGGCATTGGCTCCGGAGCGCAGCACATCCCACAGACGACGTTGACAGTGCCTTGATGCATCGTAGCAGCTCGTGAAGGATCTGGTCGTCATGCTGCTCCTCGCTGCGACGCGGTTCAGGACCAGTCAATTCAGCTTATTGCTGCCACTTACCGCCACTCCACGTTCAGAATCTCGTCCAAGCGGGACAGCAGCGCCGGGTAGCCGCCTTCCTTCAGGAACTCCTTCGTCCATCTAGGCCGTCATGAGCGCCTACACTACGCACCAGTCAGCACACGCGACTCACTGTGTGGGCTCATTCCGGAGGAGCAGCCGGAGCTTCTTCACTGTCTCAACCTCGAGCTGCACCGTCGAGACGCTCGTCAGGATCTTGCACCACTTGGCCGGCGTCGCGATCGCGTGCTTCGCCCGCTTCTCCTTCGTGATGGGCAGCCTGACCACTGACGCCGTGAGCTCCGACGTGTGCAGGAACGGGTGCCGCCCGACATCAATCGAGACGCCGCGGCTGATGCTGCTCATGAATCGTGGTCTATCAGGTGAACGCGGCAGACTGCTTTCTTCCGCCGGGGGCGAGAACGTGGCCTGCGACTTAGACAGTGACGACAGCGAGTCGCTGCTGTAGGCTCTCCGGGGCCCACGCAGGCTGTGGTGAGAGTTGGACTGCGACTGCCTCATGGTTGCCATGTCTCGCGATGACTTGAGGAAGGCGGCCTTGACGCTCATGTCCATCGTGGCCAGCTTGCCGCGCATATTGTCTGGAACCTGTAATTCGTCCTAGATGAACGCGTCAGCATCGTTTTGATCGCAGCGTGAGCCATCTAAATGAGCGAAGATCTGTTCGACAATCACGTAGGATTCAGCTGCATGCGGCGGTAACGCGCAGGTCTAGGGTTCATTTCTGCTTCGAGCGCTCAAGATGAGCCCTCGTAACGGCGAACAAGCTGAGGACCATCTGAGAGGATCCCCCCCCCCCCAAAAAAAAAAGAACACGCGCAGAACAGTGCCCGAAGACGACGTGCTGGCCGGCGCTAATGACTGCACAAACCGGGCACAATGGTCGGGTGGATCGGGCGGCTGTGTCAACGTCGCCAGAACGGGTCCCCGCTCGCTGGCGAGTAGCACCCCGCAGGCGAGCTCCTCGGATGGATGTTAGATAGTCCCACCGATCTGGTGAGGTTGCTGGCGGACCTCTAGGACAATCATACAAACCGACATGGCTTGCCACGCGATAACTTCAACTCACGCATTCTTGAGCATGAGCGGCGAGTTCTGATGCCACTGAGACTGCAAAGTTCAGTCTGTGGAGCGACAGGCTTGCGGGACGATGAATCCTCAGTACACGCGCCTCCGACTACACGTGCACGGTGCCAGTAGATCGCGGCCATCGCCCACTGAGTCTCAAGCCTCAAACTTCAACGACTGTCCCAGCTATGAAAAATTCCAAACCGACCACCGCCGACCGCCAAAGGCTCCATTGATGGATAGCGATAAAACGAAAACGCAACCTGAAGTGAAGCATAGGAATAATCAGACATACCAGCAGCTTGTCAAACTCCTCCGGATCGACCTGCTCCTCCCTGGTCGGGTCCTTCGACTTCCGTTTCTTCTTCTTTTCGGTGCGGGAAGGTTGGGCATCGCTTGACGACGGTTCGCTGGGGAAGTTCTCCTTGCCGTTCGGAGCGGTCTCGCCAGGGCCAGTGACCATCTGGAACTCGCCGGAGATGGACCTCCTCGATGGCAAGATACTCTTGAACATGTCCTTTGAAGATGAGAGCATTGGCGAAGAGATGAGGTGGAGAGCTGATAGCCGATGTGATGGGTTGAAGTTGAGTTCGGCTGCCGCGTGGCGTTAATGAAACGCGTCACACACGTGGTCGTGTGCAATTAGAGTTTAGGCGCGTTCCCGACGCGACGCGTACCACCACACTCAACTCATATATACAGATTCTTAAGAGCTCTCATCAGCTTACATGTTGCTTTACTGACCCGTTGACATGTATGCAACTGATCACTTGTATTTTAATGAGATCACAGGTTGAGACATCGCCGATAGAACTGAACTCATCAGTATTTGGTCTGTCGCACTTTTGTCCAACGGTCAATACCGGTCAGTGTCGGTCAGTGCTTAATAGAACTGCTACACCTGTCAGCAAACCTTGCGCGTGCAACTGCAAAATAGGTCAGCCAAAAGGGAAGTCAAGTCAGTCACAGGATCTGAACGAGTGGAATGTCAAAGTCAGCGGCAAGATTTACTAGCCCCATTGCCATGATTCCCCATCAGCCAACTTCGACAATGAAGGATTGTGTCTCTCTGCTCCAGGTTTCGGCGTTCACATAGGGTGGTATGACACATCGTTCGAATCAGTCTTGCCCAAAAGGCAGTCGCGCACCTTCGATAGACCAGGAATCCATTCCATGTCGCCGAGCTCTCCGCATACTATTGCACAATCCAAGTAAAGCTAAATCAGACCTGTATACGATAGCAGAGAGCAGCGATTCGCGCACCTTATCGTAAGCCTCCGATCGCGTGCTCTTCCAAGTGTCGACCATAAGCACTATCCTTGAGAGCGCAGGGGAGGCTTCCTCATAGAACTTGCAACTTCAATCGTACCCGTCGTCATATTCCAGCGACCACGTCAAATCGTATTCGAAATCATGAGGGAATTCATCTTCGTCTTACAGTGGAATGTACCGACAAGGATTCGGTGTACGGCGCAAGGTCTCCCAAAGTGCATCAGCAGGCTCGGAGGACTTGTTGCGCTGTTGCTTCAGCATCGCTAGACATGTTGGCTTTCCACGCAATGAATGGCGAAACAAATTGTAGAAAGCGAAAGGCACCAGCCATGAATACAACGAATAATAAGGTATATCATCTACACCAGCGAACACGCTCGCCAATCTTAAAACACTGCCCTCATCAGAATGCTCCAGACATGATATGAACGACAGATGGACGCACAAACTGCATTGCCGTGAACTAATTATAGCGCCCACTTCCATCGATCAGTTATTATTAGGCCGCAGGGGTTTCTTTCCTTTCGAGTGGGGGTGAGCGTGCTTGCTCCCAGGCAGCCGCTCGTACGTGTTTGCCTCATCGGAGCTCGCTTGGAGGGTGTGTACGGTACTCTCGCCCTCACTGCTGCGCGTTGCCTCGCCGCCCTCGCCACTCTGATCTGGCGGCAGACGACGAGTACGTTTCCGATGAGTGGGGCGGTTGTGGTTACACGACGAGTCTGACCCAGAGTCCGAATCTGAGGATGATTCTTCGGATGAAGACTCATCAAATCGGCGTGGTTTGTGGTAGATGCAACATACTAGGATGTGTCAACAGATCAGAGTCAAGCGGGCATTAAAACAAAGCGACGGATTATCGAGAATGAACGCGCACTTTTAGATGACTTTTTCCCAGCTCCCTCATTGTCTACAACATCTTCCCTCCAAACGACACGCTGATGTGTCCTCGTCGCTCCTCTCAGGCGCAAGCGACCTATGGACTCGCCGCCTGCCTCAGAAAGAGTGCCTTCCTCTCCAGACTGTGTCTCGTTCAAGGTAATCGTCCGCGAGCCATCCGAAGGGGCAGAGGGTCTTGGTCGAGTAGCTACGTACGCCATGTCGAATGATCCTCAAGTGAAGAGATCGAGTCGTGAGTAGACTGCGAAATGTGGGGATGTGATGAGCTCGAAAGATCTTGGCTAAAACTTGTGATGCGGTGCAAAAAGTCTGACAGCAGCTGCAAGAGATATCTGAGTGGGGATTATTGGAGAAAATGCAGAGCGATGACGGTTGGGGTATAAGCAGCTAGAGAAGGAGCATAGTGCGCTCGAGACAGTCTGACGCTCTTGTCTAGCGCCACACCGAACATTCACGACCCTTGCTTATGTAATCATGTGGCCTGGGAAACTGTAAGCGTCCGAAACACTCCGATCGCATCTGGACTGGCGGCGAGCACTAGGTTCCTGCTGGACCTTTATCGAACGCATTTCTAAACTCATGCTCAGACAATCCTACAACTACGTATTCCTTGGCTATGATGTCGACTGGACGTTCGTGCACACTGTCGCTCCGGATGTCCGAAGAAACCATTAATGTCTTGTAATGCATTCGCCACAACGATTTCGACACATCAGCACGACTTGACATAGACAGACATCCAGCAAGTGCTCTTGATGTGCGTTACGACCACGGATCTGTGCCAATTCTCTCAAATATTTGCTTTAGGGACATGTACATTGGTACGAAGGTACTCAAATCATTATGATACATGATCAAGTTTCAGGCTTCAGCATAGCGCCCGTCGTCTGGTCCCGAACGCCTTTCACAAACATGAACGCATCCGTTCCACCCGTGCCCTTCGCCTGCTTAGCCTTTGAGCCGCCTGCACGCCTGGACGGACCCAATATGTATGCAGCGACGACCCGGACGTGTGCATCCCGAAACATTTTGAGCGCGTTGACCGCCTCGTTGTACGCTTCAAGCAGCTTCGGGTCATTCGATGACTCAACCAGCGCGCGGATCGGGCGCGGATTGGCCGAGAGGTGCCGTAGGAATGCGCGATGGTGCCGTGGCATGTAAGACTGCATGCGTATTAGGAAGGGCACCGACGTCGTCCCAGGCGCGGAGCTGAACGACGCAGTCGGCGCTGCAGAAGACGAGCCCGATGAAGATTCGGATGCGGGCTGAGACGTCTTGGCAGACTTTCCGATGGGGAAATTCGAGTGAGAGTACCTGTCCACCCCGAGGAAAATGTCCAGTGCGTGGATGAGCGAACTCTGCCCTGCACTCGGACCTGAAAGCTCCGAGGGCCGCTGCAGTGTCGGGTCGAGCTCGAGTCCTTCGAAGATCCATTTACGCGTCGAGTCTGAATCCGCGCCTCGGAACCATGGGCGGATGTCGTTGTAGAAGACATCCGGGTCGCAGCCCTCGCGCACTGCAGCCAGAATGGTTGTGAGCTCGTTGATGACCTTCGCGAGCGTGTGGAGGTACGAAGTGATGCGCCGGATGGCTGTCGCATCGCCGAGGAAGGCTTCGTCCATCATCGCACTCATGAGGCTGAGGGCCTCGACGCCGCGCAGCTCGATGCGTGCAGAGGCTAGGTAGAATTCCTCTTCATCCCGAGTGCCGCTGAATAGTGTCAGGCACCGGAGGTTATCGAGGGCCGGTGGACGTATGGGAAACGCAGGTGATGTGGGCTTCTTGTATGCCCAGTTATAGAGCACGTCGTCAGAATAAGTTAGTATTGGTGGGAGCTGCAGCTGGGAGGAGACCTGGAGGAAAGGGACAGCGATGGGCGGAGGGATGCGTATTTCGGGAAAGGTGACGGGGATAGTGTGCACGTAGAAGTGCATGATCCACGCGAGGACATGATGCGCTCGCCGAAGGAGCAGTTCCGACCTTTTCAGGCCATCTGTCTCCAGGATTGGAAGCTGAATAAGGATCGTCAATAAGCACCGAAATGAAGAGAATCGCGAAGACGCCCACCTCTTTGACCCGCTTTCGCCACCGATCCGACTGAGCCTCTTCGACTTCTGTCAACCCCCTTTTCTCCGCGAGCTGCAGCCTGTTATTGAGCGCTTCGTCCAGCGCGGCCTCCCATGGCTCCCATTCCTGCGGGAGGCGCGCAAGCGGCGGTTGCGGGGGCATGAAACCCGTGCGCGTGTCGACATCGAAGTCGTGCGCGGCGAGCGTAGAGGTGTCTGGCGTACCCGCCGCGGCCAGTCCATGATCCGGACGCGGAAGGGCGAGGAAGTGGTCGGGAGGGAGGTCGGAAGATGGTAAGTGCAGAAAGTTCATGTTAGCAGTGATGTTGTTGCCGACAGTGATGAGTTAGTCGTTGCGGGAGGCGGACATGGACGCGTCGAGTATTTATGAGAGGATAAAAGAACCAACATTGGAGTTTTGCCGAAGCGGAAGGACCCACCGAGAACGTTAGTGAGCGTGGAGGCTCTGAGTCAGTCCCCGATCGGCAATGTGATCTAGACGATCTCCACCCGCCCCTTGGCCCGGTTTTCTCCTTTATGGCTTTTACTATACGTAGAGGGTTTCGTTAACGACGATGTATACGTTTACGTTACTCTGAAGTCGAAGAGTGTGGAAGGTCAACGAAAACTGCTACCTATGTTACAACGCGTCTCGGATCTAGCTTAGCGCGTGGCACCAGATGGTTCACTTCATCATCGTGAAGCTATTTACGTACGCGTCTGATACGGATTAATACATTATACGTGGCCGCAATTCTTGTGACTATGGTGTTTCGGTCCGACTTGCCTGTAGTGTTTGTTGACGCCATTTTTGTTGACGCCATTCCCGCGGACTTACCACAACAGTAGATGCCGGGCTCTTACGGTGATCGAGTGAAACGCAAGAACTTTCAAAGCCCTGGACTGAATATGATATCGTTTGCATCTGTAGTCTGGTCTCACATACAATGTATCTGCTTCGCGAATATAATTTTTTTAATAATCAGCCTATGCGTCAACATACACCGGAGTAACGGCGACAGTGGCTGCATCATAAGCTTGGTCGCCTTTGACGATGGCGTCATCTCATATTCTGTAAGTAGTTATTCAACACACCATACAAAGACTGAGGAGCACCATAAATATACGCAACATCTACAAATCTAGAATCTAGGAATCACCCAGGGTATATGTAATTACAAGAGCATATATTTTACGAATCGTTCACGTGCGGAGCATCCGGTGGGAGAAAAGCATCACAGCAATAGAAGTGACACAGCCGTCAGGGCACTACATGGGATTTGGGGGGCTAAGTTCATTCCGGTTGTCAAGCACAGGGACGAACTTACGTTGAAGAGAATAACATGCCGACATCTGTCAAATAGAGCATATGCAGCGATTCCTGGTATAGTATAAATGAGAACGTACATTGAACGAGCAAGAAAGCCTGAATGACAAAATAGACAATCAGTACGTAATCACAAGCGAGCGCTATGGCGACACGCACCGAGAGCGTATCGACTTCCCCTGTCGTCGAATACAAGTTAGACACTATCAACTGGCTATGCACAGCGGATGCATCAGTCGCAGGCCCTCGAATATCTATTAATCGGCAATACCTACTTGACTGCCGCTGGAGTACCGCTGAGGAACATCGCTACAAACCGCTCCGCTAGAGCATCTTTGGCAATCAAGCGATCCCTCACCATCGCCTGCACTACAAAGATGCCGATAATAGGAAGGACTATCATCTTCGCAACTGCTGCCGCGATCATAGCCATAATCGGCAGACCGGAGAAGGGCCGGGAAATCTTGAGTCGGGCGAAAGATGCGCCGAGTATAATCAGGGATAGCGGGACCGCCATGTTTCCTAGGAATTCGGCTTATGGCACTGACACTTTAAGACACCTGCACTTCATTTGCAGAACATTGGCTCACCGGTTTGCATAATGAAGTACAACGGTGGTTCCCCGTCCGGCCCTGTCCAATCTGCCCTCCTGTGACCGGCGTGAACAATGCTTTGAGATCCGGTATTAGTGAGACCGGAACCGAGATGACGAGCGTGCAAGTGATGGGTGTCACTGCAGCAGACGCAGGCTGTAGTGCCTTTTTCAGCCGTTGCAAGAATGGTGGCGGAGGCATGTGGGTAGCGGACGTCTCGACGGATTCAGGCACAGGTGACGACCGAGGAACAGGTTGTATAGGCGAAGTTGAGGAGATCTCATGCTGAACGGAGGGCTGTCTGGAGTCGTCATACGCCTCCATGGAGGAACTTGTGTCGTCCATCTCTAATTTTGCATTCTTTTGTTCGCTTCGTTCGAGATCTGCTTCAATGTTCACGTTCTCGGGGTTTACCGAAGATGATCTTGACGGTACCCGCTTGCGCCGGATACGACGTGCAATGAACCCCCCTATGGGCTTCTCCTTCCACGAATAGAGACGTTCTGCCTCTGAGTTCTGAGGAACGTCTGGCAAGTAGTCCCAAGAAAGAGAGCGAGCAACTCCGGTGATCCAAAACACAAAGTGATACGTCACAATGAAGACAGCGACGTACGAGATGCCCACTAAGATTGTACGACAGAGTTAGTTGAATATCAGAGCAAAGGACGGCTGATGCGCACATTCGGGATCGGCATCTGGATTGATTGGCGAATCTGTCATGATAGATGACACGATGGCACTGGCTAGTAGACCGATATCAGTTCACAGGTGTCCGGGGACAGGGTATGATATCTTATACTGGTACTCACGTAGGTTACCCCAGTTGCTCATGCCACATAGAACAACAATCCCTTGCCAGAAATTGCGCGGAACATAGAAGAACTCTCTGATTAACAGTCCAAAAAGGAACCCTATGCCAACATAAGTGAAGGCGATCGAGAACAGAGGGCCAAGTGCGGATATGTTGGAAGAGGTGAATGCAGGGACAACGTTCGAGAATATTAGGGCCGGGAGACATATGTTCTTGAAGACCTGCGAGGCCCCTGTGGAAGCATCCGCCGAGAACAGACGCCTCTGAGCGAGAAGATAGCCGACGGATATTGCGATGTATCTGTAACAGTATGACATGCATCAACATGGTGAAAGTATGAAGTAAATATAAACTAACGTTTTGAGCAGCGGCATAATGCCGCAATAAATTAGATGTCCCGCTGAGGCCATAAAAACGAGCGAGGTAGTTGCAATCGTATAGAGCGTTTATGTCTTGTGAGACTGGCTCCGCATACGACTATATAGTTGTTCTAGGCATCCAATCGCAAACATACATGGAGTGGGTACCTGGAAGCTCAGGCAGTGCAACAATCGCCTCGAAGTCGTCTCGTGCGATTGAAACCTGTGCGTGATGCGTTACTTCCACAGAATACGAGTCGCTAAACATGGGTGACTCACCAAGGGATGCATCAAGACACTCGAATGATTCCAATCGTTGCATGCGCACTGGCATAGATGGAAATGGATATCTGCGACGGATTACCTCGTGTTTTTGTTCAAGCCAATTGAAAACAGTCGTGTTCTCTACAGACATTAGGCTATGCGAGGTATTGAGAATGCGCACCTACGAACTATTTTCTTGCCAAGGGAAAATGAACACGACTGAACAGCGGCGATCCGGCGAGATCTGAGTGGAAACGAGGAGGTTATCGCGCTATCATGTAGCTTGCGCGTTGGCGTGAAGAAAAGTAGTGAACTGCCCTGGACGAGTCAGCTCCCTCGACATGTTCACGTCACATACAGTATACACTATCTTTACCTGAGAGGATTTTGCTATTCGACGCTGCGAACAAACGCTCAACGGAGCGAACCAGCAGCAAGGAAAAGGCCCTAATCCTGCTGCCTATCTGTCATGATAGCTCTCAACAGGAGACCCATTCCTCATATATAGAATGAGATTCACGCCTTGTACACGCTCGTGATGCGTTGTTGGAGCGAGGTGTCCTTTGACCGCAAGTAAGTGGTACTGCATCGCGTGCATGGAAGCAGTTGTCACGGTCACGTCGAGTCGTTTACCGTTCCCGTAACGCGTCACGGAGTGGCCGTTGCTCCTTGACTGCATTGTCACAATGTTCTCCTGCGACTCACCATATATCTTAGTTGCTATTTTCAAACTGTTGCAGACCAATGGAGGCACAGCCAACCGCTCACCAGTACTGGTGTTCCTACGTGTCGCCCGTCACGGTTATGCTCTCATGCTCGCGTGCAACATTCAGTGCTCGATAACTTTACGCTCGCGTACGGGCTCTGATACTCGATGAAGCTGGTATGCAACCTGTCAGGAAGAAACCGCATGAAATGCACACGGAGAAACACGTACTGCAAATAATGCGACAGTGCCGTTCTGTTCCTGTGTTTGGTCATTATCAGTCTAGAGTCAATCTCTGACACACGTTTTCCATCATTAAAAGGCCATGCTGCCGCTATATTAGCGCCAATACACTCGCCTCGGCTCCGAGTTAGTCAAGGCAGACATTGGTCTTGTAGCAGCCAATACTGAGCATATCGCGATCTCGCATGTCTTCAAATGCTCCCTGTTCTTCCTATTCACTCCTAGACACACTATTTAGTCTCAGCTCGCACGTATTAAACTTGGAGCGCACGATAGGACCAAATAAAACCTGTCTACTCACAAAGATAATTAATACCTCTGATCTCCAAGCTCACGACGGTATGATCAACACATCAACATGATGCGTAGTACATATGAGATCAGATACGGATGAACACACGAACTGCAGCTCTAGATGATATTGAGCATTTCCGTGATTGAGATGACTGCATGCAGCGTTCGGGAATGCCAAGTAGCTTGACTAATGCAAATCGCAACCAGTAAGACTGAGTATACGGCAGGGGAGGAGTCTATCAGAAAGCCCGAAGTCAGAATGAATGTTTGAAGAATGATGCGCCACAAACATGCGAATAAAACCAGCTGTCATTCCTGCTCGTTGATCAAGATGATTGACAGTGTACGTAGCAATCCAATTTCAATGTGCAGCTTTCGCACTCCGATCAGTGAATGGGGGGTCTGCATTATGTAGCATTCGGCAGTATATGCCATGTCAAGGTGAAATTGGCGTTCGCGAGACATCGGCGACACTTTGCACCATCTGGATCAGATAATGAAATAGAATGAACAGGAATGAACAGGTTCATTCTCTGCGCAGAACTCCGGTATCCCTCGGAGAATGATACCTCCCAACCTCAAAGAACCATTAGATCCTCAATGAAGGCAGCGCAGATCGCAGAATCGCTCGACAAGACAATTGATGTAGACTCACCAGAAGGATACATCGGCAGACTGAAATGTCTTGAACAAACTTCACCCTTGCTCCGACGAAATGTATGAGGTCAAACTTCTCAGTGACCACTTGTTTCATGTAAGCTGATAGATTTTGCACGTTATCTTGATTCGTGCGCGATATATATGCGACAGCATACTATGAAGGGTTTCTGGTGCACCACTTGAAGCTAGCTATGTTCAGTATATTGTTCATCCTCTACAAACGCCCAGAGCAGTCCCTTCTAGATTTCAGTCTGCAGGCATGGGAATCACCATCCAACCTTCGGCCTGAGTGAAGGAATGACGCGACTTGTCATTTTCCGCTTGAAGGCGGAATAACCTGGCACATACTCGTGAAGGAGAAGATAGCGTCCAACCATAAACCTCTCAAAGTCCGGAGGATTCTTGCTCATCTCCTTGGAAACCAAGTGACGAGGACCCTCATACATTCCAATTGTCCGTCTAAAAGTAACGATCACAGTAGTGCGAGAAGCAAAGCAGATCCCATACGGTCGACTTCAAGCGGACAGAAGCCAAATCAGACGAGCCACGCAAACAATAGCAATGGCGGCATAAACATCCAAGTTCATGCTCAGATATCAACTAGCAGAAGAAGAGGCGAAGACCACTAGAAGAGCATGACGGGCCCAACAGCACGGATTGACGCCTCCCGCGATAAGCCAAGCGCGGAATTTTTACGCGCCACAGCGACGAGCTCATCGCTCGACGGCAAAGAGAATACACGTCCACGATCGGCGGACGGATTTGCTTCTTCGAGAACAGATGAGATTCGCGTCAGATTGCTTCAATTTTGTTGGCACCACGAGGCTGTCTGCTCTCCACGATCGGGAAGCTGAGCCGGGAGACGTTGGCTCGGGAGCGAGCTGCACTCTCTCAGCAAGAAATTGCTTCCAGCCGGCGGTATCTCTGCTTTGTCAACTTGAACCGTAGTAAAGAGCTTGATCACGTACGACGTCTCCTTGCAACCAATTCAAAATCATCCGCGCGAACCCCGTTCACAATAGCGAAGCTACGTCACGACGCACTTCAGTGGGAAGAACAGCCCTTTGACGGTCCTTAGGACGGCAATCGAGTCAATTCCAACGGAGCTAGCACTTTCGAACCTTGAACCACAGAACCGGCAGCCGTTCCAGATGAAAGCACTCGAACAAAAGTGTGCAATTAGGTCTTTTGTCTTGCACCTTACGTACGTGTGGCATCGTCCGTGAGTCCTTTTGTGTAGCGGAGGCATCCAGCGCGAACGGCTTCGCGAACGGCGCAGAGACAATAACTATCGGAAGGATTCGACGCGTGCGCTGCAGGAGACAAAAGGACAAGACCGGTCATCGTCAATCTTCTTTTCCCAGAAAGGAAAATTGTGGCGCGCAATCCGCCACCCCGCACAATTGAGCTGGAACTTTGCTCGTCCCAAGCCCAGATGGCTATCCCAGACTTGCGCACTCATACCAGAGCCAGAAGCTATAAAATCTCTGCCAAAATGACTCGAACGGCACTGTCTCTCGGTGCTTTGACCAACACAGCTTCACCCGAACAACAATGGCCGCCGTACACGCTCAGCCCGCCGCTGCCAACTACTTCTCTCCTCCGCCTCACACTCCTCAGAAGCAAAGGGGATACAGAGTGTGTGACCAATGCGGCGCAGTGGAACAGCCATCAGGCAGCCGTTTCCGACTCTGTGGTGGATGCGTGAGTATTTATTTTTCGTTACAAATGTTATCTATCCATATACTAATTATTTTAACCACATTCAGATGACCACGCAGTACTGTGTCAGTACATTTAGGAACGCCTCGTTGCTACTGTATCCTGACTTCTTCACCAGTCCCAGGATTGCCAAAAGACACACTGGCCTTCGCACAAGGCTATCTGCCAACATACTGCCGGCCAGATCGCTGCCGCGAAGCAGCCTGGCGACGTAGACGAGAACCTCGTCAAGAACCTCCGAAAATTTGTCTCCGCGCACTCCACATTGCTTGGATGGGCGGGGTTCCAGGCGCTGCAGTTGAAGCGCCTACCCGCGAACGTCCGACAAAACGCGCTCTTGATCGAGCTATCCTACCGCCCTTCCGCCTCTGACTCCCTCCATCGGTGAGCTAAATTGTACAGTTTCTTTGCTGTCTGCATTGCTGATGATGATATTGCCAGCTTCACCATCAAGAATACCCACATCGTTCCCCGGACATATGTCACTGACAACGACCCGCTCGTCGGCGCTGACATTCAGCGGCGCGAGGAGAGGTGTCGTCGAGCCGGCGGAATCGGTACAGCCGTGATTCTAGTCCAATGTGGCGAGATCAGCCAAGTCATGCCCGTCGAAGTCGATGCGCCAGGCAAGATCACCTGGGACTCGCGCGATGACTGGGCGGAAGTGTTGAGGCACTTTGTCGACTCTGGTCGGATAGACTTCAAGCCCATCTCAACGACCGCGCGAGGGTGAGTCGCTTGCTGTTTGCTCACCATCACGATCGAGACTGACTTTCTCGGTAGAGTTGTGTACGGATGAACGATTCACCCTCCGATCATACATTCGCTTTCTCTCCGACGTCGATCGTCATCTCCGCGAACGTCGGGTACGTTCGCATTGCCCTCTCCCGGCGCTGGTTCTCGGACAATTACCGTCTATATTGCTGCATATTCACGCATAATTGGTGTTCACCCTGCTGTGTATCGTCATATCCCCTCTTACATATTCATCCTTGCATTCTAATTTATGCACAGCATTTTTCTTCGCATCAATGTACAGTACACAGTAAATCCATGTTGTACCGCTATTCTTCAGATGATAGAATCAAAACCTGAAGGTGCTCGATGAGTTAAATATCTTGCTATACAGTCGATGAAAGGTTTGGAGGTCTGGAAACACCTCAGAACCGTCTAAGAGTTCCGTAATTGCAAAGATAGTAAGATGAGCATGTTGTTACTTTAATCGATGAACAGAGACAACCTTCGCGCTTCAACCTGGCAAGTTCTGAGTTCCGCGATCGTAAAGTCAGTAAGACGAATCCTGAAACCGATCTGCTACGTAAGAAAGGCACGCGATGGCACATCCGTATCATATCGGAAACACATACATATTTTTGAGTCTGCCTACTCAATCACACTTGCCACGCAGTTACATTGTTATATTAATTGACGACAGAGACAACCTCGGCGCTCAACCGTAGACCTTCTCGCTCCAACCTGGGAGGATCTGCGCAGTCTCAAACTTCGGGTCGTTTCGGACGGCATCCTTCGTGCGCTGCCACTTCTGCTTGGCGAACGTCCACTCTGTTTCAAGCGAAAACATTGTCAGCGGCGAATGACGGATACAGGTAAGAGGTAACAGACCTTCCATGGTCGGCACGGGGTTCCCGCTCTTCTCGAAGTCGTTCTGTGTGTAACCTTCGCGCTGGAGCACCGGGGACTCCTTGATCGTAGATAGAACGACATCGTTGTTAGGCCTGACGGGTCACACCTGCTGTGTCAGCGGAATGGCCGCATTCGTCTGCTCTTCGACTCACCGCGAGAAGTAGAGCAAGCCAAGGCGATCGACATGCTCCTGGTCCTTCGGAGGCGCAGCAACGCTGAGCATATCGTGAGTCACATCTGCTTCAGATGCTTTCCACGCTAGACATACCGATGAATAGTGCTCTTCACGTAGCCGCCCGTCAGGAAGTTCAGGGCGTCGCACGTGTTGACTGTGAGCGTCCCATCTTGCGGCTTCACCCACTTCCACTCGCCCGTCTTGGGGCTCTTGATCTGGAGCGCCGCCACTGGCTGGCGGAAGAGAAGCGTGAAAGAGCCAAGATCTGTCGCGATAAGCACGATCATGGGCGATCTGCGTCAACTGAACACTGGCAAGATCGATACACACCAGTATGTCCACGGCCCCAGATACGACCAAGCTTGAGGTTCTCCTCTGGGGTATATTTTGTGTACTTCATGTATCGCAGATGGTCCTGGCCAGAAATTGAGCTTATTCGAAAAAAAACGAAAGATTTGCGATGAAATTACCTCGCTCTTCTTGTCGTACTTGTGGATGTTCAAGAAGTAATCCTCCGGAAGCTCTAGGGCATCTGCAAGGATTACGTGCAGGGGGTCCAACACTTCAGTGTGGAGCGACTGACGACACGCGTCAGTTCCGCATTCTCAAGTAGCTTGACGCAACACATACCCTGGCAAACTCCTCGATCTCAGCGAGGTTGTTCTGGATAATCTCCGGGTGCCGATGCCCGAAGTCGCCGTTGAACTCTGGACAAAGAAATGTTAGTTTACACATTACAGTAACGTCACGGCGTGTGCTTACTGGGAATGTTGTAGATTTCGGTGTGATCCCGGATACCCGATACAGGTTCCAAGCTACGAGACGAATGAACAGGAGAACAGGAAGTCATGTAAAACTTGCGCACATCCTACGTCCAGCTGGAACATAACCGTTGAATTTTCCGTTATCTATGGCACACGTGACGAGGTATAAGGCCCACGAAACTGAACGAAAAAAAGGCTAAACACACCAAGTCCCTCCGGGACATACTTCAACTTCTCCTCGAGCGGAAGCTCGTAGAACTGCTTGCCAATGGAGAATTGGCGGTTGACGCGCTCCTGAGAGATGTTGAAGTTCTTGACGTAGAAAAAGCCGTACTCCCGCACGGCCTTGACAAGCGTTTGCGCCAGTTGCTTCTTGCCCTCCGGGGTGCTCAGCAGGCTGAAATCAAGGGTGACGAGGTCCGCCCAGTCCAAGTCCTCCTGAGATGATGACGTACAAGGTCAGAATTGTCGGAGTAAGATAAGATGCGTACACCGCTGACCTTGGTCTCTGGGACGAAGTTGAACGAACCAAGCTCTGGGACGGGGACTGGCATTTGGGAGTATCTTGGATGGGTGAGAGGGCTCTAAGCGCACGCTGATGGAGCTGATTCCGTCCTTCGCACGTTTCCGCATTATGTACTCGCCAGAAGTGAGCAGCTGATATCTCGATATTCGGCGTGTAATCAAATTCGAAGCAAGCAATGACTGATAACCATGTCACCTCATTGCGAGATTCGATGGTGCAATTGTCCTTCGAGGAGCTAACAATGCCATGCTAACCCAGAGCAGGATACTAAGCAACCGGGATGGACCCTTTTGTCGCAGGCGCGAGGCGCGTTCGTGCTTATCGCAGATTGTTAGCAATTCTATATCTCAGCAGGCATCACGACATGTAACGATCATGGGCAGCAGGATCGCGCAAGACGTCGCAGCAATGCAAGGCCGAGTATCGGAGTGCACTAGAAGGTTGAGCTTGGATGGCCGCTCGGGCCATGTTGCAAACTGTGCGTCAGGGTGCGGGATTCCTAAACGAGATCATCGGGATTATGAGTTAGGTTGTATTGACGTATTCGGTTTGAGATGTTGAGAAATGGATTAATGATGATCCACAGGAGATGTGTCTCGACACATCTAGATGCAGCAGGATTAATATTCGTAACGCGAGCTCCTGCGTCATGGGGGAGGGATGCGAACGTTAGGTACGCGTCGCGCGATCTGCCAATCATCAACGTAGATCGACAATGGACTCTCGGTGATTGCCGCGGGGCATTATCGATTATCATTCGCGTTCCAACGATCCTCATTCGTCCATTGAATATCGAGTTTCGTTCGTTCATTCGTTCAAGCTCAAGCCCAGTCATTGACCGCTGACGCCTGCGGACTAGGCTGAAAAGGTAACCTGACAGTCGCGGGGTACGATACATAATGTTGACAATGATATCGGCTGAAATTCTGCTAGATCGCACCGTAGCATCATCCCATCAGTGAATGTTGCTATTCGGAGCCGTGCGGCCGCCCGGCTCACTTCATTTAACATTCCTCTGGCGTGCTCAGGTCTTCTTGCTCCCGTGACTACCACGATGACCGTTCCTGTGTGCGGGGAGCTGCGGATTCCAGGAACAGAGAGACGTCACCTTATATTCGTGGTCTAGCTCGCCGTTTCTTCCGTATCTCTGCGATGGTGACATTGCAACTCGAAATGGCCCTCCGTCGCGTTTTGGGCCAATGATTGATCCCGCGCTTCATAAGATATGTGCACGATAGCAATGGAGCTCAGTCGCGCCCGCTTGGTCGTCCTCCTCCGTCGTGTCTCCCAGTCCAGCCGAGATGGTCGCCGACATCAAGAGAGCTGAGCCTCGGGGACTGAAGCACCTCATATGGTGCGTCACAAGCGATAAATTGTCTCGCGGGTCGCTGATCAATGCTTCACTTAGGGACACATGGGAGAAGCCTCCCGAAGAAAGGCGATTCCTTGCTAGGCTTGACGCGTGCCTGCTGACCTATGCGGCGCTGTCGTACTTCAGCAAATGAGTATTCGCGTCCTTGATGTTCGATTCTGATTAACATTCTATATGCTTCACGTACCTCGATCAGCAGAACATCACGGTAAATATAGCACAGTCAGAGCCCCTTCTTTCGTGCTCACGATCATCCTAGAATGCATATGTGTCAGGGATGAAAGAAGAGTGTGTTTATTCATTCATCACTGTATTTTATCGTACTGACTGTATATCATAGACTCGGCTTGTATGTGCTGTCACCGCCTCTCCGGTGTTTCTAAGTTAACGATCGCATCAGACATGGCAATGAGCTCAACTACATCACCACCGCTTGGACATGCGGATATGTGATCGGCCAAATCCCCTCCAAGTGCGAGCATCCCTGTCATTCTCCGTCCTGAGCTGATACTGTCTCAGCATCCTGATCACAAGAATCCGTCCATCGATATGGGTCAGTTAATTCTTTTTGTTCATGCCAGGCTGCTGAGCCTGATCTCATAGATCCCCGTGATGGAGGTGATCTGGAGTGTCTTGACGATGACCTTAGCCTCCGCCAAGAACTTTACCCACCTGGTTGTTATTCGCTTCTTTGTCGGTGAGACATGGATCACCCCCGTCATCAATAATATTGCTGACATCGGGGCGTGGCCAGGTCTCGCGGAGTCCACATTCTATCCCTCTATGCAATATGTAGTCGGGAGCTGGTATAAGCCTGACGAGCTCGGAAAGCGGGCGTGCATCTTCCATGTAAGAGTCTGATGCCGTTATCTGCATCATTGTGGTTAACTAATTCTCTGATAGACTGCCAGCGCGATCGGTCCGATGATTAGCGGGTTTCTTCAAACGGTAGGCAGCCAGCGCTCGGCTTACAGTCGGTTGGACTTGACTCGGTGCAATATAGGGCGCCTACGACGGCCTCAATGGCAGATTTGGTCTTGCGGGCTGGAAGTGTGAGCTATGGGAGAAACGTTATGTTTGATCGCGTCTGATTGAGAAATAGGGCTGTTCATTATTGACGGGATCATTACCATCCCTATCGCTCTTTTCGGTTTTATCGTAATGCCTGGTGCGTCCTCCACGCGGTTAAAGCTTGTTACAAATTTTTCTCTGATAAGATAATTGCATACTGCGCTCCTGCGAATTCCACTAGGATAGACTTGCCTTCCAACACGTCGCCGTCATTCATCTATTCGAAGGAGCAAATAGAATTAGCGCAACGCAGAATGGAGGAAGTTGGCAGAAGGCCACCGGCTCGCTTCACGAAGCGCAAGGTACGTGGTAGTGCCTTTATGTTCATCACCCAAGCTGGGCTGACTTGACGTGTTCTGTAGGTGCTGGGGTTTTTCAAGACGTGGCATCTCTATTTGCTGACTCTTCGTGAGTACTGGCTTATTACGTTTAGTTGAGCCGGCCTGACAATTGACGTGTCCGGATAGTATATATCCTGGTGCGTATCAATGGTGCTAACTGGCTGGGTGCTCTAATGCCTGCTTCAGTTCAACAACGGTGGCAATCCGTCATCCTCGATGATATTCTGGTTCGTTTTCACATTACTGTTTTATCGTAGATTACTTAAGTTATGGAACGCCCCTCCACTAGGCTCAAGAGTTTCAACACGTCTGAACGTACTGTCTACACTATCGCCCAAATCAATACGTATCCGTTGCCGATATATGGCGTGCAGGTCGTGACAAGTGAGTTTCCTAAGATTAGTTGTCTGACATATCTTGGTGCTCACAATGAATGATACAGCTCTCGCCTGGGCCTGGTGGTCGGATGCTGTCAGAGCGAGGTGGCCGCCGATGGTCGTGGCAGGTGTGAGTAACAACCCCCATACACATGCGTGATGAATGACCTCATATATTCTATGGAAAGTTATGGAACATGGTGGTGTGCATCGTGCTCGCCGCTAGTCCTGTGTATCAGCACATCACAAGGTCCGTACGACGGTGTCTCACTTCGCCCTCCTCACTGACGGTATGATTGAATCGGTATGTAGGCGATGGGTTTTCTACTACATGGTGGGTGAAAAGGTTCTGGATTGACATGCTTCCGCAGCTAATCATCTCGGCGCAGACGTTGGTAACTGGGGGCCTGTCTGGCCTGATCCTATCGTGGGCGAACGAGCTCACCGGGCATGACAGCGAGAGTACGCATAGCGACATAATTCTTCCGTGCGTGCACACTGATGAATGTGTGTTTGCCAGAACGCGCATTCGTGGTTGCTTGCTGCAATACCTTTGCCTACGTCGTGCAGACGTGGTTCCCAACGTGAGTGATGCTAGGTCCCTCTTATCGAGACAGCAATGTAATAACGTGAATCATTCAGCGTGCTGTTTCCTCAGGTGGAACAACCACGGTATGTCAAAAAAAACCCCGTAGATCCCCTTATCGTCTTGCTAACACCGTTAACCGCCAGTGTGCTGAAAGGTAACATCGCCACAGCTTGCGTGAACTTCGCTATGGGTACGTCACTCACTAGATTCGCGTTTCTTTCAATGCAGTTCGCTTACGCTCAGAACCAGTCTGCACCGCTCTCCTCGTCCTCTTCCTATCACGCCGCGACGCAAAACGGGCCGCAGCGCGGGAAATACAAAGCGAAACCGATGATGGGAAGGAAGACGACGAGAACGTCAAGATCGACAAAGTTGATGATCCGGGGGTGGAGGTGGAAGAACTAGAATCTGGAGCCGTGGCAAGAAACCTATAGACTGTCATTAACACATCTTTTATATCGAGTAGCTCGAATGGCTGGTGCATACAGATGGAAAGCGACCAAGGGAGATGTATGACCTTGTTCGCTTGTACGTTCGTCGTTAAACATCGGTGAACAAGCTCTCACCTGAGAATCGGCTCTGCTCTCTGGTTGCCAATTGCGTCGTAAGCCCCTCCTTTCCCCTCCTCCTTTGACGGGCCCAGATCAGACAGCGACCGTGCCATCTCAGGCGAGAAAATGCAGCGCGACATACTCGACTCTCAACGCGTAGACCTCTATCATTTCCCACGCAGCGGGTATGTGCAGGCGCAGATCCGTCCCAAAGTTTCTACACACTTGAATATCATGTATACCACGATCTCTCATACAAAAAACATTTACCTGAGCGACGTGATCCATCCATCACTGATCAAGTCCAAAGAGTACTTCGAGATCAATTGGAGTACATTAGTACCTCATTCCTCGAGCTTCTGCTGTGTACTGCAGCATGGGACAAGCGGCTCATAGCAACACGGGTAGTTGAAAAAGAAAAATATTACGCGAGATCTATTGTGTGACTGTATCTGCTGAGATTCGCTGTGAAGCCCTGCGACAAAGCTTCAGAATCGTACGGAGCAAAGATAAAGTACGCAGAGGGAACTCTGCATAAAAGATCTACGAAATGCATCTGGATGAGACGGAGCGTACGAGAACTGACACCACTATGCTACTTACAAAAAGCAGGCAAACGTGCAATCACTGTGAATATAGCAGCTCGGCTTGGAGATCCGTTCTCTCCCCTCACACATCGTTCTCCCAATCCGACAGAGTCTCTTCCTCGACATCGTCCACCCCCTCTTCCTCATTCACGTCCTGAGGAGCATCACCGGCAGTAACAACAATCTCCGTCGTCATGCTTCGCGGTTCTGCAATAATTTGATCATGTTCAATAGACTCTTGCGAGTGGGAGCGATCGCTCTCCGGGGCTTGTTCGGTGCTGCTTAGGACGTTCAATCCGAGTGACATGTTTTCGACGTCTGCTTGTGTCTGGACGCCACGCTGCGACCGGACGAAAGAGGGCGTTTGTGACTGCTCTCCGCGTGTGGAGTGTGCTGCAGCTCGGACATTGAGGAGGACACGAGAAATCAGGACCGGAGTGAGTCTGTAAATCGTTAATGTGTCGCTGGTAGGGAAAACATGAGAGAATTGCTTCACGAATATTGCAAATCAGTGATCACAAATTCAGCGCTCTGCCATATGCATAGTCATGTGTGGCAGAATGGTTAGTATCTTGCGGAAGATATGGCCTGGGTGGATAGAACATGCACTTACGACATTCAGGAAGGCCAGCCCAGTTCCAAGTAAGCTCAATAGTAGTATTGCTCTAAATAATATGCGTCAGGCATTGCTAAATTGTCTTCTATTCCATTTCTCACGTCATTTGAATTGTACCTGTAGAATTGTGGACGCGGATGTGAGTTGAGCTCAGAGGTCCATGTCATTGTCTTATAGCCGTACCATCTCTAAGCACTAGTGCTGCAAGCGACGAATTCCTCGTAGACAGGATGTCAGTGGTGGCTGGTCTATGGTGGACATATAGCTTGCGCCAGAGAATTGCGAGCGTCATGATGGTGGCAGTCATAGTACAGGCTTCATTGGCTATCACCACTACGGCGGGATTGTCAGAGAAGTGTAGAGGAAAGTGTTCTTCAATTCAGACTCACATCTATTAAGAAACAGATTAGCAAGTACGGATTTATTAATGATACCAGCCTACACACCTTTTAGCGATATCTTGCGCCAAACTTGAAGTGTAGGACGCATAGCATATGGTTGTCCTAGGCAACACGACCACAGAATATGATAATTGGATGAATTCTTCTCGTGAATTCGTCGTAGGTCATTCAAGAATATGTCCCAATAAGAAGGAAGCGTACCGACGTAGACACTCGTAACTACGTTGAAGACCGTGATCAACATGAGGAACATAACAGGTCGTCGGTCTCCACCTGTCACGGCATATACTCGTAACATTGCAACCACTTCGCTACATTTTGAGCTGTGATAGTTTATCGTGAAGCATGCTGGCCTACCCTGTGAGATTATTGAACTGAGTATGAGAACCAGACTGCTCGTCACGATGTTTGCCATACAACTATAAGATAATAACTGTCAGACACGAATAAATATGACAACAAGGAACAAATTACCTCTACAATGTCAATAAACCTGAGATATGTATATCCAATCAAGGTGATATTAAACAGCATACCGTTACTGTATAAAAGTTCATGAAGGACCAAACAGAAATGCTAGCATACGCCAGTGCAAGCATCCGATTGGCAAAGAACAGGCATGCAGAGAATGATCGCCCGCCCCAGAACAGCTGTACATCCTGACCGATTGTTATGACATGGTCGAAAAATATGAGTACTGTTTGAATGGAAATCATCAATGGTCAGCCAGTAATAAGCGAGAAATGTCCGACTGGCCTGCGCCGGCGATAAGAGCACAGTTTTCTGGAAAGCTGATAGTATCTCTTTCAATGCAGTACATCTCAACTATCTGAAGAGACGCACTTTTCTTCCGCTAGAGTGATTGCTTCAGATGCGGTGGTAGACATGTCTAAGTAGAGAGATCGGAGTGTGGATTATGATGAAGCAGTGGTTAACAGTGGGCCTCTTTATAAGCCTGTATTTCATCATGACATAAATGCTTCATCGCCCGCTGGCACAAACTGTTCATCCGCATCCGCAAAGCGGGCAGTGGCTCACTAAATGAGCATGGTCAGAGCTTTCCTAGCCTCAAACCCGGTCAAAGTCTGATCACTGGCTGGCAGGAGACGCGCCTGTGGCGTGGCAGTCGAGTCCAAACGTCAACTGCTCTGCACAGGCCACGCGTCCTGAAGGCAACTCTGATCTGTCGTGATCTTACCCGGGGTTCTTGCGAATACTGTGGGAGGCATTCTTATGGCAATGTCTGCCGTCAGCGGCGATGAACTGGTCTCCCAGGAAAGCCTTTTTACTGTCTGGCTGATCTGTGCTTGTTGGGTGCTCCAACGCTGGTCGGGACGTGATCTTGTAGTAGTAGAGTTCGACCTCCAACAAGGACGCTCCTTTGGACTTTGCTTTACTAACTTCGTCGTGGCATCTGAAATGGACCCCGTACTCGCACCCGCATTACAATGCATGGAACCCTGACTGTCGAGAGCCTGGCCTGCAGGCTATGCTCGTTGTTGATCTGCGGCCAGCCTGCTGTTGTCACGAACACCGCAACAAACTTAGCCCCATAGCCGGACATTTGCGCTTCCTGATTCTGCATCTTCTCCCTTTCCTTACGCGGCGGAAGCTCGTGCGTCGGATGCATGCATGGATTGACAGGACGCAAATGGCACAAGAAATTGTCATCTAGAGAAGACTGGCTAATTCGATAAATGACATGAAAACTCGGTACCCATCCTATTCATTCTGATTCTGGTTGGTCACTGGATCTTCAGCTTGATCATCAGCAGGTTTACACTCTTTGAGGACCTGAATCTCTCTTGTAGCTTCGTTTTATCATGCACGTACGTTCAAACAAGGCACCAGATTCTAGCTATCTGTGACCACCACGGGCTGATCTTTCCCTAGTGTCGATCACCTCGTCTTGGCCACGGATGACTTGGACGTCACGTTTGCAGTGGGAAAACGGCGATGCGGTTGCACTCGAATCCCGCTCGTGCTATGTTACTTGGGCGGCACGACATATTGTGCTCTAAGACGGCAATACGACGGACCTCAACGGCTCTGCCCCATTCGAGGCTCGACTCGGAAATTGTGCATCAGCGCCCATTCCACGCGGCCTTCATGCAAGACGGCGTCAGAGGAGCGATTCCTAAGCATCATGATCTTACTGCTTCATATACTGTCTCGAACTGCGGTTCATGTTCGATCTCACCTCACTTGGTCGCACTTCTGATGTCTGCATGGCCTCGTTTTCTCGGTATACCTGCGGTTGCTTTCAACGTGCCGATGGTAACCAGCACCATAGGCGAAGTGCGCAGGGAGCTCACTTCGATGAAACCTCGCATCTCCCCGTTGTGTCTTGATCATCCAGTCGCATCGCCACCATCAGAACGCTCTAGTCTCCGTGAAACTTGCATGGTCGCGAAGAGCCGGTGAGCTTCTTCATCATGGGTGGGGCGTCCTTTTTTGTCATAGAGTCTCTTTGACGTTGGGACTGTCTAGTCAATATAATATGCTGGTAAACCTTGAGGCATCCTGTGTATGCTGCTTCCCATCGTAAACTAGATCATGCAGTGGAAACGGCTCTCGCCACGAGAGCGCTTCCTATAGCCTCAACACGGGGATGCTTCCCCCGACAGTGTTCTTGCAGCATCGGATAAGCGGCTCATAGCATACAAAGCCGTTCCATAATAGATTTATAGAGACAAGTCTGCGTGTCGTGACATTTACCAACTTGAGTGGTCCTCTCAGGAAAACGAAGCGTAAGGCACGTCATAGCAGGCACACAGGAAAATACTGACAGGTACCATCAAGAGCGGCATTTAAAGGAGAAACATGTTACGTGAGATCTGTAGTGCGACGTGTGTCTGCTGAGGTTAGCTATGAAGCCTTGTGACGAGGCTTGAATCGCTAACGGCCAAATTGTACGGAGCAAAGAGAGAAAAACGCAGAAGGATTGCTGCATAGAAGATCTGCAAAACGCAGCCGGATGAGACGGAGCGTACGAAGGCTGACGTGCCACTCACAAATAGCGAGCAAACTTGCAATCATTGTAAATCCGACAGCATGGCTCGGACACCGATTCTCTCCCCTTACTCGTCGTCCTCCCCATCCGACTGCGTTTCTTCCTCGACATCGTCCATCCCGTCTCCCTCATCCACGTTTTTCTGAGCAATGTCAACGATAGCAACATTGTCTGCCATTCTGTGCGGTTCTGCAATGCCTTGATCGTGTTCAATACAGTCTTGCGATTGCGAGCGATCGCTCTCTGGGACTTGTTCAGTGTTGCTGAGAATGTTCAATTCGAATGACATATTTTCGACGTCGGCTTGTGTCTAGGGCCCACACCGCGACGGGACGAAAGAGGGCGTTTAGGACTGCTCTCCACGTGTAGACCGCGCTGCGTATCGGACGTTGAGGAAAACACGAAAAATCAGGAAAACACGAGAAATCACGACGGCAGCGAGTCTGTAAAACCGTCAGTATGTCATTGTAGAGAAAACGTAAGAGGATTGCTTCACGAGGATCCCAAATAAGCGACAATAAAACGAGTACTCCGCCATATTCAGAGTCATTTACGGCAGAGTGGTTAGCATCTTGCAGAATATATGATTTGGGTGGAAAAGCCACGTACTTACGAAGTTTACGAATCCCAATAGTGACAGTCTGTGATAAGTTCAGCAGTAGTAATGCTCTAAATATTATGCTTCAGACGTTTTCAAATTGTTTCCGGCTCCACTTCACTATGAATACGTTATTTAATGATTCACGATCTTCCGATATAGTTCGCTTACACTCAGGACCAGTCTGCACAGCTCTCCTTGTCCTCTTCCTATCAAGCCGCGATGCAAAACGAGTCGCAGCGTGGGAAATGCAAAGCGACACCGATGACGGGAAGGAAGACGACGAAAATGTCAAGATCGACAAGATTGATGATCCGGGGGTGGAGGTGGAAGCATAGAACCTGGAGACGTGAAAAGAAACCTATAGACTGTCATTACTACACCTTTTATATCGAGTAGCAGGTGTATACAGGCGAAAATCGGCCAAGCGAGATGTATGATCTTGTTAGGTTGTATGCCATCGTTACGCAGCAAAATATCAGGAACACGCCCTCACCTGAGAATCAATCGCGCTGTTTGGTTGCTACTTGCATGGAAACTTCCTTTGACAGGCCCGTTACTGAGGGTGAAGCAATGACCGTGCTATCTCTGGCGAGTGAATTGTCAGCGTGACATCCTCGACTCCCAACGCGTAGGCCGCTATTATTTAGCATGCAGCAGGTATGTGCAGGCGCAGAACCATCCCAAACTTTTTGCACACTTGAATATCATGTATACCATGATCTCTCATGCAGGAAACGTCTTCAGCGACGTGATGCATGCTTCGCTGATTACATCCATAGAGTACTTCGAGGTCAACTGGGATGCATTACTACCTCATTCCTCGAGCTTGAGAACTACACATGTCGATGAGCACACTCCTGAAACGCAACCAAATTCCACAAGAGTAGAAGAACACTTACCACAGGCCCCGCTGCTGGGCTTCGTCGCAAAGATCACCTGCTTGAGTGCCTCCTCGTCCAGATTCTGGTATGGCGGATACGCCGCCTTCATCTTCTGGATGAACTCCTCAACCTGGTTCTCCGCGACAAGCGACACGGTACATCCTCCCCAGCCAGCGCCTGCCAAACCGCAACGACATCAGAAGTGCCGCCAGACTATAGCAAGATTCGCGCACCAGTTATCCTACTCCCATATGCCCCCGCGTCCTTCGCGATCCGCACGAGCTCGTCCACCTCGGGACACGAATTCTCGCACAGAGTCGATGCGCTGCGGTGCGATGCGTCCATCAGCGCGCCGAGCTCTATCAATGTGCTCTCCGGCAGGGGCGACGGCGCGTCTGCTGCGCGCAGGCAGATCTCTCGGAACTGCAGCACGCGTAGTGCCTCCTCGAATACGTGCTTCGTGCGCTTGTATAGCTGGAAATGCGTAGCCTCGACTGTCGATGGGCGTGAGCCAGGATGAAGTGAGGATGGTTAGTGAGTGAGGGAGACATGGGACATGGACCCCGAGACGTACCATCGACCCACGATAGATACACCTCCTGGAATGCGGCCTCTCCCAATCCACTCATATCAATCATCTCCTCCATCGTCACACCCAGCTGCTCCTCTCTCTCTCCCACCTGTACTTTCCGAGGTCTCAACCTCTCTACCTCAGGTAAAACCTTCTCCAGACCTTTCTTGAGCTGCTCGGTATCCAATAGAGTCGGGTGTCCCTTGGCTTCCTCGAACCCGAGCCACCGCCCGAGCACCTCGCGAAGCGTTGGTCGTTCGGTGGGTGCGACCGAGATGCCGAGCAAATAGGCGAGAACGCGAGCGGCGACGAGCGTCTCGACAACGCGGAGGTTGTAGCGAGTTTTCGCGCCTTTCCCAATGATGAACAGCGAGTAGTGAACATGACGATGAATCGCAACCGGAATCAGTAACGAGGGTGAAACCCACCGACGACCTTGTCGCTGACTACGAGCGAGTTCGCGCAGACGAATACGGCTCGTGGGAGCGAACGCGATGTTGGCAACAGGACGGGTTCCGCGTTAAGAGCGGGAAAGAAGGTGATGTAAAGCGCGGAAGCGGATGTCGACATCACCGAGGCAGCCTGGTCCATCCTAATGAGAAAATGGAGTCAAAGTTCAGCAAAAGTGCGCATATAGTCAGGCTGCGAGAGGGCTGAAAGAATACGCACCCTCCGCTGTTCACACCTTCCACGTTTACCGAGGTCAACAAGGCAGCGTATTATGTAGAGCAGTGATCACTGAACGCACCGACGCGTTTCTCATTCTCCATGGCCATCTCGACCAGCTGACCCTTCGTCAATCCGCCGAGCTTGTTGTTCACCGCGAGGAAGGCGAGTGTGGAGGCAACAACCATAGCTGCACTATCAAGCCAGTCCGACTAAGACAATATAAAACCAGCGGGCGCGCAATTGACATACCTGGATGAGAGCCCAGAGCCGGAAGGGACGGAGCCAGTGACAAGGAGGTCAATGGGGACCGGATGTGCCTCTCCCCCGGATGGAGAGAAGAAGCGATTCAACACGCCCTAGACCGGCCAACACGGCGGTCAATACCTAATTCACAGATCCAAACCCCAAGGAAACACCATAGGAGCACTCACATAGTATCCCGCCTTGACATAGCTCTCCCACCGCAACTCCTTCTTATCAATCTCGAGAAACCACTCCTGCGCACGCACCGCACCCGCAGCCTCGCGCTGCTCTGCTTCGGTGGGTAGCGGCGCATGCCGTAGCATAGGTGTGAAGCTCTGTGGGACATAGCGCTGATCGAGGTTCTGCGCGGAAACAGCGCCGGGTGGGGAGTTAGAGCTCGAGAGTGTAGTAGTGGTTCTGGAGGGCCCGCAAGCGATTAGGATGTCGTGCTCGATGGCAGCGGGAAGGACGCCAAAGAAGACGTAGTCGATGTGGTCCCCAATCAGGCTGGATTACGAAGCGTGTCCACAGAGATGAGCTTCATACATGATCTGATCTGATCACGTACTTGACACGGCCAGGAGCACGAGCGATGTATGCTGGTTTCCTTCCAAAGCGCTTCTCAAACTCCTCGACTACACCGTTCCACCGTACGCTGTGCTCGCATCAACCACTTATTTGCTCATATCTTTGAGACCCCATGTTCAACGACGTACCTCTGTACAACGGCAGTCTGGAGGTCTCCGAGGACATCATTAAGGGTGGTATATACCGGGATGGGTAGCTCGGCGGCCATCGTGCTTCCGGCTATAGGCTATTCAAGCAGTTCGGGACAGGCGAAGAGTGCGTTCGAGATGCAGTTGAGAAAGAAGATGAGAAATGAGGTCGACGTCGGTGAGGGGTGGATATGCCCTTCATCCGGCACAAATCATTATGAGCTCAGAGCATCCACGCGCCGGGCCGGAGCGGGCTAGGAGCATGTTGGAGGAAGCCTCGCGCTGTGCTGATGTTCGAGGTTTGTTCGGGACGTCTGTACGACCCTAGTGCACCCGTTGTAAAGTCTGAATGCGTTGTGCCAACAAGTAGACAGGCAGAGACGAAGGCTCGCGGGTCGTTGAGCAGAAACCGCGGAAGGGAAGTGCTGACTCGAGCGCCTACGCCAGGCCACGCCACAGACGCGTCCCCCGCCATCCTCGCTCACTGCTGCGTGCTGCAGACCTGATCCACTGGCAGTCTGAATGATATCTCCATCAGTTTTGATGATGAATTGTGACATGCATCTCCCCAGCAATGAGACCCTACAGAGAGAGAAAGACACGCCATCTTCTCGTGGTCTCAAGTATGCGTCACCAGCAGCAGCAATCTCACCGACATCTCTCACATCATATGCACATGCCTACGTCAATATGTGTTCTCTTTGCTGTTCAATGCTGGATTTTTGATCACGACTTGAAGCTTTGAAGTCTCACTCATCATCCCATGTATCTTTTGCTATCTCCGCCGCTGCCTTCATGAGGACAAGCTCATCCTCGACGTTAGCCACCCGATCGCTCGCATAGCCGTGTCTCACGGCTGGGAGGTTCGTACTACACGTAACGTTCTATGCATAGTATTCTCACGTACAGACAAATCGTCTATGTAGATCGATGGCCTGAAGATCTGCTATCGGCTCAAGCACCCTGGCACTCACGATGTCACCGTCAAACACGGCACCCAGAAGAGCCAAGCGAGGATAACTGAGTTGAAGCGTAGGTAGGAATTTAAATCGTCTGTGAACGCAGCTGAACGTTCTTCGCAGCGATCGAGGTCATCCTGGCCATCTACGGCCGCGCGTGATACCAAAACCACCATAAGCGCAAGCCGATCAACAGCGCGAGCTTCGTCACCTTCGATGACGCTACTGCGACCAGTCGTGTTGAAGGTCTACGTCCGTTGGTTTTGCGACGCGCAGTAGATGCCGTTGACTGAACCGAGGTATAGCCCTTCGACAACGGTGACGGCTCCAACAACGGCAAGTCTTTCCACATCTCCAACGTCATGGCATTCGAGGGCTACGCACAGCCGGCTGAGCAGCGTAAGTGAGATTATATGACGATATGTGCGATCTCATCCAGCTGTGCCCCCTTCGTAGTTGGCCTCACTGGCCTTTCGTTCTGCAAGAGCATCACTTCTGAGTGAGTTGGATTTGACAGAGAATGAAGATGGCGGCCTTGAGGGATGCAGATATCGCTTGTGTATCTTGCTGTCTTGATTTACGCGATTGTATGTTTATACAGGTCTCTATGCATTTGTTCCCATTATAGCTACATGAGATGAGTGCTACTGGCATGTCTAACAGAGGTCCTATGATACGTAAGGTGAGATTTAGGATATATTACACTGTCAAGTATGCTACCATCAATGTCTGGATCTTCACTCTGACTATGCTTTGGCTCGCAAATCCCATCCCGCCTTGGACACCCGCGCCGCGCCCATAGCCACACCAGCCACAAGCACCATGACACCGCAGAATATCTGCGCCTTCAAAAATTGGTGTGTCTCCAAATTCAGAATGGTACCAGCTATGGGCGAGCCGATGAGCAAGCCCAGGCCGCTAATGCTGAAGTTCATGCCCATGCGCCCGCCCATCCGCTTCATGTCAGGCGTCAGATGCGCAACGGTAGACGGCGAGAGCGAGACGATGGTGCCTGAGAAGAAACCATACAGCACCGCGAAGACCACGACGCCCCCGACGTCGTGCACCGCGATCCAGCACAGCGCAAGCACCCCAGAGATGAACGTGCATGGCGTGATGACGGTTAGCGTGCCGACGTGGTCCGCGAGGTAGTTCGCCGAGACACGCCCGAAGGTTGACGCCGCGTTCAAAATCGGGACGAGGTAGAACGCGAGCTCGGCACTAGCACCTGTCTTGCCCTGGGCGAAGGCACTGATGTAAAAGAAGGGAATGTAGAGTCCGACGAAGGCAAAGAATGATGCGAGGGTAAAGAGCGGGTACGGCAGTTCCTTCCACGCGCTCTTATCGATCAGCTGGCGCTTCGCTGGTGGGTGGCCGCGCGTGCGCATAATGATAAAACAGATAGAGAGTGTCGCGAGGGCGATGAACCCGATGATGCGGGTCGCCCAACCGAAGCCGATTTTTGGCTGGAGCTGATGGAACACGGTAGGATAAATTACACCTCCTGTGAGATCAAGTTGATCCCAGGACCGACTAATGAAGGCCATACGGGACGTACCTATGCTACTACCGCTGGTAGCTAGCCCAGTGGCAAACGAGCGTTTCTTCTTGAAGTAGGTCGCGAGAATAACGACACTCGGGACGAATAGACACCCAGCGCCCAACCCGACACACAAGCCCTGCGCCAGGAAGATCTGGTAGTACTCTGTTGCGAGACTGGTCATCATCATCCCGAAGACGACCATGAACGAGCCGACGGCGATAAGGGAATGGAAGTAGCCCATGTCGAAAATGGGGCCCGTCATCACGCCGATGACGAGCAGGAGGAAGCCCTGGATTGAACCGACCCATGATATTGTTGACGGCGAGTATGCGCTCAGTAGGTTGCCTTCGTAATACGTCTGGAAGGCACCGAACGTATTGATGATCCCCCTGGACACAGCATCAGCAGAATATTTTGAGAGGAGATAATTCACGCTCACCATGAGTTAAAGAACAAGAAGAATGAACCGACCACCTGCAGCCAAGCGATGGTCCCGCCATCAGGGAAGTTGATTTCTGGAGGGGCAGACGCAGGCGAGGACTCTGCGTCCTTGTCAAGAGCAATGGTCTCCTGTTTCACAGAGACGTCATCCGCCGAGCCGCGCTCGCGAACCTGCAATGTCGCGAAGCTTATTCTGTCCGAAGCCATGGCCTAAGGTGAGGTTCAGGGGAAGGGGACCGATTTTTCCAGGCGAGAAGGACAAAGGCGAAAATACCGAAGCTCCTTCGCAGCCTCCCGCCTTGTGCTTTTATACCTGCGCCCAGTGATCATGGCCGCGGCCGTGCATTGCCGCAGCACAGTTACGTTTGGCGGTCGAAATGGACAGCAACCGACGCCCTCGGCGCCGGCCATCGGAAGGTACGCGCTTGTGACCCTGCCAAAGCGTACTAATCCTGTCGCGCCGCTGGCGCGCAACGCCTCAATACCAATTTAAGCGAGTCGTCGCCCACAAATGGCAATATCACCCATGATTAGTAAGCACAAAGACCGAAGCCTTCGGGGTCGGACAGCGCTCCGGTCACTCGCCGAGGTGAAGCGTGCTGCCACCATCAGGCAGGCGTAGGAGCGAGTTTCCACTTTTTTGGTTCTAGAAATATTCCGCATCGTTCTCATCCATAGTATTGAATCCCGTCTAGATGCACTAGATAGAACAACTCAGTCGCCAGACATAGCAGTCACTGTTAAACAGAATGAATTCATGCCAAATATATCCGCGTGTCTGAGCCGTCAGGTTGAACCATAAGAGGAAAGCCCGGTGTTCATAGGCGAGTTCAACGACTCCGGCGAAGCCAGCCCATGGTTGATCCGACCATCACGCATCGCTTGATCGAATGTCACCCTGCTCGCTAGTAGGTGAGTACGCATAAGTATAAAACACCGGTATATATCGGGGCTTACTGGTTGTGGTGCCTGCAGTGGCAATACCTGATGGAGCAAGGGGATTAACAGGCGCTGAAACGCCTCGAGGATAAACACTTAAGACAGCGTCCCATCAGGTTTAGCTTAGGCATCATAAGCAATAGCTCATTTCCAGGAGAATCTCCTCGTATCACGACGCCCACGAAATTCCCACTCGCGCAGTCGCGAGAGCCTGGGCACCACCAGATGATCAATAGGCAATGATAGGTGAAAATAGTTACTCGAGTAGTTCGCCTAGCTCTGGGAATGTCGGACGGTTCTTTTGCGATATGCTAGCTACACTTCGGAACCAGAGGGTAAAGAATGAGTATGTGCCATCGAGGAAGGGAAAGCACCTTACAACGCAGCCATCGGCGGATAGATCGAAATGTAATTTACACATTAATCACATTCTGAGCCGAGAGCCTGATCGTGGACCGATTCCAGAATTGTTGTTGACGCAGGCCCTTGCAATGACATGCGCGACAGAATGTATATACGATGAAAGTAAGCAGAGTCCACTAACCCAGCTATATTCTTAAAATTGTCCACGCACATTGAAGTCGACACTTCGGTCAGGAAAAGAAGCTGCGAATAATTCAACATCGCATCGTAATCGAAGTGATAATGAAGCCGCTTGGTCAGCACCTTGGGAAAGTGACAGATAAGGTGCGAAGAGATTGATCCATCTGACTAGTTTGCGCCGTTTGATGGGTGAAGTTGCGAAGACAGTCCCGGATCGCGCGTTGCATGGCAATTGTACGTTGTTACATAATGTCCGAACAGGCGTGCAGTTGACCACAAGGCTCCCCGGTCACGATGAAATGTGGCAACCATGACCGCTCTGGATTCCTTTGAGCGTCGGCCCATGATCACTATGTTCACTTCCCTTCGCTGGCTCGATTACCATAGAACAGAGGAAGCGCAAGAGGCGGAGCATTCTCGGACGCGTGTTCTATCTGTATAGTATATGAAACTGACAACATAAGACTCAGCGCTCCTTCGAAAGTACTAGATCACTCTCGACGCACCTGCGTAACTATCGCAGAAGCTCTGATTGTGGCGCTCAGAGAAAAGCAGTTGCAAACGAAAGTATGGGTTTTAAGTTGTGTCGCACAGCCTTGACTAAAGCAAGCCGCTGCAGTCTGGATGGTAAGCCCAGCCTCGCATTCTCGTTGCACAAATGATTGTAGTATTGATTGGATTCTGCAGAGAATGCAATTGGCTGATATCCTGATCAACAGCGACACCAGTCACCATCAAGGGTGACCAAGTCATGAATGCAAGAAAGGCACGAGTGCCATGAAAACAAGCCTGAGGGCGGAGAACGGCGTTCGCCTCGTGCAGCTGTCACAGTCTGGCGGCACGTTGGTTATTGGAATTAACGTTTCACCCTGAAAGGCGCCTACGAGTCACACTGGCCAAAAATGGCAGGCGTTATGGTTCACTGTCGGGCATTTTCTGGCGAGCCTCTCCTTAACGCCGCCACAATTCACCTTAAAAATGTCATCCACGATTGGCATGATTACTTTTCAACTACAGGATTTCAGGCTTTAAGCTTCAAAGACTATATGTCACTGGCTGGTATCACTTCGACTGCTGGGCCCTGTCGCCACGGAGATATTGGCATGACTGAATGAAGCGCAGGAGGGTATATGCGCCTAGAGAACAATGAATCGTGTCTCGCCTTATTTTTCGATATGTTCTCACGCCGCTTCTCAGTGTTTAGGCCTTCAAGCGTGCCGGTCTGCCACTCGCCTGGGTCTGTGCTGTTTTACGGTCCGTGCAACTGCTGAGAACTTATATTGCATAGAAACCTTGGATTATCTCATGTCTACACTGTTCTTACACGAGAAGCTTTCTCGAGCATCCAATACCATATTAGGCCCAACTTCCCGAAGCAAAGGAAGAGACATGTTCGAGTGGGCATGTTTTTGCACTGTACGATGTCAAGAAAATGAGGATGGTTCCAAGATCGGAAGAACTGTCGTTGTTACATCGAAGTCACAAATAGATTGACTCGTCATGCCAAGCTCATAACCGGCGCAAATCATGTCAACTGCCACATTGGCCCGATATAAGTATGACGAACAGAATAGGAGACGGATGCAAGTTCCCTGGCAGTGCTCTGACTAAGGTTTGTGACATTGTCTCCATGTCTGTTCTCACTACCCGCGGAGTGCTCTTTTGTTACGACCAAAGCTCAAGGTACGATGACATGCGATTCGGTTTCAAACAGTGCGACCAGGTTGTCCAATGTTTCTGGCGACAGTGAGGGTATCGTGCTTTGACTGCCCGTCAACGTATTCAATGAACAACTAAATAGGGGTGACTGCGCACCGTAATCAGAGATCAGCTCAGATCTTGGCGTGTGGCTATGCGAGGCTGCCGCCGGATTCTCCCCAGAATTCCAAGGAATACGCATCATTACAGGGGGGCATCGACGCTGAATCTGCCTCCGTTACTTCTCAAAGAAGTGTTTCAAGAAACGTTCGATAGTCTAACGCTAATAGGGAAACGCTCTATCAGCTCAAACCGGTCTAATTCCGTGCTAACCTCCGGCACTGGACAGCTTCCACATCTTCAAAGGCCTCGAATGCAGCTTAGAAATCAAGGGGCTACTACGCTGGATTCTCGCCATCGAGCGGAGCCCTTCAAAAGTAGGTCAAGCGTACGTGAGAGGGCCAAGGTTCTCGGCTCTTGTGTCGCGCAATGCACGTAATCTATGACGAACAAACCGTTGCATTACACGAACTTCATCCATCAGTTTCAACTTCCGAGCAATGCCGGACTTGAGGTTTATTATCACCGCCGATTTAAGTAGTCACCTTTATCCCACAGCTTGGATCGAAGACATCTGTCTCAGTTGAGGGGCGGGTCAATGTGTTCCGATATCAAGCGCCAAAGTTCGTACAGAGGATGTCTTCGAAATAATCAGATATACGAGAGATATAGGGGTCTCCGAACAGCCGGACGATGAGTTGGTAAGATTATGTACACGTCATGTACAGTAAGATCGGGATCTCACCGCGGAGCCGGGCAGCGTCGCCGCCGTCTCCAATTTGAGCGCATCATACTCCTATCGAGCGATGAAATTGATTTTGGCGCAGAGGTGCAAACCAAATGTGCTGGGATATTCGTCACTGCATGACTGCAGATGGTTCGTTTGTCATAGCTGACTCATATACCGAACGGCGCTCGCAGAATGTCTCCTGCACAGATTCGAACTCGCAAGTCCGCAACCCACCATTCCACACCGCCATCCACATGTACTCGACCATGTAGTTGCTTCCCGGATCTCTGTCTAGTTTGCTGACTTCACTATCCTGTCCCTGTCCCAATCATATGAGTATCATCTGTCGGTGCATGAAACACCTGAGCAAAGGACCATCGAAGATAATGCGTCACCAAGACACCATGCACGTCGACGGCTTGGATAGGAACCTCGAAGCTTGAGGATCTCACGATAGAATGGAATGTTGCTCATCTTCTATCATCAGTGTCTGGAAGAGTTCTTCATTGACTGCGCTATATAAGCACGGCTTTCCGGAAGAAGTCGAGCCGAGCATCGACTGTCCATCATGGAAGGCCATCAGCAGTATTCAAACAACTCACATAGTTTACGTTCGTGCCAGATATTGACAGAAATGGCCGCCGCAGTTGCCAAGCGATGATCACTGCAGAGAGCCTGGTCGCCCGTTCGGTCCAGGACGCAGCTGATGGACAATGACTGAAATAGCCGGTGACGCGCGGGGGAGCCTGCTGCCCAAAATCAAAGTCAGATTCGACATCAAAATATACGTTGATGGACCATATCACTTGAAGCTGTTCCGCTAGATAACCCCAGCTGGATGTCAGCTTTACTAGAGTTTCGTCGATAGTGCCAATGAGTATCAAGCTTGAGCAGGATGGCCATGGAGCACCGATAATACGGTGCATGACCCTCTCTGACGATTGAGACCCGTACGACAATCCTCCGATCTAACGCGGCGCTGACGAGGAAGCAACCGTCCAGGCTGCACGTCACAAAAGTGAGCCCGTGTGCTCACCAGCAAGCGCATGTCTCAGCACGTATCGAAAAGAAATGCCAAACGCTTCTGGCGTCGCTGGAGCTTGCGTTTCAATTTGAAGCGGCCAGTCTAGAGTATTTGACGTTGAATGTTGAATATTGAATGCTCGAAGCAATTAGATGATTGCGAAATAGATTAAGAGGGTTGCAAATCCTCCGGTGTTGACGTTGGGGAGTTGCGCATGATTCGCACGTACTACAAGGTAATGTCGACAACGACGCTGACGGCGCGCAAGGAAGGAGGCTCGACGATCTTACGTAACTTCTGATCATGAGGAATTAACTTGCTCGCGACGAAGCTTGAAGCTAGGCAGGCGAGCGCCATAGACTCCATCACTCAGCCATGAGAACTGTCCACGAATGATCTCGGACGATAGCTGCTGCATGGACGGTAGATCGGACTACACGAACACTGCGATGTACTCAGGCTCACGGATTTACAACAACTCATAAAGACTATGGTACATTCCACCAACCCGCATAACAGCGAACCAACTCGGTCTGCATGCCAAGTCTACAAACTAACTACACGGAACGTACAACTACAGGCCTGCGACGACCGCACCACAAACTAATGTTATAAATACTGTATCAACAACAGTTCATGAACAACATATGGAAAGGAGAGAGAACACCGGGACAACAATGTATGCATGGTACAATGACACAGAGGGAGGGGGGAGGGGACGCGATGCACAATGAGAGAGACATACAAATGGTATTACAATACTTTCGACGAGATGCTTGCTTGTTTCCTTGCTACAATGATTATACAGATTGCACATGCGGCGATGGCGAGGAATGCGGCGAGTATCGTCTCGGATCGGGAATAGCGTGTCTCTCCCGGGGAGATCAAGAGTGGAAATGGATATCATGCAACGCAATCGAACCAGCACCAGACACAGAGCATGCAAAGGCAGCAACCCAGACTACCATCGAAGCAGCGAAGGAAGCACAGATAGGCTCTATGGCCCGCGGACTAGTGCAGATACTTCTCGTTGAGCGCGTGCACTTCCTTCGCGAGGTATGGCCAGTTGAGACTCCGCGCGAGTTCACCCTGGAGCTTGCGCTCGTTATCGCCTGCGCGCTGGCGCGCCAGCTTGACCTCCCATCCGAGCAGGTTGTACAGCAGTCTCATGTTAGGCTGGATCAAGACGGAGAGACGACGGGAGCGAACGATCAGGTAGGCATCAACCAGAGGCAGGTTCAGGTGCTTCATCACATATGCGATCTACAAACGGCCTAGTGAGTTTCCTGTTACAGCGCAAACGAACCAATGACATACCGTGACAGTCGCACTGCGCGACACGCCCACACGGCAATGCACAAGCACCTTTCCCCCATCCTGGCGCGCCCTATCGATCCACTCACAAATCGGCTCCAACTGCGGCTCCAGCGTGTCGATCCCATCATCGCACACGCCCTGTATGTCGAGCACCTTGATCCGGCCCTCGCGCTCCTCAACAAAGAGCGAGCCGTGCCCGTGCGGGCCGTGGCCTGGGATGAACTGCGCGTTCGGGTTCACGCCAGCATAGGCACAAGACGATTCTGAGGTGGACGCCTGCAGGTTGGGCGGTGGCATGAGCGCACACTCGCCGACAGAGACGACATGCGTGATCCCGAGCGCATGCAGCATGTACGCGTTCGTAGCATGGTTCCTACAAAAGACTCAGTGACTTCAAAAAATCGATAGACGAAAATACGCACAGGTTCCCAAGGTATAAAAACGGTAACACCCGACTCGGGAAGCTCCCATCGAACCTCGGGTCGTTGAACCACACCTGATGGTTATGCATCGACAACAGCGCAGATGGGTTCGGCATCGTGCTCGCGCGCGGCCGGCCAGTCCCCACAATTCCGTGAGCAACCAAATCCTTGTCGCTCTCCGACTGGCTCCTCAACGGCCGAACAGTCACGGCCGTCAACAGTCCCCGGGAAGTTGGTGGTATCGCAAACGAGACCGACTTCTCAGTAGCTGCGGGACAGTCAATAGCGTCGCCGCCTTCAGAAGCTTGATCAATCTCAGCGGGACTGTCGACTTGCTTCTCCTGTTGAGACCCCAGAACAACACCCCGCCCCTTCCTCTCCTTCCCCCTCTCGCGCTCCATTCGAGCCTCAATCCTCTTGAGCACCGGCAGATCCGCCGGATACACGAAGAACGACCGCCGCTTCTCGTTCTGCAGCGTGAGATACGCCTCTGGCAGCGAGATCCCGCGAAGCGCCATCAGAAGCGTCAGTGCGAGGACCGAAGATTCCGTGTACCCATCGGCAGAGTAGATGAGGATCTTGCACGGGCGCGTGCGCAGCGGAACGAGCTCCTCATACATAGAGGTTGAGGTCTGGCTGGTGGCACCGGAGGAAGCATACGACGCAGTCGAAGGCGAGGAAGAGGAGGAACCGGAAGACGACGGAGCTGGTGAGGGAACAGACGAAGACAGGAAAGTCGCAGACGTCGATCGCGTGCGCGTATATGCGCTCGAAGTTGCAACCGGAGACGAAGGGAAGAACGAGCTCGGGAAAGAGCTGGGTGGCGGCAGAGAGCTCGGCATGAATCCCGTACCAGAACCAGACGCACGGCGCTCGGCATACACATGCGGCGGCATCGGTGGCCGTGGTGGCGGCGCGAGCTGCGCTCTGGCAGCAGCGAGCGTGAGAGGTGCAGGCGGCTGCAACAAGCCCTCAAGGAACGCAATGAACGGCGCAAGCGCATTCATCATCGTCGCCGTGCTCGGCGGCGAGCTTGGGAAGGGGAGATGAATCACGGAGCTTGCGCCCGCAGGTGGACGCGCCGCGATCCGCGTCTTGCGCGCCTCCTCGTCGGAAAGGTGGCTTAGCTCCGCAACGCAATGCTCTGTCCACTTGCGCTCGAGTGCGCTCAGGTGCTCCTCGGCAGCACGCACGTGCGCTGAAGTAGGGAAGGGCGCGAAGTCGTGGCATTCAATGCAGATGTCATAGCCAAGGCCGAGGTTCGGGTCATTGGAGCGCCAGTCGAAGGCTTCCTCGACATCCTCGTCCTCGTCATCGCCATATGACGCTGTGTATGTGCGTGGGTGGCGAACGCGGATCCGGCGGTCAGCAGGGAGCGGCACGTCGTTCGAGTTGCCCACATAGATCTGCCCAAGCGCAGGCTCCCAGTGGGTTGCGGTCGTCGAGCCAGATAGCGTTTCCAGGTTAACGGTCGTCTTTATCTCAGGATCCGCGATGGAAATGATCTCCGATGCCTGGGTAAGGTCTCGCATCTCCTCCTTCTCACGGCGTGCGAAATCAACAGTGTTCGCACACAGCAGCGCCTCGGTATCCGAATCCGAGCGCACTTCTCCCTCTGTATGCGCATCTGTTCCGTCTGTATGCGCGAGCGGAACATCTTGCATGCGCACCAGGAGATGAGGCATCGTCTTCTCCATTTCTGCGGGGGAGGCCTCTAGCACGAAGATGTTGTAAGCGACAAGATCCGCCGATGGATACCGAACAGCGCGCTCCGCCCGCTTCGCTTCGACTGCATCCTTGAACTTCTCCGCGAGCGCGAATGCGGCATGAGTGTTGCCCTTGGGCGAATACACTACAATGTCTGAGATAGTCGCAAAGACGTGCTGCAGGGAAAGGCCGGTCAGCTCTATCCAATAGAGAATGTCGTAACGAGGACTTGGCAGGGTTCGCACATTCATTCGCAGCTGGACACATTGCCCGTCATTGATTACGCTATCCACAGACCGCTGAGACAATCTGTCCCATACCCATCTTACGGCACCGAACAGTGGGACCAGGACACGAGAGGCTGACACTCTTCCCACAGACGCACACGACAGTCCACGTAACTCATGATCTCCTCGCATCCGCCACGGACTGCCGTTGCGCGACGGGGATCAGAATTGGAAAGCACAACCGCACGTCAAATTCACAGGATCACCGCATGTCCGTCGCGTATGATGTCACGAGGCTTCATGCGCGCGCGCGCGTCCCAGACGAGGCAACTACGCGAATCCTCGCCCTTGCCTGCACCTCTCGCACTAGCCAACAGCGCAGATCACAGCCTCTCACCGCGCACATGATTGGGAACCAGCACAGAACAGACTCTGCCCCGCCGGCTCCACATTTCTTTCGCAGCACTGCACCGGCTCCACCCAGCAGCTTCGCGCTGCTCTTCATTTCATGCACGCACAACAAAGCAGAAGCGGGCCCAAGCCAGCGGAGCTTCCGCTCTATCACTCCTTGGGCCAAAGTCCCGGCCGATAAGCCAACTCTGGAGCCTTCGCACCTCCGCGCGCTGAATGGAGACCACGACGATCATCTCTATTCTGCCGGCATCCTCTGCCGAGACAGCCCCCGCGCTTCGAAAGAACAGACGCCCAACGCGAAGGATAAGGGCGCAGCGACGGCGATGTGCGTGATGGAAGAACACGGACAGACTATATGCGTCGCTCGACAAACCGAAAGCAATGCATGCGGTCTTGACGGAAGGAGAACAAAAACGATATAATTGATAGAGACGGAACTCACCATTTGTATACCGAAGTTCCTCAGGCTGATCCCGTCAGGGACGCGGGGTTCGACGAACACGCACGACTCGGATCCGTCCTCGTTTTTCCGGAGATGAAGCAGCTCCCGTGGACGGAAGCTGGACGTCAATACAGCAGGCGAGCGGCGCGATATGCGGGGTGTATGCGGTACAAGGATGGAAGGGGTTGATTGTGGCGTGCCGGCAGAGACGCTGAGTGCGGCTGGTGAGGTCTTCGCGGAGAGGTCAGATGGAGGGCAATTGGAATCATCAGAGCCAGAGAGAGCAGCATCCAGCTCCATGAGCATCGGGTGGTCAACATCCATATCCATGGGCATGGGCTCGACGCTTTCGAGCGACGATGCACTCGAACAGTCGTCGTCGTCGAGGAGGTCGTCATCGGTGTCGGTGTCGGTGTCCGGGCTGGCAGGGGTATTAGCGTCGTCGTCATCGTCACACGCAACCCAGATGAGGCCGCGGAAGCGAGGAACATCGTGTGCCTGAGGCGAACCGGCGAAGAATGCGTTCTGGGCAGCGTTGTTGCCCTCAAGGCCGTGGAGGAAGGGAAAGAGCACGCCGTCCGGTGCATGTGAGGTGGCATAGTCTAGGTGCACGCGGGAGAACTGGGACGCAGAGAGCGCGCGGATGGGCTGGTGCGGAGGGGCACGGTGTTGGAGGACGGGGAGGACGTCGAGGAAGGCCGGGGCGTATGTGAGGCCATGAATATCGCCATCATGCGCACCGACGGGAGCGAGAGACATGACGGTGGCGGGGACAGGTTGAGGTGGTGAGACGGCAGGTGTTGATGATGGAAACGGGCGGATGGCACGAGAGGGATGGGCTGGGTGCTTGGATGGTTATGGCAGGTTCCGAGCGCAGTGCTTATAGACGCCCATACTGTAACCGATTTGAAATGCCCAGATCTCGCGATGTGCAACTTATCTTCACGTGACCACCCCTGCGATGCCCGCCTCCGGGGCGGGCGTTCCAGCCTCTCGCAGGAGGGGACTCGGTGCCAGGCCAGGAACAGCATGCGCGGCGTTTCCCAGGACACAACTTCTCGCAGCCTCGTCCGCGCCCTTCTCTCTCGCACGCAAAGGCGCATGACCTGTCCTCGCAGAGTAGCGACCTGCCTTTCACATCCCTCCGCTCCATCACTCCGAACCCGTGGGTCCGGGCTCCCTCAGACGGTCCATCACCATCCAATCATGATCCACCGATCACCTGCCCAGAGCCAATTTCCCCTCCGTCATACCGGCGTTCACTAACCATACCCGGCATAGGCCGTCCCTTTATCTCCCGGCGTCTCCCATCAAACTTTGCTTGCTCGTCGTTACACGAGGCTCTCAACTGCACCGCGGCCGTTGCCCGCCAAGCTCCGCCACGCAAGGCTTGCTGTTCTTGGACATCGCTCTAGCGTCCCACGCCCAACATGAGCTGGCCACGCGCCTCTCTGCTCTTAGTCATTCGCCCCTGTTCACCCGCGACGCCCGCCATCAGTCCAACGGAGGTCAGCGGATCCACCGGGTTCCACCTTCATGCTCAGGCCTCCAGGGCGCCTCCACAACGCCGGCGATCTTCGTGCTTGACGCTACCGACGCACTGGCATCATTGGTGCACAACGGGCTCCATGCGTCGCTGCCGTTCGGCACCCGGCGGATCCGCTCACGAACGCCTGAATATCCGTCACTGCTACAGCTTTATGAATCATTAATGTGCCTAGGTGCAGTTCTGGTGTGCGAACTTGGCGACCCTGTTCGTCATCCCGTTCACAGCAACCAAGCTTGGCCCTTGCTACGCGCGATAGCCATTCTATCGTCCAAGTGCGTGCACAAGCGGACGCAAGGGGATGTTGTATGTTTCGCTGGGTCGAAGCGCAAGGGTCTCCATGACCAAGCGATCACCTGCTGCGAAGGTTCGTCAAGTGGCTGGTCAATTCAAAGTCGCAGTTGCATCCGACCAACTAACTGAATTGGCAACTCGGAGACTATACTCACCTTGGCTTCGCCTTCTCCGCGGCGTGCCAGTAGCGTCCGTAGTGTTGGAGCGTTATGCTGACGAAGCAACACCCCCGTCTGCGACTCTGCCTCGCGAATCCGACATCTCCGTCTCAACTTTCGTCCTCCCACGGCTAAATATGCTCGCGAAGGGTGGACGCTGTCCAGAGAGGAGTCGCAGCTCGGTGGCACCAATCGCGAAGACGAGCAGTAATGGACGTCGAAGAGAGGAGCTATGAAGCTTGCTATCATTGAAAACTCGGACATCCGCGCGATCACCTATGATCATTGGCAGAAGCAACTCTCGCGTGCGTTCCGGCTCATCTCCACTCCACTCCTCCACGCTTGTCCAATTGGCTTCCGCCATGCTTGGTCCAATTGGCACCCAATCCGCCGTCCCTTGTCCCTTTGGTCCGGTGTTACGCGCACATGTTCACCGTAGCTCGTGTGCTCGCTCCTTTCCTGCCACGCTAGCCGCGCCGGTGTAATTGAGCCGATCGACGCTGTCATTGCTACGAATGTCACTCTGGCTCTCACAAGGTGGCAGAAATAGCACCGGCTGACGGGCAGGGTCCCGTCCTTCGTGATACGTGAGGGTGTTCCTTCTTCTTGTCTCTTCACAGCTTTGTTCTGTGTCCTTCGGTCAGATTCACGAGAGTTCCAGCCAATGACGCCGAATTTGACTGACGCACCAGCGCGCTCGTGTCGCAAACTGTGGATCGCCGAAAACAATCGACGTCTGTCGATCATGGTAGGTTGTACGCGCTATATATGATTTGCTTTGCTCGCAGAGCTGATGATAAATTTGCGATCATCATTGATGGCATGCTCGATTGCTTCTCCCGTTGTCTGGTGAATCACGCACATCGTCACATGCCCTTTGCTCGTGTCATGTCACATGTCACTCAGCGCTCTTCGCTCTTCCTTCTACCGCAAGACGCAAGACAGCAATCGTTAGCACCCGCGGGCTCGAGTACATTGTGTCAAGGATGCTCGGAATTGTTTCATCACGTGTACCTCGCTCTGGGACAGCGGAAGCTCCTATCGGCCGATATACTCTCTCCTTGGAATGCGAGTCTAGGCAATTGATACAATACATTGAATTGCCCCTACTTGCGAACCCCGAGGTCGTTCACGAGGACGGCCCTCGTGATGTCTGAATTCCGCCTCCTGTGCTGCTTTATAGGCAACGCTTCTTCCCGGTTGTGTCGAGCCTAACTAAATTTACCATCAGGAGTCGTCACGCTTCGCTATCACAGCAGTTTCCCTCAAAATATGCATCAAGGGCAGTCCTTGACACAACCCAATAAATGAATAAAGGCACAGTCTGTACGATACACACGGTTGTCTGCTTGATGCCTCAAAACGTTCATACTTTTCTCATTCAAGTCGCTGAAACCCCCATACATGCAAGGTGAGTAAGGTTTATCCCTATTCAGCATTGTCATTTAGCCTTCGCATGCTGCAACCTCGGAGTCGTTCTTGGTACCGAGCTGGGTAGCATCGGTGGCATTTATGTGCATTTGAAATGAACATCTGATCACTATAGATTGTAAGGCGGCGAGCTTCCGCTTCACCGGCTTGCGCCCTCGTGATCAACTTTCATATCCCGACCTGAAAGTGCTGGTCATGGCAGGCGCTCGTTGGCATTGTGATCAGGGTGTTGTATCGGTTCTCTGCGAACAGATATGCGAATACGTGCAAACTTCTCACAGTTAGGTTTTGGTGTTCATGTCAAGCAGTGCTCCTGATATCGCTGTGTACATGTTCGCGATGCTGGCGAGGATCCTCTTCCGCCGCTCAACCCCTCGTAATTCCGCCGTTCCAACTAACGATGCTGAGAACCGCGCATACATTCAATCATGGACGTCTTCCTCTTATCGGCACCTCCGTCAAGGTTATCTCGCTATCTTTGTTCACTTCTTCCTCCGCGCTGTGGTCTTCGAGAATTTACGTTTTAAGGCGGATCGTCTAGAGATGTGCCCTTTGCTGGTAATCTCGGATTTTCATTGTGCTTGGGATAGGTGAGCCAGCGTCCCGTTCAAGTTTTTTCTCACTTACTCCTGTTGGGTCCGCGGCTCACTTGGATGAGCAGACCCTCTTTCATTCAATGCATCGCGTAACGCGTTCGCTCTTATGATCGACATACATGTTTCAAGCTGGATTACATGGCACAATGCAGCCCTTGCTATTCTGCAGCTCCCAGCAGTGAAGCTGGCACTCCAGTGCATGCGTCCTATGAGCGTCCCCCCCGAAGAAGTAGTTTCGGCTATTTGCTTAAAGCTCTTCTTCTATAACACTGCACCCGGCGCGTGAGTTCAATATCTTTCGCTTCGCAAACCGGCAGCAGAGCTGATCTTCCTACCTGGCTTCAATATCGCTCCTCGCTTCCAATCTGCTCGAGTCGCCGAAGGGCCTTCTCAGGACGAGCAATCTCTCATCTTCGTTACCCCCGTCCCCGCTTATCTCGCGCTTGTTGCACGCTTGCATTTACCTATCTTCCCCCCTTGCGACGTCCAGGCTCTCCACTCGTATGCTTCGCGCTCTGGATCTCATCGTTAGTAATCCGGACGCAATACCTCAATACCGTTCGACTGTATGGGGGCGGCTTTCCGGTATGTCGGGATGATGCGGAGATCGGAGGCTGTTCACTCCGCAATGTAACTCCGATGCGTCAAGTTTTGGCTGCCCTGCACTTCCCTGCCCTATGTACTATCTCCGCACCATGCTTATGGGACTCTGAGTCTTGCGCCGCTCGTATGGTGTGCGATCGCCGCCGGTTTACGTGACATGGCGGCACCCGCATCTGATGATCACTCTCACAGTGGGCGCTTTGTGGTATTGCCATCTCACCGCTGATCGTTTGCAGTGCATGATAGGTAGGTTCATCAAGTTGCCTGGAGATTGGTTCACATCACTTGCAACCACGATGCAACCACAACGTCTGATGGTCATGGATCTATGGATACCTTGATTCCGCCGAAGACTTCTGATTGCGACACCGACCCGCGGTGACCTTGATGGCGCGAAGGCGGGCTGCGCTACTGAGTCTATCTGGTCGCCATATACGACAGTTGCTTGGGTCGTGCTTTTTGTCCTGCATCTGGCCAGCTTCTTCACCACGTCGTCACCACTACATCATTAGCCCATCACTTCTCGATCATTCTGCCGCCCCTGCGCGTGAATGCTCGGCAAGCACTTCATCACTTCTGCTCGTTCCCGAAAACGTGTTGGCATGCGGCGAGGATGCGTGCTGCATCGCTGGCCTTCGTCACCACCCATCATGTGCCATACACGACGCAACGTTCAGTACACGGTGTTCGTGCACTTTCCACGGTTACCCCTTCACCGGGAAGAACGACCCGAAGGAAGGCCGGATCGCTCTATACTTTCGTCTATACATCGGCGTTCTTCCCCGAATCCGGCTGACGCGGTCGGTCTCAAGTTGCAGCATGACGGACAAGCAAAGTAAACAGCACACCTTTTGCGAGAGGTGATTTCCTCGCATCGATTACATGGACCGTCAACGAGCGCTTACTTCTGCAACGATGTGCGTAATGTGATCAACAGGCCGTAATTCTGCGGCACTCCGCCCCGAGGAATGGGCGTTTCGTTACAAGAGGTGTGTGATCCCACCCGTGTTTCTTCTCTTGGGCATCCAGGCTGGCCTGGCTACCTGTGATTACTGAGAAACAGCGTCCGTTACTCCCATCAAGCAATCCGACTTTCGCATACGTACGGGACATCCGAGTCGCTCCGCTCCATGCCTAGCTATCGGTCGCTCGCATATGAGAATCTTGCTATTCAAATTTTCACCGGTCCCGCCAGTCTGCTATCACAAGCTACGTAAGTATGCAACGACCCTGCGAAGTCGAGGAAGCTGTGGCCGGCACTCGCCAAGCTCTGGGAATGACTTGCGCGTGGACCAATTTCCCGAGCACCCGATCATCGCTCGTCTCTGGTCCTCCGGTCTTCTTCCGATCCTGCAATGACGAATTGATTGTTGCACGACGTCAAGCCCGCCATTACCGCGGTCCCGGCGAGTATCTGCCTCGTGTGCCGCATGGCATTTTCTCCGATCATTTTCATTATCGAGATCCCAGCGATGATGCAGTTTCATGTGTGGGGTGGTTCGTATAGAATCACGGATAACGTCTGCCGACTGGCCTGGATACATTGGGGAAAAGATTCGGCGAACGTTCTCACCGGAGTTACATTTGCAGTATCTGGGCTGGGAGAGAATAAGGGCTGGCCTGCCCTTGACCGTCTGGAAGATGCTGGCTCGACCTAGGTGCAATTGTCGGGGAGGACCGGTACGTCGAAAGAGGATAGTGGCCAGACAACTGTCTTGTCGCCTAGCAGCTCCTCCTCCCGAGAGCGGGTACACGTATCGCGAACCGGCTAAGCAAGCGAAGCCCCACAAAACCGTATGCTTCTTGTTCCAGCACGTATAATGTGCTGCTCTCCTGTATCCTTGTCTCGCATATCGCATGAGCGCCAGGAGCCTGACAACTAGGCCACTACCAGAGGTATAGATATCCGTTGTTGTACAAGGTATATGTAATGCATACTATGTAATATGAGAGCCCCGGCACGAGCCGTGCCAAAGTGAAGGAGGACATAGATTGGTTCCTAAGCAAGGACTGTACGCAGGACTTGTACCACCACACATGCAAAAAACGCGATCGATCCAGAAAATTCAGGAAGTGCGGTCATGCGAGGAGGGCTCGTATTCCCGCCGCTGCATCGTGGCCGATCCGGAAGATAATACTATCCCGGTGTCTCCCTGCGACCAAAGGCTGCTGACGTCTCAATCCCGTGATGCCCATTATGAGCTGTGTATAAGTGGTAGTGCTCAACGAGATGGAGCACAGCTGTCTGATAAGCGCTATGGTGAACGCTCCTCCCTGCGGAAGGTCCTGAGCTTGTTCGTAGTCCTGGCAAGCAGCTAGGAGGACATGCGTCGACGGGTCGTGCTTGTAGCGGCCGTCGCTCGTGGAGCCACGGGCCCAGCGTTTTCGCGGATTGTTCTCAGCAGCACAGAGCAGATCCAAATAAGGAATTGGGAGTGGGTTTATAGCGCGCATGCTCATCCCCTCAGAGGTGGAAGCGGACCGCGTAGCACCGCCGGAGAAACAACAATCAAGAACAACGGTAATGTTCTTTCCCTTTTCTCGGCACAACTCCCCCAGAAATAGGCCGAGCTCGCGATCGCTAATGTCGAGGACACATCCGCTATCCGTCCGCTCATATCGATCGACAGGAGTGATGGCCTCCATGGGTCCTGCAGGCGTGTTGTATGTGGCTCCATGGCCAGAGAAATGAATGAGAATAGCGTCACCGCGCTTGATTCTCCTGTTGTCGCGTAGATGGTCGTATAGGGTTCCTAGGATCCGCTCACGCGTAGCGTCTTCGTCAATAAGCATAGCGATCTGCTCTCGGGGGACATTGAGAGTGCGCCTCAAGTAGGATTGTACGGAATGAGCATCTGAGACGGCTCCCTTGAGTTGACGCTCATGCCGATAGTTGTTGATGCCGATGATCACCGCCCACAGGCGAGGAATCTGTGCGGGAAGTGACTGGACATTGTATTAAACGATTAGCATAGCGACGCTTGATTGATCACTTCGCTCACCCGCACAATCGCAACGTTGATAGTTTGAACCGGACTGTCCAAAGGAACGAACAAACTTCCTTCGAGGCTCCAGAGGAGGTCATTCATTTCTTTATTAAGATCGTGGAGCCGGAAAAGCTGCTTCAGCCGCTTTGCGTTTTCAGATGATCCGGTCTCTTGGCAGCGAATTGCGTAGATCCGACGCATTTCGACGGGGTCTACAGGGCGTGACATATTGATCTCCACGCGAACACGTTCTGCGATTGGGGATAGCTGATTGATTTCTCGGTGCACGCGGAAGAGCCTTTCAAAGAGCCTCTTCTGGTCCACGGATAAACGAACCCGTCTATCTCGATACACAGAGGACCATTCGCGCCAAAAGTCGCCTGCGTAAGCTGGCTAGGTGGTAACCGGTCGGTCAGTATTCTCGAGGAACATTCGACATTACTCACCCGAACTCTATCATGACCGTCGGGTTCATGCAGGACAAATGTTCGAGCAGCCACAGCAGTCTCATGCTGATGGGTATTCTCCATGCCAGGAAGACAAGGAGTGATGTGAAGCGTCCTCGATGTTATGGGAGCAGTGGATCGTAGCGGTGGTGGAGAGATGGGGATGGGGGACAGATCGCCTGGTCTGAGTGAGAAGTCACGGTAGAGTTAATCGTTGGTCATATGCCAAAGGGATTATCGATTAACGCTCACGATTTCTCATGCCTTAGAGACTGCCATGGTCCGTCACATCAAGGCGGCAGTGTATGGACCACAATGCGGTGGATATAGCGAGCAAAGACCCTGGCTGTCGATAATGCCATTGCACCTTGCCATACTGAAATACTATCGGCAGCTTGCCACTGGCAGTTGGGCGTGGCAACAACATACTGTACTCATTCGATGTTGTCTCCACTCTAATTTCTGAACTTTAGGTGCAGCATGCACTCTTCGTGGTTCTTAGACTACAGGCATCAAGCTAATTAGAGGAATCAGTCATAAAAGTTCAATCAATTGGAGCCCCGCCGACGTCACTGCAGACATGAAGGCGTTTATTCCCATTGCAAATGCTCTGAAAATGTGTGCTAAAGTGTGACCTATGCAACATTTTGCTCTAATTAGGCAACTTTGCGTCCCAAAAAGGCAGTTAAATACAATTTAGTGTCATTAAACAACAAGAACGAATGGTCGCAAAAACTTTCATGTCTGCGGTGCGTAGACCGAGGTGAACCACAAATTGCCCCGTGCCTCAAATTATTTCTTTTTCTCATGAAAGGAAACTTTGCCGTGGAACAGCAGTTCAACTATTGCAGCTTCACACCGCAGACATGAAGCGATTTGTGCATGTGGCAAATGCTTAGCAAATGTCGACAGGTTTTTTGCCTTTGTGATCTCAATTTGCTACGGTTCCTTCCCACATTCCGTATTAAGTATTTGCATATAATATGTTG